GTACCATTCAACTCTCGAATAAACCCATCATTCATCAAGAGTCGATCTAATATGTACCTTTTTTTCTTAGGAAGTCATCAGTGGTTGGACTGTGGAGAAAACGACCCTCGCATTAGGAATGATGAATTCCCACCACTGGTTTAGGACCACTGTGCTCGTTTGAGCAGAGCAACACTTTGACTTTGTATCGAAACTCAAGTTATAGATGTCTGGCTTTTCGTGGGAAACACGAGAATATGATTTTAAGCAGCTATGTGGAGCCAAATGGAGCTCTCATAGGTAGCTCCATATCATGATCATGATGAGGGGCAGCCACTTGCTATCCACTGCTGGGTAAAGGCCTCCCCACGCTGTTGCTATCACTCACGGTTCTGCGATGCCATGTTTCGTCTCCTGCATATGAGCTGATCTCATGACTCCATTGTCACGGTGGTTGTCCTTTAAGGTGCATTCTCTCCTTTGGCTGCCATTTAGTCATTAGTCTTGTCCGTCGATCATCATCCATTCTAGCAATGTATCCTGCCCGAGCTCACTTTTCTCAAGTCAGTCAATATGCCATCTCTGATTTGTGGTTGTTTCCTAAGCCACGTGTTCCTCTTTGTGTCTCTGTAATTGAAAGCATCTTGCCATTATGTTTTTGTGCCCTATTCAGCTTTCGTTCCATTTTCTTGGTCACTGTCGTTGTTTATAATCGGCAACATGCAATGATTTAAATATATTCTATTCAAGAATAACCCCATCCTGCTATTGTGCGCCTCATTTAATAAAAACAAATCTAGATCTGACTTTAATCTATCGTGAAAAATTGACGTTTATTGTTGTTTGATTTTTGTGCCCCTCCAATATTGATGTTTCCTCTTGTTTAGAATGTCCAGTAGCATGCACCAGGATCTATACGATCAGCTACCATTGATTATATTACATACTTGTGAAAACGTATTGATAACTTCAGCCGCTATGCATTCATGCGTAAAACAAAATATTTAAAGTCGGTGAAGTGTATGACTTGCATATGCATCAGAATCAGATTATCTATTTATACTGGAGGGATCCGATGAGCGATAAAGCTCTTTTTCACAGACGTTCAGTCGGTGTCATGACATATATAACCAAGTTTATGTGTTGCTGCTCTGGTAATTAAACAATAGTAATTTCTATAAATATACTTTAAAATAACAATATCTCTAATTGGTTTTGTTGCTGAGAAAAAAATACATTTGTTGTTTTGGAAAGTGATAATTAGACTTTCTAGTCTATACAGAGACTCTCATTCGACTTGTACTTTAAAGAGCAGATGCTGTTTAGGTGAACACGCTTTTTAATTTGAAGCATTGACCAAAAGGCCCTTTGTAGCAACTATGGTGTTATTCGGACAAAGCAATGAATTGTTTTAAATATTATCGTGTAAAACATCACCTTTTTTCACATACATGTTTATCGTAGCAGCAAGCACCTTTATATGTGAATATAGACACGGCGTACACACGTCACACACATATACAGTGTACTGTAATCCACATGAGCAATGGTATCAGTGGCAGAACCAAGAGAGTAGGGAGTGATGAGGGGGGGGATTTCCACCCCCCACCTCGACTTGCGACCCAAATTTTTTTTAAAATAGATTTTCGACCAGACAAAATGTTTTTGTCTATACTGTACTAATGCAGGGCCCGATTTAAAAACATTGAAAATGTGGAACTGCACCACCTCCTCTTGGGAAGTGTAGAGATAACATTACTGTATCTTTAAAAAAACGTACTTGACAAACCATCTCTTTCTTCTTTCCTTCCGTAAAAATAAAAAATAAACGTTGAATGTCTTTCTTCCCGTTGTACATATCTCACATATTTAATTGTCGCGTGTTTGTATAATAAAGTCCGCTTTCAAATAAAGGACTTGAAATGCCCCGTGGTCACACAGTGAAACCTAAAACCGGGAGCCATGTGGCAGGACTTTGTGGCTTGGATGAGCTTCAAATGCAGTGATCATTCCAGATAACGCACGCAATTACATTATTTTTATGATTACAGTGGAACTCATTTAATATCACCATGATACCTATCGTCCTTTGGTAACTGCCCGTAAAATGCCTTCAGTGACAGATTCACTCACTGTCGTAAATTATTCGCCTTATCACCAGCGCCTTCAGTTGTAGACGGACCGAATGACAGGAGTCGATGTGGGCACCGATGCAAAACTAACATTCATACAACTCGCGCTGACCTTGGCATGGGGAAGCCGTCATCCAACGGTGGATTGACAGAGGGCTGTAAAGGATCGTTCATAAAACTATTGGCGTGTCACCTCTGCGCTCGTAGTAAGAGTTTTAGAGAAAGGCCTGAGCTGCCATCGGTGAGATGTGCAAGGGTGAGGATACTGACCCCCCTTTGTGGCATCTTTATCCGAGGCACGCGACGCGGTACATGGGTGGAGGTCCTGCTCACGCCAGCCGCACTGATTCAACGCAGTGCAAGCTCCATGACCCTTTGTGAGCAGTCCTTTCGTACGGCTACACATTCTTACATTATAATCCCCTTGTGCGTGTATGTGTATCTATAATTGTGTGCACATGCACACACTTTTGTGGCTAGCTTGCCAGCCAGACAAAACGAAAACAATGTATACTGTCGCGTGTGTAGGAAGTAAACAGGAGCACAGAGGAAGACCGTGCATATGAAGAGATAACACTTCGACCTGGTATCTGTTAGTATGTACTCTATGTTGAACTTCTGTCGCACCGAACGTAGCCTGCCGTGCTAATCGCAGGTGCGATAGCCAGTACTTCCATAGACAGAATTGGCAATATCATAGTCAGGTTGGCTATGAGTGTTTTTGACACCCGATGATTTTTGCACAATTTTCCGCACCCACATCCAAAGCGCTGCTCCACAGGTCCATGTCAGCACGCCCGGTATGGTACTGTTTTTTTAGAGCTCCCTAATGGCCTGTTAGGCACAGTGGACACAGTATTCACATCAAAGCTTACACCACACGGGCTGGACATTAATTATACAAGAGTCGCCTAATTGGGGTAGCACAGGTTCGTTTCAGCTTCACAGCTATCTGAATGCTTTTGCTATGCAGTCAGATATGACTTGAGGATGCAAACAGATTGTTAAAATTAAATGTGCGCTGCAATGGTCACTTATTTTTCCGATGGTGCCCCTTCAACAAATGTGATAATTTTACGAACATAACAATGTATACATATATATTTTACTCACCAATGTCCATTGCTCTTTTTCGAGTTCAATGGTGGAATTGTAAACATTATTACAATTTTGACTTAAAGCTTTCGTGACTGCAGGAATTCATATTCTTTGGGTCTTTCGGTAAAGCCACGTAGATATAAAAATAATAAAATAAATATTTTTACTAAATACTAACATTATAATAGTATTTTATTAATTTAGATAAATATTAAATAGAAAAATAATAAAGTAATGCTTCCATTTTATTATTTTTCTATCTACGTGGCTTTACCGAAAGACCCAAAGAACATTATTACAAATTTATATTTTTCTCAGCCCACCCCCCCGAACCCCCTGTCACATCTGTGAAAAAAGAGCTTTATAGACCATCGGATTCTTCCACTATAAATAAATATTGCTTTTAAAGTCCCACCGAGAATAAAATTGGTCGATCCCTCCGCGCCCTGTCTCTGCTCCGAAGAAGTGACTGTTATGTTTCACAAGGCAGTGTCAATGACGAACGTGGTGATTTTTTTAAAATTTGTGTTGTTGCCTTCAACATGGCCTGTCGCTGCACCGTGTCCAATCAATGGGTGTTTCTCCGACACGTCCATCCGTTGAGGGCTCTCATATGGACCCTCCCGTAATGTCAAACACAGTGGCTTGAGCCTCGGCGTCCGGGGGACCCTTGTGCGAGCCTTGTTTTAAAATGGGAGTACGACACATGCAGATCGGATGCTGGGCACCGCAATCCAGCAGAGACTGCCAGTGACCCAGGCCACGGTGCCACTTCGCGCAGCGTGATGAGCAACTCCCGCACGCACTGCGGGCTTCTCTGCGGGATCGCATAACAGGACGGGGACAGGCCTGGCTGTGGTTTAATTGTGCATACCGTGTGCATTAATATCTTGACGGGGGGCGAGTGGGTGGCGAGTGGGGGGCTGTTCCAAATAGTGATGGAGAGCGCACAGAAGCCAGCTGCTGATTTAAATAGGAAGCTAACGGAGGACAGGGATGACAGTCAAAAGGGACAGCTCGCTGGCTGAAAGGGGGTGGGGGCATTGGCCGCAATTACGTACTGTATACCCAACAATGTCATGACCCCGCTTGGAAATTAGATATCATGAGCGCATGGTGGAGATACCATTTGCCATGTATCATCACACGTGTGCCGCACGCGTGCGCCTGAGAAATGTGTCGGGATGTTCGCAAAGTCCGCTCCGAGAGTGATTCAGGCAGCACGCGCTTGCTCCGTAAAAGGCGCCTAATTTTGGGTGTGCTTGTTCCGTCACACTGCGTCCATTTGAATGGGGGTATCGAAACGACTTGAACACGTGGAAATTCTAATTCCAGCAGCTGAGCTCCGGCCCTCTGTATTATCTGTGCTGGTGTCTCACAAGGCCGTGCGGTGGCCAGGAGCGAGGAAGCAGCAGCAGCAGCACAGCGCCTTGAATTCAATTAGCATGGAAATGGGAGGCATCGCTGCAACCCCGACGCTAGACCGGGCATACAAAGGGGGGTGGCAGGTTGTCTTGTCCGTGTGTGTTTTGACCAAAGCCCCATTGAGATTAAACAGCACCCGCCAAACTCTCTCGTATATATGTATGTGTGTACGTGTGGTACATTACTGTGGATTTGTGGACGCTTATTTCAGTCAGAACATTCAGCGGTATTTCGTGTACCGACGGAAATATATATTTAATATACATTTGGGCAATTTACATAGTTTTTTCGTTTTTTTTGGGGCTGATATATTAACAAATATGGATAAATTTGTTAATGGAAATTATGTGTACAGTACCATAAACCTTACCACAATAAATTTTTATTTGTAATAAAAAACATACATGTGCAACATCTATAAATTCTGCATTTATCACGCCTATTTTAAATGTATTTTAGTCATTAAAATACAGTAGAAGCTGTCGATAATGCAATTAAAATAACAAGTACTGTTATTAAGCAGCACGAGGTCAGAATTATACACTTGTGTGTGTGTGAGATTAGAAAGCAATTGGTATATAATGTATCTGTATTTAAGCTTTTCGTTAATACCGCATTTTGGCTGAGCCCAGTAAAGTGTCGTCAATGTGCTTCTACAAAACTTCGTGAGACATTCACCAGCAGTGCAAGCAAGGACCGTGAGCTGTTCACGTTGCTTTAAAACATCTGAATTTATCCCCATAAACAACACCATCACAACCGAGTAGCTCAAATGCTGTGTTGTGTCATTACTGCTCTATGTCTGGAATGCGTGCTTAGGAGAGCGGTTTCAACCCTTGACTAGCAACTCATGTGTGACTCGATCACTGTGCAGCCTTTAGTCGTGAGAGGCAGCTAAAAACATACTCCTAATTCTATGTTTCTACAAGCCCTAGCCCAGCTACTTGTTTTTCTTTTCCTCCAGGATAAAGCGTCAACACACCCGTAAGCCTTCCCGCTGGACTGGCGGTCTTGTCGACTGACAGCGCGATCCTTGGAAGCTTGCTGCTGCTGCAGTGTGCTTTCGTTTCCTGCAGCCTTATTAGCTCTAGATTTCAGTCTATTGCCAGCCACCTTGGAACCTCGTTAGAAGATGACAAAACCTGGCAAAGGGCAGTGTGTTGCATTTGTGCACGGCATGACGATTCGATCAACGAGTGGGCTATACTGAAGCTTGGGTGGATGGAATTGCATTGACGTGGGCTGGTATTTTTTGATTAGTTACTATGCCAGGATGGTAATCCAAAAATGTTTCGAGAGTGTTTGACTAGGTATCACGTTACCGCATGGGTATCTTCCCAAAGGGCTGCTGTTTTCCAAAAATCAAGGTCACATTCACATCCCTTCATTGGCTCACGTACAAGGGTAATGGGGCCTAAATCTTGTGCACTTAGTAACATTACCACACCGTGCTTTTTGACTTCATGTAAGGAAGTGCCAGCCAGCATTAACATGTCCCAGGGGGTGCGAGAGGAGGTGGGAGGGCAGGGCAGGAGGGAGGACAGAGTGACAGCCTGGCAGGGAAGCTTTGCGTGCTGCGTTTGTGGCAACAGCCGACATGGTAGATGTGAAATTGCCCTGAACGCCTCCCCTCGGTTCCTTCACTTTGGCGTCCTGGCCATGTGCCTGTGCAGCACGCATGGTGGTTCTCGTGACCAATGCGTTTGTGCCTTAATAACGTGTGGTGTTCTCATGTTACTGACGATGACATGTGCTTAGCCTTGCACGGACTTATGGCACGTCTCGCTCTCTCCGGAATCATCAACGGGTGCACTTTAGTATCTGGGGTGTTCATCATTCCGATCCCACTGGACATGAAGCACAATGATTTACATATTGATCTTTTTTAGGGTTACCTTCACGTAAAAAAAAAATAAAATAGACTAACATCTGTGCATGAAGTAATGCACTACAAAATGTAAAATGCATCCCTGCTGTTATTTAAAAAATAAATGTCAAAAAATGCATCCTCAATTGAAGGCTGGATGGTGCTCATCTCCTTTGGTGCTCATGGGCTGGAAGTAAAAAATTCTATATTCCACTGACAGGGACCAAATTCAATATAAAGTAAGCACATGCTTCAGGGTGCTCCTCAATAAACTCACAAGGGAGTGAACGGCAGCGTGCTGGCGTTTTGAACGTGGAATGTTGCTGAACGGTATCTCACTGCATGGAGCTGCTTACCAATACAAAAAGCAGCGTCCGTATTGGCCCTACAGGGGACCACGCTGGCCGGGTCAGCAGTTCGCATGTGGTGGAGGCCTACAGTGATCATCTCTTTGGTGTCGTAAAATAAAATATATGAATTTTGCATCGGTGGGAGATGAACTGTAACTGCTATTGTTAAAGGTATAGCTCTGCATGCAGATCACAAACACATCAACAATTATCAGGTAAAATTTATGAAACATGTTTTTGTTTTATATCTCCACACTGAACACATCTGAGATCCAAGCCGAACTTGGCAGCCCAAGCGCATGCTGGCCTTGCTTGCGTACGCACCCTGGGTTGACTGCACATCACAGGTTTAGCAGCAGAGCTCAAACGAAAAGCGGCGAGAAATGTTCATCGTACGGCAGTGGAACACAACTGTCCTCAGACAACCGCTTTTCACGAGCATATCTTTTGCATTATTTAAAAATCCAACGTTTTTTAAAGGCCATACACATTAGAACATCGAGACATATTGATGGAGCGTTCCAATAGCTTTAATAGATATGCTTCTGTATTTACAAATTAAATGCTGACACATTTAAAATTATATTTTACATTATTTATAATGTACTGGTAAAAAGATCTATGCATAAAATAAAACTGTAGATAAAAATGTACAATTTTACTAAACCAGTGTAAAATAATGACACGTGTTCTGTCAATATTCCGCAGAATTGGCGTGTGCACGTAAAATGCACATTGCTCGGCTGTCAATAACGTATGGCTTCAATGTGCAAAAAATAGATACATCAGCGAAAGCATGCATCAAAAGTAGGTCGCACCTATTGAAACATCGAAATGGAAATATACCATAACAAAATTCACCTTTTTTAATCTTTAAATTTTTTTAATAACCCACTGAGAACAGCTGTGACAGAGCACAAAAATCTCACTGCCTGATCATGACATGCCGATGACTGATGGAGTATACGAATCATTGCATTTTTATACAAAATAATAAACCAAAATATTTGCACAATAGCGTCGCTTGATAGTTGACATTTTGCAGGGAGGGGGGGGAAGCTTCCTATTTCCTGAAACTGAAAAAAAAGTTCCTATTGAAACAGCGGCACAGGACGGGGTAGGTGTGCAGAAAAAAACAGCACACCAACAAGTACGGCACTGAGCTGCACTTTACACCCGTGCACATTCAAGCTTTTTTTTGTTTTTCTCAATGCAGAACTGCTTAAGGTGAACTAACAGCTCAAGGCCTTTGCAACATGCAGAACTCACGGTACCTCTAAACACAACTACTGCATCTCACACTACGTGTGGGGCTGGGGAGTCAAAGGCAAAGCACTTTTCAGGAGCACTGCTGTGTGTGTGAATTCAGCTTTGTGGCTTCTCTCCCACGTTCCGTTCGTACGGCAGATAGTGAACCGGCAAGACTTCTGTAAATCGTCACAAACCGATGCAGTAAAGACACTCAAACCGCTTCGAGGAACCGAAATGGAATTCCCATCACCCAGCCCAATTGGTGACAATAAATAAAAAATATACACGGAACTAAGAAGCTGGATTTGAAAGTGCAACTTAAATACGTTTATAACGTAAACACCAACACTTGATAACATAAAGTCAAGTTTAACCTGAAAACATAAAACCAAACAGGAACATTGCAGTGTACACAACATTACTTTAGCATGCTTGCGTTTGTTCGTGCTAAAGTTCTGATGAATGAACTACAATGTTGGTGACAATAAACGCATCGTGTATTTCCTTCCGCAGAAATGCATTTGATGATGTTTGCATTCACTTTCCTTCATCAGAATGAATACAGGCTGAGGGGCTCCCCTCCCTCCATCTCGTGGACGTGTGTCCTTCCAAGGAGCACCACGGCACTGTTGGATTGGGCCTCCTCTCCCCGGCGGCAGTCTTGACGGATCTGTTTCACCACCACTAGTTCCTCCGTGTTGAGGCGGGATGTCTGTCATGGGGTCTGCTCGACCCGTGCCCCGACAGGTCTGTTTGGCATTTGTTCTGCGGTGTGTCTATGATGCACGAAGTACACGTTAAACCTTCAGTTCACGAGCGTAGGATCCCGACGGTGTAAACCTTCACTAGCTGCTTGGGTGACCGATTAAGTTCACTATACTATCGATTCACGAATGTCCTTCCCTTCGATGTCCCTCTCCTTGGGGTCCTCATCGTTGTATCCACCGTGCTTGTTTGTGTTATCCATTAGTTCCAAGCTTTCAAATGAAGGCGGGGGAGTAATGGTGGAGGAGTCACCGTACTCGCAGTCGGTGGAGAAGTTGGCGCGCATATTCCTCGCGATGAGCCCGTCCTTCTCGGGCGCTTCCTCCTCCAGGATGTTTCCGTCACTCTTCCGGTGCCGGTAGATGTAGGAGGCTTGCTTGAGGGACCGGTGCAAGATGTGGCGCCTGTACGCGCGCTGTATCACGCGCACAGCCACCTCCTCCTGCTTGCGCCGCAGCGTGGTGGTGATGGGCTCGTACGAAGTCTTGGAGGGGTTGGCCGCCATGAAGCGGTCCTCCATCTGGGTCTTGAGCGCGTCCATGCCGGCGCCCTCACCCAGCACACGTTTCGTGAACGCGAACAAGATGTCCAGGCAGTGGATCCTGTCGTTAATCACCATGGGCAGATCCATCGCAATCAGCTTGATCTTGTTTGGTTTGGGAACTCTGAGCGGCTCATCTAAGGCATCGGCAAAGTCTGGCAACCTCTCCCAGGCGATGAACTGGGTGGCATCTGGGTCGAACTTCTCCCAGATTTCATAGAACATCTCGAAGTCGTCTTCGCTCAATGGCTCTGAACTCTCCTCCGTGGCAACGCTGAAGTTCTCGAGGATGATGGCGATGTACATGTTGACCACAACCAGGAAAGAGATGATGATGTAGCTGACGAAAAATATAATCCCGACCATGGGGTTCCCACAGTCGCCCTTAACCAGGCTGCCTGGGTGCTCAATTTCAGGGTCACAGTCCGGGACACCGCTGTTCAGGATTGGGGCGAGGAGACCATCCCAGCCAGCTGAAGTGGTGATTTGAAATAGGCAGATCATGCTGTTGCCAAATGTCTCAAAGTTAAACATGTCGTCAATGCCGGACTCCTTTTTCACATAGGCGAAGTTGGACATGCCGAAGATAGAGTAGATGAACATGACGAGAAAGAGCAAGAGGCCAATGTTGAAGAGGGCGGGGAGGGACATCATGAGGGCAAAGAGCAGCGTACGGATTCCCTTGGCACCTCGGATGAGACGTAGGATTCGTCCAATCCGGGCTAAGCGGATAACTCGGAAAAGTGTTGGCGACACAAAATATTTCTGGATCATGTCTGCCAGCATGATGCCTGCATTGCACGCACAACACAAAGATCACGTGTGTTCATTGAAGTCACCGGTTTAATATTAATGCCAGGCATTGCATTTCCATAATTACGAGGCAGATGGACAGCCAAGTGGTCAGCATTTAAAGTGGATACGAAAGCCCCCGTGGTATAATTCGCAACAGTGGGCTATAATGTGTGCTGGTGAAATTTATCTGCAATTAAAATAAAGAAAATAATATGTACAATGAAATTATTCATATTATGATGACCTAAATCGCAATATGAATGGGCTCTCTCAATTTCCTAAATGAAAGCAGTGAGTTGAAACTGCATTACACGAATACAATTTGGATTTGAAATCGAATCTAATTTATATTTATAGAGCACCTTCAATCAAGGCGCTCGACATAGCTTGCAAAACGATGACAGAATGGGATGATGTAGTTGACATGGGCGTACAAGGATTGAGGAATGAGTGATGGCGATATAGGGTACTCAGGGATCGCGAAAAGGATGAGGAGGGACAGGAAGGAGTGGAGTGGCAAGGGGACAGTTGAGGAAGAGAATGGGCGATAGAGGTGAGCTTTAAGTGAGGAATGGAAGGAGGTTAAAGAGGGGGACTGCTTACTGTTGAAAGGGAACTTTATTCCAGTGGAGGGGTGAAAGGAGGGAGAAGGACCGAAAACGGGATTTGGCATGGGGAGGAGGGACAGAGAGAGATAGAGAAAAGATTGGGAACGAAGAGGATGACAGAGGCACATGGAAGGAGATGAGGGAGACACAATAATGGGGGGTCAAGGCCGTGAAGAGATTTAAAGACGAGCGTCAGGTATTTGAAAAGACAGCGGTAGTAAATGGGAAGCAAGTGAAGTTGAAGGACGAAAGGCGAAGCGTGAGAATTAAAGGTGACATTGAAAGTAACTCGTACAGAAGCATTTTGAATTTGTTGGAGGGGACTGAGAGCAGAGGTAGGGAGACCAAGAAGAGGAGAATTACAGAAGTCCACGTGGGTAAAGATCAGAGAATGAACCAGGAGATTAGTGGCAGACATTTAACTGAGAGGGCAGATTTTCCTGATGTTGAACAGATGGAAGCAGCAGATGCAAGTAGTAGGAGTGGAGATGTGGGTGGAAAACGTGAGGGAAGGGTCAAAGGTGACACCAAGGTTGAGGGTAGAGGAAACAGGAGTGGGGGAGAGAGAGAGGAAGGAAGGAGATGGTTGGGATAAAATGACTGCTGTTTCGGAGAGATTGAGAGAGAGAATCGCCATCCGGGATTTGATGGCCATCAGACAGGAGGAGAGGACAAGTCACAGGAGTAAATTAAGGAAAGGAGAATAATATTTGTATCTGGTCTGCAAAGAAATTACGAGGAAAGCAGAAAGAAGAGAAAATAGATTCAAGGGGTAAAATATAGTAGAGAGAATAGAAAGAAGGGTGATGCACACCAGGGAAAGGGGTGGTGGAAATGAGCAAGTTTTTCGCAGTGATAAAGAAAGGCTGAGGAGGTCTTGAGGCCTACACGTAAAGAAGGTGAGGGAATCCGCAGTGCAATCATAAATGAAAACAACACAAATGGTACAACCACTGAAGATACATTCACACTGCACCTGTGATTCATGTTATTTAATGCTGGTGAACCATGATATGTAATGATTCCCTATCCCTAGCGATTCGGTGATTTGTCACAATTTGGGGACAAACTTTGAATAGAATATTCGTTCTTTGTGCAGTTTTTTTGGCCGCCTCGTTTGCATTTTTGCTGTTTTCTGCCTCGTACCATTTCAGTTGCTCTATTGGCCTAAATGTAACGTTCGAATGTAATTTGCATTAATCATAAATGAGCAAACTTCACACACGCTATTCAACAACTGCATTCTGTTATTACATGTAGGGCATTCAATTAATTGTTTCCGGGTAACTAATAAGACTGGAGTAGGGCACTTGACTAGTAGCCACTTCTTTAGAACTGCTTTTTGTGTTTAGTTTGTTGTCCTTCCTCCGTTCCTCCGATTAGCCCAGTTGGCTACATAAGGTGCAAAAGAAGTTCAACATACACACACTGCCATAACAAGAATGCATATACTGGATGCGGTGTGCCAGGTGCGGAAAATATTTGAGGGCCTTGCCCAAATGTAACGACAGCGGTCGCAGCGAAAGCGAGTGCAGCGTGGAATCATTTAGCTGCCTCAGTGCGCCCGTACGCACGCACACACACACACAACTACATACCGACTATGGAGAGGATGACAACCACAAAGTCGAAGATGTTCCATCCGATAGTGAAGTAGTACTGCCGAAGAGCAAGCATCTTGAGCACGCACTCCCCTGTGAAGACGACGATGAAGACGAGGTTGATACTGAAGAGGATATTCTCCATCTCGATGCTCTGGTTGTCGGTTTCCACCATCATGGTCACCATGTTGAGGCAGATGAGGATCATGATGAGGATGTCAAATACTTGCTTCGTCACAAAGTCGAAGACCGCTCCCTGGAGCTTGTTCTGCACAATGAAACATAGGAGTGCTTATCAGAAAACAGAATATGGATTGTCATCATCATCAGCCGTTGTCGATAACTGTTGAATGAAGGCCTCGTACTGTTGTCACCACTCCCCAGTAACACGATGCCACAGTCCACATGAGCTGATTCATGGTTCCATTACTACTGAGCATGTCCTCTCAGCAACATTTTATACTTGAGCTGCCGTGTCATCCTTGCATCTTTGGCCACTGGCCATCAGCCCTTCTAACGATGTGTCCTGCCCAAGGCCACGTATTTCCCCGAGCAGTCAGTAGGGCGTCTAACTTACATATGTTTTCTGATCAATGTCTTCTTTGTTTTGTCGCTCAGTGTAATTGTAAGCATGCGTCTCTCCATGCTTCTTTGTGGGCATTTTAGCTGTTCCATTTTTTCGTGGCAATTTTCTGTGTTTCTGTTCCATATGGTATAGCATGTAATATAGACCGATTTAAAACGTTTCTTCTTAAGGCATAGTGGTATGATACATTTAATTTTTAAGTTCACTTTTCCAAAAGCACTCCAACCTTCTCTCACTTGTCTCTCTTTATATCATCATTTTGATTGTGTTTTATTTCCAGCGTATCGTTTAAAGTGAGAAAAGTTACCGTGAGATATATTGATTTAATCCAATTATTTAAACATTACATTTACCAGATTTATACGTGAAAAAAATGCAACAGATTACATACTATGAAAAAATAAGAATAGGTTTTACCCTTTCTGGCAATAAAACAGGTGTTAAGATGTTCAAACACCAAATATAAACCTTTTGCAAGGAATCAAGTCTGCATTAACCACACATACTTGTGGTGAACATGCAAACAAACATGCTATGATAATTATAATGCTCTGATAATTGATTCCTTGGTGTGAAAATTCAAGCTTATTGTATTAATGTTAAGTAGTGGCAGCCAAAGTGGGGCGTGGCCAATTAACTTGGTCCCACCTCATCTTCCCCCAGAGTCCAGAAAGCCCACCGGGTGAATATTTGCCATTTCAATTCTCTCATAGACATTGACATGGTGGCCATAAACACTGCTTGTGGTGTAATATACTGAGACTCGTCGAGAACAAATTCCACAATGAGCTGCTTTTAAAGGCACACGGGGGGGCAAGGGAGACCATGGAGTGTTGCGATGTTCTCACCCCAGGCCTCGGAATGGGCTTCTGTGGTTTTTTCGAGCCCAGCTTCTTCATGGCATTGTGGAACTTCTTCTGCTCTTCTGTCATGAAGATGTCCTCCCCTCCAAAGTAAAGTGGCAAATACAAAACTGGTTACAATCTCGCTCTCTGCTTCTCATCCTGATGTGCAGCCCAAAATACCACCAATTAATAATCTAAAGTCATATAAAGAAAATGCAGTACAGCAATAAGGAAATTGATAAATCAGTCCATCTGTATAGATTTTTGAGTATGTTTCCTTTCACATGCATGGATTTCCTCTGGGTACTCCAGTTCCCTCACACTTTCCATCAGTCTTTAATAGAATTATCTACACAGCCCAATAAGTCCGAGGGCCATGTTAGAATTAGGTACTACCTAAGATACCACAACTTTAGGAGTACCTATTATTTATATGTCTTATACGTGAGTAATTTAATAACCCACCCATTTCAAATAATTATCAGATAATCCACTGTTACTTGCCACAGTTAGAAATGCGATATCTTGTGGTATCCACAAGTGAAAAATCTGGTTTGGGCTCATGGACTAAATGCAGATTCTTGCTGCAAATGAGCCTTACGAATGAATCACGCAACTACTCAAGAAAATACTGTGAAGATTAAAAACGTTTACCTTGATTTATAAAAGTCACAGTAATGTGAAAGAAAAAATTGTAGACAGGAAGGATGATTTAAAATCTCAAATACTGCACAACAAAGTATGAGACAATTCATTTTATGTTGAACTCATCACATTCCAACAACCACATTTCAACATATTCTTGGTTCTTTCGGTAAAGTCAAGTAGAAGGGAAACAATAAAATAATACAAATCTAAACCACAACAAGGAAATTTTCTTGTTGTGGTTTTCACACCTGATGATGATTGCTTGTGTTGCAGTTGAAACGTCGTGAGAATTTTATTGTTTTATATATTTTTTATTTTATTGTTTCCCTTCTACGTGACTTTACCGAAAGAACCAAGAATATGAATCCCTGCAGTCACGAAAGCTTTAAATCACATTTCAACATGTTGAACACGAGCCACCGTTTGTGTTTACAACTATGACATTGCATTTGCTAAATTAAAGGTCCATTATATGATTGGGCATATAATACTCATACATTTTCTCATACGATTTTGGCAACCAAACGTAGCCAACCGATTAACACGCTTAGCTATGTACAGTGCGAAACAAATTGAACAGATATTCATACAAATGCGTCACATTTAAACCAAGCAATTTATCCTGAGATTGATTTCAATTTCAGTCAATTTCCTAATTAGTGGAATGCACACATGACACTTCGGTTATATTTTTACTTAAACAAACGTGTCGGTCTCTCTGTGATGGACACAGGCAATGTGTACTGACGATAAAGCAACGTGGTGAGCAACTCTCGCTACGCGGCACTGCGTGCCACTTATCTTTTTCTTTTGCTGGTTGAAGTTGTCGATGATGACACCGATGAAGAGATTGAGAGTGAAAAATGAGCCGAAGATAATAAAGATGACGAAGTAGAGGTACATGTAAAGGTTGATCTCGTAGGACGGCTGTTCCTTTACCTGTTCATCATAGAGACACACAATTGCACGTTACAAACAGTGGTGATGTTAACCACATTGCGCCAGACACTCATTGTTTGACCGACACCCCAGGGTCGGTACTAAAACTGGGATCCTGGACCCAGGACCTCTGATTTTAGAACCCAAGGCCCCAGGACACAAAAACTGGTCCCCAATGACCCCTAGACCTGTTGGGGCACTCATCAGAGAGATTTTCCATGGTGAATGCTCTGACGGACGCTGTGTTGCAAGACACTCCAATTTACCACCCCATGTATGGCCCGAGTCCTCCACTACATCTAGTAGCATTGGAACTTCGTTATTCATGTTTAAACATAAAAAGGTACCTGTATTGACCGTCTTTGCACCCTCTGAGATGTGCTTTGCTTGTTTAACTGCAGTATGAAATGTTAAATGATTATGAATATGCTCAAATGTTTTTTTTCTTTCTCACAAACAAGGCTCATGTCAGGTTGAGATACCAAATGCCACTTGTGTTGTCTACCACCAGGTATTGAATGCGGGCCATCCACACTGTGGTGCAGTGTGTCTGAGCCTTCAAGCCACGAATGGCATTTGCACAATACAGTCATATCTTCAATCGCATGGTACCAATGTAATGACTCTATAAATTATAATATACAGCATTTTGTTGATTCACTGCTTAATGAAGGCCTCTTCACACTGCTCTGGGGGTTGTTTGACCATACTTCCTCATGCCGGACAGTGTAGGTTTGGTGAAGGGGGGGGGGGGGGGGCTTGGGGGCAAGGACTGGGTTCAGATGTCACTCGCCACCGACGTCAGCCATGGCCAGGAATAATATTCAGGTTAGCGGGTTCCTACGATGGTGTGCGAACCACTGTGCCACCACTCCAAGGTGAATAATTATGCTTCTTCTTTACATTTGTTGCCTTTGATTATTTGTATCGCTCTGCTTTTGCTAAACTCACACATACTTATCATACTAAATGCATCTTTACGTTATCATGCTAGGATGAACATTTCATATATAAGAGCAGCAGTTGAGTAATGAGGTACAACTAAGACATTAACCCTTGTCTAGCAAAATATCGCTTTGTCTAAGTCACTGCCCGTGGTGCAATACGAGCAAGATGACTCGCTGAAGCTCTTGTATTTCACAACAGATCTCCAGAGATGTAACAACGGACCGCATGCCATCACTCACATCACGGGAATCCACTGCTGCATACATGATATCCATCCAGCCCTTAAATGTGGCCTGCGGGGGAAAAAAACACAAATGTTGCATTAAACATGACGCGCGTTGCATTTATAAAGTGGGAGTACCCCCCCCACCGCCCATTAGGCTCGCCCATGAGACGTCAGGAAATGGAACACGAGCTACATTTTAAAAGTGTATTGTGCGGAGGTGAGCTTATTGTTCTGAGAGCATTGATCGGCGATCGGTAAGTCCCCCTCAGCTGGCGCCAAGTCATGCGATTCTAAATCTGATTCATGTTGGCTAGATGACAAATATCCTCTGTTTGGGTGCCTAGTCCCCAATGAGGATTCCCAATGGCTTATTCGAGCCTACAGGTTACCGAGGCCAAAATTTGAGGTCGTCAATAACATTCGCTGGACACATTGTGAGCATTCTCCATCAAGACGAACCTCTACTTCGTGGTTCTTTAAGCCGGTTATGAAGCATACAGCAAGCGTGATTTATGATTGGCTTCTGCTGGTTCCTCTGATTTCAATGATGCCATCTCAAATTCAATTGAAGGAAATTTCATCGCATGTCACTTCAACAAACGTGATCCCAACTGCACCATGATCTTAATGTGTTGTTTTTTATTTCACTTGGCCGTGTCTTACGTGGTCAGTCAGGAATCCCATGTAAGCCTTTTCATGTGCGTCGTACAGTGAAGAGTTCAGGAGCGAGGGTGCTCACGACAGACTACTCTCACGTTGCTCGCATATCACAGCTCTCAGCATGCCTTTACGTGTCGTACATTGAATTTTATCCGGGACCACGGGGTCACTGGAGTAGTGGCCGATTTATAATTTTAGCAAAATATCGCGAGTTAAAATCCAGGCAAAGCGGTTGACTAGTCATCATTCATTTAGTATAAATAAACTATCAAGTTGTGTGAGGTGAAATGTGCTCATCTTATAGAGAGACTGACCCCCACCATAGGAAAGTGGAATTTCTGCAGCTGGCTCAGGGCCACTGATCGAAATAAGTGCCTGCCCCACTGCTCATTTGAGCAGGGAGACGTTTTGACTTTTCCTGCTACGTGGCTTGGCACGGAACTCACAAAATCGGTTTTTCGAGGGAGAAACGAAAACAGAATAAACAGCAGACGGAAAAACACTCCACAACCCATAGACAGCCACATCACGGGCACTTACGACTTGCAGCAGGGCGAGATAACCGATGCCAACGTTGTCGAAATTGACCTTAACGTTCTTCCACAGCGTCTCGTTGGTGGTGTCATTGAGCGCGATGCACATGCTGTAGTTGTCAACGATGGAGATGGGCAACCGCTGGCCGTCCGTCTTGTTGAGGCAGTAGTAGTACTTCCCCGAGAACAGGTTGACCCCCATGATGCTGAAGATGAGCCAAAAGATGAGGCACACGAGCAGCACGTTCATGATGGAGGGGATGGCGCCCACGAGCGCGTTCACCACCACCTGTCGTGGGCAGCGGAGAGGTCATGTTGGTGGAGGCCGTGCGGGTGGGACTCGCGCAAAGCCGCTAAGCCTCTACGGCAGTAGTGGTGGCAGCCCGTAAACCTTTTAGCGACCACCGCCACATTAGTCCTACGAGCGAATGGTGTGCGTCTACCAATCTAGGGGCTGACGAGCAACGGAAAAAGAGCAAATTGTGAACCTATTACAGGCAGCGTAGGAAACGTCAATGCAATAGACGTAATGTAGAAATAGGACGCGACAGCCCAAGTACCCGCCCCTACTGCATATCTGTGAAAAGCGTCATAACTCATTGGATTTCTCCAAGATAAATAACAATTCTGATATCTGTTGGTGTGAATTAAAATTAATGCTAATTTAAATATCTCCCACTTGGATGTAATTCCCCCCCCCTGTCACTCACGAATAACTATCTAAGCAAATTTGTTAACCAGTAAAGACTTGATGGTTTATATATCTGGTTAACTTATCCTAACGTACTGAGTAGACGTATTATTATTTATGCGTGTAGCCCTACGCTGATGGCAAAATACTCCGGCAGCTCAGTGACTACCTGGGAGTAAAATGTAAGTAAAATAAAACATTACTGCGAGTACGTACTGCGTTTAAGAACGATTGTTTAACAATGCTCATAGTGCTCACGTGAAACAGTGTACACGCAGTTTCCCGGAGAGAAAAGCCGTCGCGAAATGCAGGACGTGACATTTCAAGGCATGCAAGGAAAACAGATTTGGAGAAACATTTTTGCCAATGGACAAAACATTCCCACCGAAATGCAGTCGTACAAGTCAGTTGTTCCTTCGCAGACTTTCACTTAAATGGCTCAACGCAGTGGGATGGTCAAGTGCAGTGATAAAAACAAAAATAAAATAAGGCACATCCGTCATCCACGCACACATCCACTCGCGATGCGGAGCAGGAAACAACATTTCCGTCGTTCTGGAGCATCACCAGCCACGGCACTCGCACCGCATTGTGATGCCCCTCGCGCATGAATTGTTACGTGCAAAACCAATTTATTTGGGGAGTTTCATGCAAGTATAATAGTCGATGTGAACTTCACCGCCCCCCCCCGCCCCCATAAAAGTCGGTCATTATGCATGAGAGGGTTAAAGGATTAAAATAATAGAGCTGTGGATTAGATTATGCATTTGATTCGTAATCGGATTTAGCATCTAACGAGACATTTTGCTTGTTAATTTGCCTGCGGTGCATTTGCCAATTCGTCTCTTAACCACGATTGCATCGGCACATATCGAGCCAGATGAATGTTCAAAGCGACCAGGTAAAACCCTGTTGGCCGAAACCAACGGAGCTTTCCCTCCTCCACTCTTATTGGGAAGAGCCAAATGAGCCAATTGGCTCACCACGCGCGGAGCGGTTGCAGCGGGCGGACTGCGCTGCCGTCCGCCCGTGCGGGCGGTGGGAGGCGCGGCGATAACGAGCGGCCTTGAGGGAGCTGCATCCCAGAGAGTGCGCGCACGCGCCTGCTACGCTGCTGCAATCATTCTATAAGCGTCACCCCCCTCCCCCCCCCCCCCCAAACACGCATGCCTTAAACGAATTGAATTGATTGATTTTTGACCTCCGTCCTTTTACTGTGGCCCTATCGGGGGGGGGGGGGGGGGCAGGGAGGGAGGGAGGGGTGGCCCTGCATGTCGGCATCGGTGCTGAGGGTTGACGCCGCACGCGAGAGTTGTCTCTGATACCCCCCTCCCCACGCCACCGCCGCCACCGCCACCGTCGCGTTTCCATGCAACGGAAACCATTTTAGGTCATGTCCGCAACGGAGCCATTAAGCGAAGCTGCCGTTGAGATGTTAAGTCTGAAGGCACTGCGGTGGCACGGCATATTAACGCGTGGTAACGAGTAGAGGATGATTCGCAGCAGGGAGCTGATTTCAAGGCGATTTCACCGCGCGCGGGCCAACCTCTTGCCGGCGGCACGTGTACCGATACGTGAGGAATGTCTGCGCCGCGTACGCGATTGTGTTTGACTCAGCCGAGGTATCATGCAGCAGTAAATATTTCAAATGCCAGGGATGTGGGGGCCGAGGAAGGCATGCCAGCAACACCAAAACACCATGCTTATGAAATTCGCTCCGACCTGAAACTGCAGCCATTCATTTCAATTTCGAATGGCATTTTTTGCTTAGTATTAAACTTTGTATCAAAATATGAATTATAAATAATGAAAATGCGCCATCATCCCATGCTGAGAAATGAGCATCCCAATTTGGGGAGAACACATAGGATTGAAATTTTTGGTTATCTTTACCTGAACCCAAATGCACACTTCAAGTCCCATGCAAGGTCGAAGATACTTTCATTTTAAAAAGCTCCCAGCCACCCCCACACACTGCACGCATCTAGGCACCCATGGTCTGTTCCACCCGAACCTCACAACTAACTTCAGATGTCAACCCCACCCTCCAGAACCAACCAAATAAATAATACGTTCACGCGGCGATGTTGCGCCAAAGGTGGTCTGTCATTTGGTTTCCGGAGAGTGAGATCAGAGGTAGTAGTCTTGAGTGTTGGGGTGGAACAGCAGAGACGCTCAGGAGATTACCCATCCCCGCACCCCCCACACATCCCTCTTGGTCTCCCGCGGGATGCTGGGAGGCAGAGAAGTCTAATTGAGGCTCAGTTCATTATGCAGTTTGGTTGGAGTTGGTGAAAATGTGATGGGGGGGGGGGGATGGTCGGCAGAGCAAGCACTTCATTTATGATGCATCGAAAGAGAGCGAGGGGTGGAGGTGTAGGACTCGGCTATATTTGGCGCTTGGAGGCATCCGTTTTTTCTGGCATTCCAAGTTGTGAGCATGCATGAAGGTTGTTTCCTATGCACTCTTACCCTCATCCCTTCAAATCGTGACAGGGCCCTCAAGGGCCTCAGTGCTCTTAGCGTCCTAAGGGACTTAATGGCGCCCAGTTCCGAGTAGCCCATGGCATTAGCTACGAGACTGACTAAAGACACCTACATTGGGGAGGGGTGTGGGCGACAAAGCAAAAAGAGGTGCGCGCGTGTTAGGCGCGCCCAAGGCCCACTGGCGCAACTGGGGGGGGGGGGGGGCGATGGGTCGCCGCCGGCAGAATTTTCGGGGGGCAGCGGGGTTACGGACCCCCCCCCCCCAACCACCCACCCACCCGCGTCGTGTGGCAGCCGGCCTACGGGGAGAAGCGGACACGTCAAAACGCATTAGCAGGGCCTCGCGCGCGGGGGGGGGAGGACGAGGAGGAGGCGGGCGGTGCCCGTGGGCGCACGCGACGCGAGCGGCATCGTCTTACCCTCATTCCTTCAAATCTGGAGAGCGCGCGCAGAGGTCTCAGGGCACGCAGGGTCCTTAGGGACTTTATTGCGCTGAGCTGATCATAACCGAGGGCTGTTGCCATGAGGGAAACAATAGAGATCTGTCCAGAACGGATGGAACGGGGTTGGTTATTCACTCTTTAAGTAGCAGGATGTCAAATTGCCTTTTGTGCAGGGCGGGATCACACGTTGAATCAGCAAACAATCGGTTATCGCGATTATACTTTTAATGCTTCCGATTCATGGATGATAATTATACACATTTAAAAAACAGCGAAAGGTATATTATAAAACGACAAGCGAGTGACAAGGACATGATCTAGAGTGGCTCAAATAATATGGTAATCAAATAATTTGATCAAACTGGTCATTTAAAAGAAAAACTTATGCAATGACATCAATGTATTATACCAATGTTCACGAGCTTACATGATCACCAAGAGACCTGAACGTGTTTATGCTGCAATACTTTTTAGTCTCCCTAAACCATTTTCAAAATTATATTACCTACACAATGCAGTGCTAATTCATTTATGGAAGTATCAATACAAGGTGATAAAACGTCAGAGAATATTTCATGTTAAAACTATGGAAACATTGTCCTCTATCACTGTTGAAACTGACTTCTTGGTAATAATAATAATAACATTATTTGTAATGTAGGTACACGGCATATTTTTGCAGCTGTATGTGCTTGAACTATTTTCCAATGTAAACGGAGTGTGGCGTGATGAGTGTTATGAGCCACTGAAGCACCCTGTATTGTTATCCCAATGCACCTACGCCATCAATCAATGTCAATGCTCTCCGGTTATTCAGATGCTGTGGAAAACATAGCGAATTTGCAGATCAACTTGGGTGCAAATTATTACAATATGAAATAACATAAACACAGCCGGAACATACTTACCGTTTTACTACATTTAAATCATTCACTAGTTGACGTGCGGTATTATGGGAACGGGGCGCAAAACGTTCTCGTCAAAACCTGCTGGAGAAGCGTCAATGTCACCTGCAGTGTTCCCGCAGCCCGTGGCGGGGTTCCCTGCTCCTGGGAACACGCTGGCATATTCCATTACATTGCGGGGGTGCTCGGCTCTTGAGAACCTCCTGTGTTGTGCGCAGCCCTTGGCTGATTCCACCTCCCACCGGTGAATTTATTCCCGGCAGGAATTAGTTGGATCGAGCCGCTCTCTTCAATGACGTTCATTCGTCATCGTCCCAATCGCAGTGTATTTTGGTGCAAACAAAAAAAACTCGCCACCTTCGTCAGTAACACCGTCTTATAAACGAGTCAAATTGTAGGATTTGATGGCTCTGAAGATGCCCTTAAGGACCACAGTTTGCAAGTAAGAGATCCACCTGTCCGAGTTTTCCCAGGATCGTCACCTTGTTGAGGTAGCTGCTGTCCTGGGAAATGTGTAAGTCTTGCCAGGACATTAAAATTCCAGGTTGTTTTAGGTGCACAATAATACACAATGCATTCACCAGTGTTTTGCACCTCAGATGTTACAACCCTACCTGCAACGCTAGCCTGTTACATGTGTGCTTCTTATAAGGCAGGTTTTAAAGGTGACATTGGCAAAGGGGTTTCAATCTCTGATTATAATCATTATTCACCACTGCCAATAAAGCCCCCAATTGGGATTCTTATTTTAGTATTGCAATGTAAATAATTGACTCAGGATTTAAGGTTAAGACAAACTGCCTGCCTGACTAGACGAGATAGCCAGCAATACCAATCAAATCATCAGCTATGAGCCAGAAGCGATGACTCCATGTTCCTATGGCAGGGGCTAGGTTTCCCAGAGGACATCCACTGCTGACATCATGTAAAGTAGCACTAATTTTATTTACCCCGTAGGGGTGCATGTATGTTGAACTTTTTTCGCACTGTACATAGCCAACTGTGCAAATCGGAGAGTGATGGGACTTTAATCTATGTACAAAAACCATATAATTGGAAGAAGAATGTATCATAGTACCGGGAGAGTGGAGAACCACACATAAATGCATTATCGTGAGCGGCGAATTACTATGCAAGTGACAAAAACCGGGACTATTTAATGTCTTCGAAAGACTTCCCGTGAGAGCTATCTCAAAAAGCAGATGATCCTGGAAAACAAGGGCAGGTGACGTCACCTGGCTATACAAGTAATTTGCGATGAAAATGTGCGTCACTGCCATGAATGAGCACGCGAGCATCAAATATTCATGGACGGGGGTGCCGTGTGACAGGAGCGGTGCCGCTGGTGTAACGCAAACCGCGGCGAGCGGCCGGGATGCGCGGCCGTCACTAGTGCTCAGCGTTCTCATTTAACCACATTTACGCCACGCTTTGCAAGCGCCGCATCACGGCTCCATGCCGAGCCCGCGCTGGCAGCCACCAGCCCAGCGTCCATGGCGGCAATCGGCTCGCACATCCACCACCACGCCGCGCTCCTCCATCTCTCCCGCCCGCCAACTCACAGAGCAAGCCTCACTTGCGCTGGCTTGCAGGATGGGAATCACTTCCGCTGGCTTTCAGCGAAAGGCTCACTCGTGCTGACTTACAAGATGGGAATCACTTGTACTGGCTCACACCACAATGCTCCCTAGTTCTGGCTTACAAGATGGGAATCACGTGCACTGGTTTTCAGCGCAAGGCTTGCTAGTGGTGGCTTACAGGATGGGATGCACACGTGCTGGCTAACAGCACAGAGCTCAATCACTCTAGATGCCCAAGGTAATGTATCAATTGAGTTAAACCACTACTGAACTCTCTTTGGGGCCATGGGTTTTTATTCCAGTTGAAGGGGAGGAGATGATTAAGAACCGTCATTACAATCTTTATGCTCATGCTAACATCAAAGAATAATTTATGGCAATATGGCAGCTACAAAAATAAATGATGCTGTCTTTTATTGGGAACACGAGTTTGGGTCTCTGGAAATGCTTTTGATTTTAATGGGTGTGGCGGCATGCACGCTAATTGACCTCGCTTTCATAATTATCTGCTTGATTTTGGGTCCAATTGTGGAAAAAAAATAGAAATTATGTTTTTTTTATAGTTTACACATCATACTGACTCCTGCAGTTCCTTTATTATTAATCCTCACAAGGCGTGATCTTTCCATTACTCTATGAATGCTTACCCATGCCAATGCATCCCTCAGTCTTGCAACGTCACAAGACTATATCTCGAGGCAAATTATGTCTTCTTCATTCCATCTCTCAGCGCTCATTCCAAAATTGTAACAAAAGCTAAAAAGTGCACAATATAAAATGCTCCTCTCCACGTTTTTCTCTGTGCACTTTTCAGCATTTGTTTAATGCTCTTTGTCAATGTTTCTGATCCATCTGTTATGGTTGGTAATAGGCCTGTGATTTCAAATTGTATTCTTTGAGTACAGGTGTGTTGATGAACCATGATCAAATGCAGCAGTCCAAAAACACTGCAACATGTTCTCTCTTGATCTGATTTCGATCACAACCCGACTTCAATCATCACCCTGGACATAAATATTATCTTGTATTTTCAATTAATGTTCATCCATCAGTCATTTTAGTTGTGAACTTGCATGTTCATATTTATATTAGCCCGACTTTACAGTTCTTTGGTCATTTCCTGTGTTTCACTTTGATTGGTTGTAATGACTGCTGTCAACACATCTAAGATGGTTACAAATTACATTCTCCATTTATGTTTATGCTTGTTTTCATCCAAATAAATTTTCAGACTATATCTCCTCATGCTGCTGTAAATAGCATTGGTGAGAATGTATCTCCTTGCCCAACCGCTTTTCTGATTTGTATTTTTTTAAAAAATATTTTTCTTTATGCGTTTCAATGCAGCAGCTCCCTACCAATTCCAATAACCATCGCTGGTCAAAAAAATATATATCTTTTATATTGATTAAATACTACAACTCTTCAGTTTTCAAGTAAAACCTTAATTACATTATGTTTATGAAAGCAGGGACACGACGATCACCTTACAATGCATTTTAAAGGTTGGGTTAAAACAACAATATCAATTAAGCCTTTCATATAAACATTGGCACACAGATTACGCAAGACTCACGCAGGCTGCTGTGTGGCCATTTTGAGGGCTATTAATCACGATCATTGCTATTCATCTCACGAGCATACAAAGGCCACGGTTTGGGAGAAGAGGTCCATAATAAGCTCCGTCAGCATTTATGAACAAAGGCTAAATGATACGTTTCCAGCAGAGTGGTGTACTTAATTGCCTTTTGTCAGGGTGTTTTTTTGGGGTGGAGGGGTGACAATGCAGAGTTTGAGACCCCACAGAATTAGAGAAAACCATGGTTTTCATATTTCAGAAACCAGGTGCAGCCAGCTCACCTGACTAAAGCAGCTGGCAAAGGAAATATGAAACCTCCACGGTGTTTTTTTTTGTGTTCTTCTCTCATCTGCCAGATTTTGGTAATCCACTGGCGTCCTTATGAGACGTACAGTATGCGCCTGATTAAGGCTGATGATATTTCGTGGCTTCTGAACTTACACGTGCGTGGTGGCCCGATGTTTGTAAAACAGTAAAACAGCACCTTGGAAAAAGAGAGATTGTGGCAGACTGCACAGATTTCGTGCATCCACCTGTGTGGGGCAGCAAATCACCTATACGAGGTAGTGCAGCAAGTAGGTTCGTAGGTAATGTTGTGCAGTTTGAGTGCGTGTGGGATTTTTCTGGGAATCCTGGTATTTCTAGATCAGACTAAAACATTCAAAATGGAATTAGCTGGACTTTGCTGGATACAAAAATACATTGTTTCATGCTTAAGCTTCCTGGCACTAAAATTCTAAACTAAAATTCAGGCGTTCTGACCTATGAACAATGTACAGATAAGACACTATCTCGGGCCCTACATTCGAGGAATCCCCAAATGTACCAATGTGGCCGAGATGAAATGCAACACAAGAAAAGAGTAATGGCTCATTAGACCAACATTTACTTGTAATAGTTTTTTTACCGAATTGTAAAGGTTGCCATCTGTACTGGTTTTCTCAGGATGATTTACTCTGAGGTATCTGTCCTGGAAAATCTGGAAGTATTCCCGGGACATTAAAAGTCTTGGTCTTGTCAGTTGCGTAATAATACACCACTCAAGACAACACATTTACATGAAGTGTTCCCTTCTGGTGGTTTTGCGAGATATTATTATTATATATTTTTCTTCCTGTGATATGTCCTGGTATTTTAAGCCCTGGAGGTTACAACCCGACATGCCATCTGAATACATGGCCTGAGCAGGGAATGACGAGGGGACATGACGATGATGAGCAGTGGCGAGGGGAAGGCACTCACATCAACGATGAGAAAGTCGAGCCAGCACCACGCGTTGGTGAAGTACTTCTGGAAGCCATAGGCCACCCACTTGAGCAGCATCTCCAGGATGAAGACGTAGGTGAAGACTTTGTCAGCGTACTCCAGCACTGTCTTGATCGTCTTCCTTTGCTCGATGTAAATGTCCTCAAAGGCCTGCGTTAACAAAAGGAAGAAAGAGCAAATGTGTTTGCTTAACGTGGGCATCAATTTTTTTTATTAATTTCTAAATAATCAAAAATATGTCTTTCTAGCTATCTCCGAGGTGTTTTTGAGTTGCACCGCGTGTCAGTCAGAGTGATGTCCGACGTTTTGCTCCACGTGCTAGGATCTTGTTCAGGAACTTAGTCATTTCGGAACTCTGAGGAAGCTCCCATCATGTAGAGTGAAACGTTGACCCTTCATGGCGAACAACTCGCAAGGACAATCCGAAGGAGAGTTAAACAGCACAACGGTGAAAACCTCTGAAAGCAGGTTTATTCACAAATAATCAAGGAACCATATTTTGGCACGCTACGAATTGACTTTCATTGTGGATCACGATTGTCCGCACTGTAGGTACTGCTTCTTCATCCACAAAACAGTTCATAATGTCTGCCTGCTCAAACAAGCCTTGGGTGGTGCCTATCCCCACTGGCAATCACGAGCCAGTGATTTAAATTCTGAATTCCATATGCAGCACCGTTTTTATCTTCATTAATATACTTTACACATTCAGTTATATGTTACTGTTAAAAATGCTAAAGGTACGGACTGAAAATGCTAAACAAATTACGGAGGAAAATACCAGTGATCGAGTGATTAAGTTGTTTAGGAGTAATTGTTCGTGCCTCTCTGTGGGAAATCCAGCCTTGGATTGCTGCCCAGCATAGCTAGCCTTCGATGCTGCAACACTGCTAACGGGCACAGAATCCTGCCGCTCCACTCACTTTCTGTTACAATTGTAACGTCCTATTTTTACTTGTGTATGCGTGGAGGTAATTTTCCATCGAGAGGGCATCTCTAGAGCCCCCTCATGTGAAGGCCTTTCTACCAGTGCTGGCGTGAGCCGGTACTTGCAGGTCTGTCATTTCAGATTTTTTTTGTTTAATGGATAATGAAAATGTAAACTTGTGACTCGCTGCACAGTGTTCGCTCGTTCTCGAACAGAGAGAAAGAGAGCGACTGACGAGGTCCAAAGAACCACAGAATGAGCGAGAAAGGCAGCAGCCACATGGTGAGCCAGCAGGCACCAAATTCCCCCTACCCCCCACCCCCCCCCTAACCACCAAGCTCTGTGGTCCCCTCTATATGAAAATGCTATCAGCCAATTAATTAGTGTTTACATTTTTTACGCGTTTATGAATTCGAAAACACATTCTCACAGTTGTAATCTGTTCAGAGATAATTGAAGCTGACACACCGCGAAGCTTCGAGTAAGTTGCAAGAACAAAGCCAATAATAATAATAATAGGGGTCATTCCGTTGGAAACCAAAACTGAACAACTTTGTGGGTATTACGTGACTTTACCGAATGAGCCAAAGAATATGAATTCCTGCAGCCACGAAAGCTTTAAGTCAAAACTTTGTGGGTATTTGCTCAAACGAAAACCGTGCCCCGTGTTCCTACACAAAGAGTGAGCGGACGCAGAGCGCGCCATCGAGACGCTCTGCAGTACTGCGCACACCATCTTTCTAATCGCTTCGTGACCTTTGCGACGCGTTGCCGTGCTCTGAGATAATACGTTTTGTTTTCAGGCTATCCGTGGGATGCGGAATTTCAGCCGGGGCACGAATGCGCATACGTGGAGACGTTGTCCATTATCTGACCGCGATGGCTCTCGCGTCGTCAAATGCTACGCGGCGGTGGCCGATGCAGCGCTCTCGAAGTACGTTTAGTGGATCATTCATAATAAGCCTACGTGTTAAACTTAGTGGATCATGCAGACATCGTCACGTGTGTCAAACACATCACTTTGTGATGGCTGGTAAGATGAGTACTGCTCTGTATGTGATGTTACACCGCTCACCGCGAGCGTTCACGATGACCATCCAGCGATCTCCCGGCATGGCAGTTAAAACAATGGGAGTTTCTTAAATCCCCCCCCACTTATTCTTTGGGTCTTTCGGTAAAGTCACGTAGAACAAAAAAATTAACAAAAAACTACGACGTTTCGATCGCAACACAAGCAATCGTCCTGATGACGATTGCAACACATTGATAGAAACGTCGTAGTTTTTTGTAAAAACATTTATTCTACGTGACTTTACCGATAGACCCAAAGAATATGAATTCCTGCAGTCACGAAAGCTTTTAAGTCAAGATTTATCCCCCCACTTATGTTCAAATCAGCTGTGTAAATGAGTACACCACAGTTAAAATCCAGTGTCATTTTCAGGAATAGGCCATTGTGTGCTGGTATCATGGTCCAAATTTAAACAATAACCTACAAATAACTCAATTGAGGTTATGCCTAGCAATCATCGCCTCATTCTGCAAATGTCTTGTTTTGGCAGGACCCTCCTCATAAAGCGTCATGAGACTCAGTGAGGCTTCTGTGGGTAAACACGGGCAGTAATAGTAATAATAACAATAGTAAAAACCTTTACCACCTTTTGCAACTATTATTACTGTTACCAAAGCGAGATACAAGAGAGGAGGGACAGGTAGCTTGGGCACCGGACGGACGCGATCCCCTGTGACCGGTTTAAGAGGCTCACCAGGGCGCCGCTGCTGAGCAGGATCATGAACACGATGACCGACTCAAACCAGTTGTGCTCCACGATGCGATAGCAGGCACGGCGCAGGTTCCACCAGGACCTCCCGCGGTCCGTGCCCACGTCCAGGCGGCAGTACGGGAAGCGGTGCAGGCAGCCTGGAGTGCCATGCGAGAGGGTGGTGGGGGGTAGGAGGTGTGGAGCGAGTGAGACAACAGCAGCAACACCCAGAACAGATGCTCGCTCCCCCAGGCGGACATTACGGATCGGGACACCCGAGTGCAGTACGAGTTTCAACAAGAAGGGGCGTGGAAGCTTTTAATTCGCATTTTATTACGTATCTGTTTATCACTTCCTATTGTTCGGCTGCGATAAAAGTTGTATTCATGAAAAAGACGAATCTCCCTGCTGGATGTTGGTTGGTCACATTTTCTCCGTGAATTGATTACTTTAGATGACCACAATGCAGTTCTTCCGGAACTGGTGGTTTCCTATAATACGTAAGACTGAGAGCTTTTATCGTACACGCGGTGCCTGCACGAATGTTTGCTGTTGCGATTTTTCTCGTGAATTTACTGATTTGAATTAAAGCGAGCAAAGCGTCCCAAAGCAACATCTGACCAATTGCTCGTTACTTCAATTAAAGCAGCAAACAAAAAGCAGAATAACTCATCACCATAATTTATATCAGTTAAATATTTTATCCGTAATAAATAACTGCCATTGCTTTAAGAGTTATGGAGCTGTATACATTATGGTCAAAGGCACATACTTCATCGGGCAGGGCAAACTGCTGCTCAGAGTCTGACCAACGCTAATGAATGACGCATTGAGTAGGCACATAATGATCCACCCCCGCCTTCCCAAGAGGTTCGATCATTGTCACCATTTGGAATTGTGATTCAATTCAAGAATCGATAATTTGTTTTTATCAATATGTTACTGTATGAAATGTATTTTTATTATTTGTTTCTGTCAGTTGTGTTCACTTCATTAGTATAAGTGCAACAATCATGAATCCTTTGCATACATTGTAAATAAACAGATTCTTACATAAACGGTTTGATGCATGTCTTAAGCTAAATCAATTATGCTATTTGATGAATTCATGCCTATAAATCTTAATAAATAAGCATATTAAATGCTTCCTTCCCATATCTAGCTTTCTACATGAAAAAGTAGTTTTTACATATCCCATCATAAATACAGCCTTTGGGAGTGGATAATTTCAGCAGCATTGGTTCAATAGGAGCAAAACTCTGGACTGCTTTTGACATTCAGTGTCTCATCAGCAGAGTTTGACTTGCTAGAATCAATCCTAGCGAACTGCCAGATGTTTATAGGCTAAAGGACCTTCTCTGTCAGACGCTAGTCCCAGTCTGACACAAAACCTCAATACATAACACGAAATGACCATTATCAGCATTGTAGAGATCACAATATTTATGTAAGTAATCACATAAATAAACTGACAATACGCCTCCTAACGATTATTTTGTGTTGTGTTGTACAATCTGGGTCACAGCGAGAACCGTGTGTTAATGTGACTCGACACCACAGCCCCTGCAAATTCTGGCCATCATGGATCCATGCGTACTACCCATGCAATCCACATTCCGCTTCCGTCAAAATGTCCATGCGTGCGCTGAACACAATCGAGCCTGTGAAGTTAAATCATCCTTGCAACCACCCAGCTCGAATGTTGCAAGGTAGCGTTTTTAACTCGCGGATTTATACAGAGAAGAAAAATGTGGCTTTGGATAACTAAATTTCACGCTTATTTGCCACCCTATTTCAAACATCAAGACGTATTAGTTCTGCGTGGATGAATGGAAGTGAGAGGTTATGCAATCTGATGCCAGAATATGCAAAAAATATTAGCATTTCTGCTCCTATGAAATTAATGGTAGGGCACTTGAGTAGTGGAGGGTGGACAGAGGTTGAGAGTCCTGGGATCAGCAGGCAAGGCAGTAATCACGTAATGATTCACCACCCCCTCTTAAGAGATTCAGTGAATTATTAGAAGTCGTTATTTATATTCAGCATTCGTACTTTTTTGTCTATTATTTTACCGTTTCATGTGTATGTTTCTCATTTGTTCTGTCTCAATTGTGCTATTTAGTTTGCTCCGTTATCATAGATGTAGCATAATCATGTAATTTACATATCATAAGGAATCAATACTCATGCGTAGGATTCGATGCACATATTGTGAGAGGGCATACATCAATTTAATCGATGAATGGATGAATCACAAAAAAATTGAATATTGAATGCATCGTTACATCATTAAATGCATAATCGTGGGGGTCTGTCCGTCCGCTTGGACGCGTGTGGGACCCTCTGGCACGACAGCAGAGCGATCTTTGGCTGCTAAGTGGGCAGTTGGGGCTTGCAGATGCCGAGTGTGAGCCGGGAGAGCCGCAACGCTGGGTACCTGCAGCTTTTGGCGAGTGGAGAGTCGAAAGCCGTCAGTAGTGGCGGTTAAATTGGCCAGTAGTAACGTGTAGGCTGCTTATGATAGCGGTTCACGGTTTGAACCCGGCAGGCTGCCCTGGTTATTACTGCAGTGTATTACTGTCGGTATATTTGGAGCACCTCCCACTAGCACGGTTGGCGACGTGCGGTGCGAAAGAAGTTCAACATACATTAACTATAAAATATGCACCCTCTGCTTCACAGTGGACTTTATTGATCCCGTGAAGTTATTCGAAAAGAGTAGGCCATATAGCATGAGCGTCGTGGTCCAAATTTGCCAATTTTTCTTAATTACCTGAATATTATATTCTTGGTTCTTTCGGTAAAGTCACGTAGAAGGGAAACAATAAAATAATAAAAATATAAAACAATCAAAATTTAACTACCTGAATATTATTCACTTGGGATAACACGTAACAACTGCACACCCCTGCTGTGAAATTACTGCAGGCTGTACTTGCGACACAGAGCGCCTACGTGGGAGCCTTGGACTGTAAGAATGGCGCCAATACAAATCATAGGTAAGGCGCGGTGGGAGGGATCGAGCACAGTGTGCGCATGTGTGGGCAGGCCAGACGAGGTGAGCGGGGTGGCGGGAGGTGCAGAGAGCTCTCAGGGACCCGTGCCTTCTGTGAAGCACTCCTCTGGCTCCATCATCTCCTCCACGAGCTCCACGGGGACCTCCACCACTCCCTCCTTCTGGATGTCCACCGTGCTGCCCTCGGACGAGCTCACCGTGTCCAACTTCTGCAGTGGTGCAGCAGGGGGCATAAAGGTTGGGCACGCTTAAACACAGGCCAGACGGAGACGATGCCATCTGCTATAGCTCTCCGATGGGGTTTCGGCACGCGAGGATATACACGTGGACCGAAACGCCGGACATCATGCTTAATAACGTGTAATGCAGCCCGAAAACCCATCGGAGAGTTCTATAACACAATCGCAAACAACTACGCGGATGTAATCCCCTGTTAAATGATACCGGCCAATCCACCGCATTAGCAAGTGTGTTGGAGTTTACTTGATAGCCTCATAATTTGCACGTGGATTTTAAATGTTTTTCAGTAAAAAAGTAGTGAAATGGCCACTTCATGTTCTGCCTGTGGTACAACGCATGTTAATGACCTCAAGTTATTTTGTTAGAGAGTCTAAAAGTCAAAGTATCGCTGTGATTACATGTGCACTCATAACCCTAAGCCAGTGGTGGCAATTCCACATTTCTGAGATGAGGACCAATGCTTCCTGAGAAGAACCTCTGAGGTGTTGTGGGGGTTTAACTGTGTGTGCAACCTGAAAACACATCCGGGAGCTCTCACAGCACCTCTGATGAAGTGTTGTTCTCACACATTTAAGTATAACGCGTATTTGGAATAACATTCACAATTTGGAATCGCTCAAAGTGGTGGAGTGTGTGTCAGCGTCAGTGTAACCAAACCCAACAAATCAGCTGCGCTCCAGTAGAGCGACGGGCGACCGATTGATGCTGGGAGGTGATAATAGTTCAGCTGTTTTCATCATCAGATTAAATTTGTTAATAGCGCAATTCACAATTGGGAGGAGACGCTGGAAGGCAGAAATGTTGCTAATTAGGACTTCGACCAAAAGAACAGCTCAAGCACAATTAATTGGGGGAAAATGTAACGGACGAACGTGCTATTGCTCGCTCGCGATATGCAGACACACTTGTTGGTGGCCATGGCGACAGTTCGTGGTATTGTCGCACACGGCTGAGCGGCACAAAGATAAAAATAACAAATGAGGGCACAGAGGTGATAATAAGGGCCAAAAATTTGAAGTCATCTTTAAAACATGCGAGCGTTGCAAGTGGGAAGACTTAAACCCCTGTCTCAACTCTCCGACAACACATTGTTTTAGCAATCCTATGATTCATCGGAAAATTGGATGGAAAAGGTCACGAGTCTTTCAGAGAATGATATATCTAATTCTTTCAGGGCTTAATAACTCTGGAGTGCCTTGCAAATCCTTGCATACGATAAAACGTACATAGTGTGCATGGGCACACCTATATATAGCCCACCGAGCCTTTATCCTTGCTCTGCCTTTTCCCTCGGGGGGTAACAAATACAAAAACACGTGAGCTGCGAACGACGGGCAGGCAGGCAACACAACGTGCAAGTTCACTGCTCACACTTCCCCACCCCGTGGTGCCCGACCACCATCGCGATGAATGAATAACCTCCGTCTCCTCTCGTTTGCTTTTAATGAAGAGGAAATAAACAAGGTGGCGTAAGGAGTAGATGTGTCACCGAGCGGGGCACTATTTTAAGCATTCTACACAACAGCAGCTGTTGTACATATGAAGAAAATGTTCCTTAAGGATTTCAGTGCTCATGTTTTTGTACGCGGGACTCACAGAGGTGCGTGGCAAAGTCCCAGTGGTTTCGTACTTGAATTGACTTATTGGTGCCGGCAAATTTTGCGAATGTTTTTGCATAAATACATTCCAATAATTTCATACCAATTGACAGCCCAATAAATCATCACATGTGCGAACATTTTCTCTGCTAAAAAAAATTCTTATCGAGCGATGGAACCCTTTAGACCGGTGATAAATCGCGGGCTTGCTCGCTCGGCGGCGCAGTCCACGCCAGCGTGCACCTCGTCGCTCCGAGACCCTTCAACCCTCGGGAAGCCTGCTGCGGCAGCCTGCTGCGGCAGCGGAGAGAACCCCGCTGCGGAAACCCGCTGCAACAGCCTACCACGGGGCAGCAAGCTTCTCTTCTCCGCTTGGCTCTGCAATGGAGCAGCGCTTGCGTAAGCGCTGCGCTCCGTCCAGCAATGCTTCTTCGACTGGCTGGAGGGTGCTGCTGGCTGTGGCGTTTGGACGGCCAGCTGTAGGCGGCTCGGTGTTAAAAGCTCTGCGGCTCTCAGGAGGGCCACGGCTGTGGCACATTCCTGATACGGGGTAGGGGGGTCCCTTTCCCTTCATGGCGGCGAGACAGAATGAACCTGCCTCGTACCATCACCGCTGTTGTCACAGACACAGCGCGCCGCCCCGCTCATGTAATACGTTACATTGTACAAGTCAGAATAATTGTGATTGCGTTGGATTATTGTTTGCAATTGTTTCGATGGCAACGCATTTGTACCGCTTAACGGGATGCTGCTGCTTTACCTTATTTTAAGCAACATTAAGAATTTGCTCCGCTCATTAAAAATGTTTTATCGATATTCTTTGGGCCTTTCGGTAAAGTCACGTAGGTAGGTTCAAATGAATAAAAAATCAAATGAACCCAAAAAGACTACGACGTTTCGATCGCAACACAAGCGGTCGTCATCAGGCGGAGATAGAGAGAGAAACGTCGTAGTTTTTTGTTTATTTTATTTTCATTAATTTGAACCTATCCACGTGACTTTACCGAAAGACCCAAAGAATATGAATTCCTGCAGTCACGAAAGCTTTAAGTCGAGGTGTTCTATCGAGTCGTAATTCAACATTTGCCAGGGTGATTTTATTGTATCACGCTCATTATGTTTCACTGCAGTTGATGAAACGTGCTCCATAATAAGTATGTACACTATAATATTTGAACACGATATATGGTTATTAATATTAGTATTGTGTGATAATTGTATTATTAGCACGTGAAAAAGACAATCATATTGGGTGTTTTCTAAAGACAACAGTGCACACTGTTTGCTTTTCTTTAGTATGATGGCATAACAATGCAGTATTTTTTTTTTAACTGTAAGGTATGAATTGTCAATGATTGAAACACCTGTCTTCAACTGAAGCAACTTTCGTCAAATTAATATTGAAACTGCACGAGTTACTTTCGAGTGATTTAGAAGAAGAAAAAAATATTCCAGGATAATTTCTGCACTCAAATTATGTTCTTAAAAATTCATCAAGTGGAAATACTATAATTTCCAATTAGTTGCATACATAATGTATTCAAAATATGAATAATTTGTAAAGGAATAATTTGCGTTATAATGACATACATTTGTTTCCCAAACCATCTCTGTGGAAGCAACTTATTATGGTGCGCAGTGATGATTTATTGACAGTGCTTACTCGGTTTGGTGTCAGAGATGGACTCTGCGGAGTTCTTAGTCACATGCAGTTAAAACAAAATATAGTTCAATGGCCTTTAAGCACAAACCAAAAGTAAAAAAAAGAACAGTCACGTGAAATTCTACGGAAGATCTTACGAAAACAAGTGGCAGAGAACAGAGAGAAGATATCTGTCTTCTTGTTAGGACTTAATAGTTTGTGCCGCTTGTGTCATCGTCAGTCATGGGTAATGTCCTGACATATCTAATTGAGCTTATTGCTACTCAGCACAGCTCGCAAAGTGAAACGGGTCGTGCTGTTTCTTGCCATCAAGCGTCCAAAAACAACGGCAACCGATACAAATCAAGCATAATCAGAAGCAACTTCGAACAGGAGGTTACAATGCACCTCCAAAAAAAGAGGTCACAACAACATTACCACTCACCACCAAGATACACCACTCACCACCAACACCGCTCACCACCATGAAATACCACTCACCACCAAGAAACACCGCTCACCACCAAGAAACACCACTCACCACCAAGAAACACCGCTCACCACCAAGAAACACCACTCACCACTAAGAAACACCACTCACTACCAAGAAATACTGGTCACATGTGGAATGAGAGGGTAGTAATTCAGCTTTCTTCTCATGCAGAGCCAGTGGCACAACTTTCAAATTTTGCCTTCCGGCCTCGCATCTATAATTAGTGAGCCTAATGTTTAGCATCGGAATGAAAATGACAGCACACATTGAGTTCACTACGTGCAGGTTTTGTTTAGGCAACTTTGCGCACTGTATATTGACGTCAAAAAGGTTTGGTGTGTTCGTGTTTGTCAATGTTCATTATGCCAACATTGGACATCTGCCAAAATATCACGTGACTAAATAATTGAGCAATTACGTCTAAGAATGATACAGTTTACGTAGTGGCAGCGAGGTTTCGAAGGAACAACAGCAAATAGATTGTTGACCTATCTGCATGCTTTAGTATTATTTTGTATACATGGAACCTTGTTTTTTGACGGTTTTCCTAATACATGAGACAACATTCTCGTTTAGATAATCCCAAATGACACTTGATACTCAGTGGAGACCCTTCTGGCTAATGTAGAGATTGTTTATGCAATGTAAAAAAACACTTTTACATTTTCTCAGCTTTTCTCAGCACTTCACTCTTGCCAAAAATTAAGGCAGAGTTTTATTTTATGCGGCATTATTCTATTATACTTGACCATCAATACATTTGCAGGAAAAGTGACCCAGCTATCCCACACAGATATTTCAGATCATACTCTATGTTATCAATTGCCGTCCTACATTGTACGGTCATCGATAGCTAGTAGAGGGACGGATGGCCTTTCTCAGCAGGGTAAACATCTTAAAATGGCAGTTTGTCCAAAAACAACCCTGTGATCCCATACAGAAAATTGTATTTTGGAGTTCTGCTATTGGTTTGGGTCGCAACTGCATTTGCCTACACACACAATGTGGTTTTGTTATGGGCAGAAACAAAAAACAAACGGCCGATAACACTGGCACATAACCACGTAAGCCTGAGACACATCTGGTATTCAATACAGTGTCACTTGCCCACAGGGCCACGCAACATTTGTCAAACGTTTAAATATTTCTGCTGCAAGCTCCACTCACATGTACCACGAGCGCAAAACCAAGATATTCTCATCTCTTTGAAATGGATCTCTTGCCTGCCTGGATTGCAGCTAACCATGCACACGCAATGCTTTATGTTCTTTGAAAATTGCTTTCAGAGCATAGTGATGAGTGTGGAATTGCTTACAGTCCAGCCTCAAGGGCACAGCGACTGAAACTGCTTCCATATAAAATTAATGCACTTTCTGGTCTTTTATTGTTATCGTGCACATTACGGTGTTTCCACACTGTAGCTCGTAGCCCTCGATATCCCACACTGCACGGCGTGCCGTAGAAGGGGAGATCATTGCAGTGTTTAAACACTGCATATCATCCTGCAGGGTGGGCACTATAAACCTGGAAACATAAGTTCGGTTCCTGGCTGAGGCTGTCAATGGTATATGAAGCATTCTTGGCTCTCCCCCCTTCCACCCTTCACCAACCCACACTGACCAGTGTGATGAAGTATGGTAAAACAACCCCCATCACTGACATAATGGCCCTTCTTCTTTGGTTCTTTCCAGACAGTCTCGTCCCTTCACCTGATGAAGGCCGCTTGTGTTGTGGCTGAAACGTCGTGAGAATATTATTGTGTTATTTTATTTTATCAATTTATTATTTTATTCTCATTCTACGTGACTTTACCGAAAGAACCAAGAATATGAATCCCTGCAGTCACGAAAGCTTTAAATAAAAAAAATACTGTTCACTTTTGCCAATTTGCTTTTGTGTCTTCCTGTGGGTTGTGAGGTGGCCAGGAGATGGCAATACAGCAATGGATTCTTGAATCTATATATGCAGAACCGTTGAGTGTTATCCCCTCGTTTACAATGTGGATTTTCTCTGACTATTCTCGTTCTGTCCCACATGGAAGCATTATGGAATTGGCCAAACGTCCAAATTTCCATAAAAAAGTCTTAAGACATAGCGATAATTCCCTGGACAAAATAAGGGGCATTATTATTATTTTATTATTATAATTGTTAGGTGGAGCAGTGGTGCAATGGTTTGCACACTTGTGCTACAAACTCCACCTTCATCAACCAGCACGCACCAGCGTGGTAAAGTATGATTAAACAAACCTCACAACAGATACGACATGCAGAGGGCCATTATCCATCAGTGGAATTGAAAACGGCTGCACGATAAATGATGATTATTATTAATAGTCCGATATACCTCTCACTTCTCGTCACCTCCTCACATTCCTCTTTCTGTACGTGAGATGACGAGCTTCTATCAGCTCCCCTATCCTTGAGCCCCTGGGCCTGTGCATCCTTAATTTGGGAAATTTCACACAAGTATCTGAATTCCACCCAACTGGGGTGAAGGGGACCTCTGTGACCAGGGCACATGACTCGTAATCAGGTGGTCGTGAGTTCAAATCCCGGTCGGGGATGCGTCCTACAAAGTGGTCACTCATTCAAGGGAATGTGTGATCATATTCTTGAGTCTTTCGGTAAAGTCACGTAGATAGGTTCACGAGCGTTCGTCATCTTCCTGATGATGAACGCTTGTGTTGCGATAAAAACGTAGTTTTTTGTTATTTTCTTTGAACCTATCTACGTGACTTTACCGAAAGACTCAAGAATATGAATTCCTGCAGTCGCGAAAGCTGTAAGTCAACGAGAGAGACCGCACCACGCCAGAGGTAAAGGTGCAGCCCGGGCACTGCTGGATGAAGGCCCTCCACTATCTCTACAGGATACATAAAACGAGTACTTGGCCTACTCTTCCAAGCTGCCAGACATCCTGGAAGAGATGGGAGTGCCCACACTTTACCCCACCGCACGTGGCCTGCCTATCAACTATTTTTCGGGTGCCCAATTATACTGCTGGGTTTACAGAGGTGGGGAAGCATTCAAGAAACTTGCACCACTGTTTCAACTGTTGTGCCAGGGGTCCAGTTAAACCAGCGACCTTTGAATTGCAGGTCCAGCGTGCTAACAACAGTTACTCCAATGCAGCACCTCCATAGGAATGTGGAATTTCCACCAGAATCGTCTCAGATCCTCCAACGGACAGGTGCACAGCCCCCAATGCTTTGACCGTATACCCGTCCATCTCGAACGAGTCTCCCCCTCTCCCCCACCCCCCCCCCCCCCCCCTACACCCGCCCCCCCAGGGCACCCACCTCCTTGCTTTCATCCATGCCAGACTCCGTGGTCTGGTTGTCGTCATCCTCGTCCTCCTCGTCACGGTTCTCGAAGTCGGACTCGCCCACGGCGATGGGAACGCGCACGCCCAGGTTGGGGTTGGTGAGGAAGCCGAGACGATCGACGTCCAGCACGTGGTGGTTCTTCAAGCTGTTCCCCACGCCGGCGGCGCCGCTCGCCACGCCATTCCCATCCTTCACGATTGACTCTCCCTGGACGCACGCGCACACACAGAGATGCACCCCCCCCACACATTGTAGCCTACAACAGGCTGTTGGGGAGAGTTAGCGAGTACCTTTGAAGGTTGGCACGTCGCCCTATGGAAATGTGGTGTGGTCTACACCACGTTTGGCCAACTTTGCTTCCCCAGCGCTGATGTTTGCACACCGCACGAGGTACTACTTTTTAAGGCTGAGTAGACCTAGGGCAGGCCCAGAACCGGTTCACTCGCTCCTTGATGTCAGCAATGGCTGGGAATCACACTAAGGCCGCCGGGCTCATAGAGCTGAACGTTAACCACTGCCAAAGACGTGCACAGCATGTACACACGCAAATACACACAGCACATGCAACACACACACAGCACATGCAACATACATACGAACACACACACAGCATATATGCAACACGCGCACACACACAGCAGAAACATAAGCACAGATGCAGGCACTCACAAACACACACCCACGACACATGCAGGACATATGGGCACACGCGCACGCACTCACATATGTACACATGGACGCATGGTCGACTGCCAGTTGCAATCAGCATGCTGTACAGTTACATGGGCGGTCAGTCCTTGCCAGCCCGATTTCAATAAAGGATTTGCCAAAAGCACCGTAGCCCATTTTCCTTTCTGATTAGTGTTGTGTTACTTTTCTATTTGATTCAGCACTTCGGTAGAATTCAGAAGAGAGAGTTAACGTGTGAACGTGCCAAGTTTCTGGACTTACTTCCCCAATAATCTGAATGTCGTATTTATATAACAGAAGAGACACAAAATGCCCACATTTCCAGTTGTTTAACAAGTGCGTTTGGAATTATGATGTTAATATTAGGTATTAAAGTGTGTCAAATTCCTGTGGCATCTGTTTAGCTACAATGCCTCTTTTGTAAAATCTACGATGCCAATTTATTCTATGACAAAAAAATACCACGAAGCATTACCATGTCACAGTCCCTCTGTTTAGCATTGTACAAACTGGATAAAAAAATACCTTAGTGGTAATGTAGTATCCAACAGAAGAACTTAACTTATTTTGGAAAAATCTTGACTTAAAGCTTTCGTGACTGCAGGAATTAATATTCTTTGGGTCTTTCAGTAAAGTCACGTAGATAGGTAAAAAAAAACTACGACGTTTCAATCGCAACACAAACGGTCGTCATCAGGAAAAGGGGGTTAGCTTCTAAAGGCAAACTGTTTATAAAGGTTTGAAATGGGCGTAGCCCAAATGTCAGCAGCATGGGCGGGGCAGCTAATGTTAATGTAAGTGGTGGGCAGCAACCACGACGGTGGTTGGTTTTCCACCAATCAAAGGGCTGCCAGGTGAAAATTAGCATGTTAATGTAAGATCGGTGAGCGGCCTCCACGGCGCACGCGCTGAGGTGACTGTTAATGTGAGAGATTAGCATGTTAATGTAAGATCGGTGAGTGGCCTCCACGGCGCACGCGCTGAGGTAGCTATGTTAATGTGAGAGATTAGCATGTTAGTGGAAGATCGCAGAGCAGCAACCTCTAGGTCGGCGCGTGGAGTGGCTGTGTTAGTGTGAACCTGTTAATGAACAACTAACATCGGAAAGTGGTAGGATGGGAACATCACAGCCAGTTATGACTTAAACTGGTTGATAACGTCCTTCGAATTATTGCTCAGTTTGTACCTATCTTCTCGGTTGAAATTGTGTCTGTATATATGAATGGCTTCATGAACGAATCTCTGTTGATAGCCAGTGGGTTTGCAAAGTACCTTCGTCTTAGAGAAATACATTTCGTGTGAGCCCACCACATTAAAACAATGATCAGCAACGGCCGAGGTATTGGTCCTACCATGTTGCAGATCTGCCTTATGTTCATGAACACAGTCCGAGACATGTCGCTTAGTTTCCCTAATGTAACTACTGCCACAGACACAGCTTAGTTTGTAGATGCCGGGGTATTGCATGTCAGGGATCACATCCTTCACAAATGGAATCAGATGACGAATTTTATGTAGTGTTAAATTAAACCTGTATCTTGTGTTTGCTCATGATTTTGGAAATATTTTTGGTGACCCCTGTTATGTATTGCAAGGTGATGGTTTTGAATGGGTCCTCAGATGGTTCTTTCCCAATGGTTGGGGTGATAGCTTTACGGATTGCGTAGTCTGAATATCCATTCACCTTGAGAGCTTGGTGTACGTGAATATCCATGAAATAAAAAAAATTGAGTTACGTGATTATCTTACCCCATCACAACGATTCATGGAGATGATACAAGTGATCTATCCGTACTTTATGGTTTAAGTGAGATTTCATTATTTAGTTGATGTGTTATATTACACCGGTGTTACCTAGAATGGATGTGGTTCTCTTATCGCAGCACTAATCTCGTCATTGGCCAATACGAATGAAGATGCTTGCAATCAAGGAGAAATTAATGCTCGCTGTGAAGTAGATTGGAGGTGCTTTGAAGGTTAACGATGTTTTTCAAGTTAAAATTCTTAAAACCAAGCGCCGAATGTCGATCCATCGACCTCATACCTCTTTTAAACTTTATAAACTGAGCTACGCCGTAGGCACGCTGAGTCGGCCCGGTGCCGACATCACGCAAAGGGAGCAACGTCATTAACCCTTGGCCCACGTTTGGCCCCAAGCAAGATTCAGATGTTTTGTGAGCCCGGAACATCACAGTTGGACTCTGGCTCGGCTCCACGTTGCCTCGGCTCGCATGCGTCAGCGGAACTGGGGTGTCGGCGTCGCGTGGTACCTGCACGCCCGTGTGGTTCCCCACATAGATCTCCATCTTGTCAAGGCCTCCGAGGTCATCCAGGGCCTTCATCTCCTCGTTGTCACAGCTGCGTTTGAGCGCCTTGCGGAAGACGTCGCAGATGGAACGCTTGATGAAGGAGACACCACGCTCGATGCGGCCGATGGCCACCTGCAGGTTGTTCATCTCACCGTCGTCGTCCGTGGCTGACAAGTTGTCGCCGCTGAAGGAGCTCAGCAGCAGCGCCAGGAAGAGGTTGAGCACCTGCGTCGGTCGAGCAGATGGGCACAGCGCTACGCTAGAACACCAAAGGCGCTGCACGGGCATGCGGCGCACACATGTGAACGTCGCCAAGGCGGCCAGCAGAGTGCGTGGCCCTCGCTGCATTGGCAACGCCACACGTGAACGGCGGCATTGCTACATGGGCATGCGTGTCAAGCATCTTTCATTACATTGGCATAGAGCACTTGAACACCATAACGTCACAACATGGGTGCCGAGCACACGAATGTGACTGCATAGACACACGACATGTGGACCACATTGTCCTAACTTTTCAGGCATGCACAGTGAATGGCACTCCCTCAATGCACGCAACAGCACAAAGCCCTGGCGACACCAGCTTCAGATGTTACTGATGCTAGCCGTCACTGAAAATCACGCTCAGGTCACGGGGTTCATTGTGAGGTGTCCGATCCATTAAAAAGTATAATGTGATATTTCAATGACATTGTAGCAGAACATCTGAGGAAATGTCAAATCGTGTTTTAGACATACTACAAAAAAATAAGTTGCCCATCTGATACTGTTTCATGCTTGTCAAACGATCTTTTTGTTAGTTTTGCTGGCTGGCTTGCTTGACCGCGCAAATCTGTACGATGATGTCACCCGCCCTCCATCCCGGGCGTGAATCCCACGCACGTGTGACAGAGAAGAAAGATAGGAGGGAGATGGCGGAGGGAGAAAAAGACGGAGAGGATAGGGGCGGGGAGAGAGGGAAGGGCGTGAAACGGAGAGCAAGAGAAAGCGACAAGCAGTGGGAGGGAGGATTAGAGAGAGGCAAGAGAGATTGAGACGGTAAAAGAGAGGTGGGAATGAGAGCGAGATGTGAGATAAACCGGGAGAGAGATAGGGGGAGGTAAGTGGGTGAGATACAGTGGAGGGAAGAGGGGAAAATAGAGGGAGCGGTAGAATAGAGAAACAGTTAAGCATTGAATTTAGACAAAGGGGTTTTAGCCTTCACGATGAGGTTAAAAATCAATATCGGCCTTCAAGGCAACCTTGTTTTACTCTCTCATATTTTAAGGAAAAATAAATATATTGCTAATGCTCAGCTTTTGATAAAATGTATGAAGGTTCCTTTCACGTAATTTGTGAACTCACTGAACACAAACCAATAGCACTGATTTGTACAGATTGGCTCAGTAAGTGCTTACATTATTGTGCCACAATCGGAATTCATATAAAATCAAGTAAAACATAATGAAGCGACATTTTACATTTTCCACATATTAACTCGGCTCTCAATGAGCTGCATGAATGTAGTCACATGATTGTGATGACTTATTAAGCTTCAATTACTGTACAGTTAATGCAACTTGTTTAAAATGCCTACGAATGTGATTCCGGTCATAAACTTTTTAAAATGTGTTTTTTTTCAAGAATTACTTTGTGATTCAATATGCTACCGTTAATTAACTTTACTAAACAAGATAATTAATGTTCGTGCTCACAGTAAGCAATTAATTATTGATAGCATGTTATTAACCAATTTGTCGCAATAATTTCTGTACCATTAACATAATAATTTTATTCGGACGCCTCTCTTTTAATTGGGAGGGGGGTGGGGGGGGGAATTTATATTTATTTAAGTGACCCCGTTTTTTTGAGAAGTTTACCACGGCAGATCGCACCTCGATAATGATCTCGCATGAAGAACTGACCAGAGAATCACGCGGTAGAGCACCCAGCCCCGAGAAATGTATATTCCCACAGCGAGGTCCGCTTTAAATACGACGACTCCGTGCCCTGCCCGTGCGTCTCGGCGTGTTGTGTGGTTGGCGAGTGCGTGAGCTGCGGCCGGGAATAAGAGCTGGGGATGGGAGCGATCGAGGCTACGATGCGGGCTGGGGGCGGAGGGGACGCGCACGCCAGCTTGCATTTTATTTACAGAGACAGATGTCTGACTACAACTTGCGGTGCCTAGCATCGTCCGACTGGGCAGAACAGAACGGACACGTTCAGAGTCAGGGATGGCTTCACGTCTTGCTTAATCGCCCGAGACGCATCGCCCCGACCATTTGCCCCACCGTTGGCGACGGAAACATCGCCGGACGTTTCCTTCAAAACTCAGGAGGGGGCGGGGGGGGGGTAGGGGTACGCCAACGATACGTGAATGGGACCCACAAGCGTGGTTGGGAATGTTGTCGAGCAAAATCAAGCGAGCATCTCAGATGGTTGGCTGCGTACGGTGCGAAAAGGAGTTAAAGTTCAAACACCGAGATTTCAAAAGGTGGACGATCACACCGAGGGAGGTGTGAACAGTGGGTGAGCGCTGGGAGCGAGAATGATGTTTCAAAGGGATAGGAGAGAGGAGGACAGATGATGGATGGGAGGGCAGGAGGGAGACTCCCATCCATTCTGCCTTTCAGTCTTCGTTATTTATTAGCAAATCGAGGTGGATGCACCCAGATGGCGAGGGAATGCTTCTTGTGCATGCATGCAGAAATGTGGCCTCAAAGTGCACCTGGCCTGGCACAGGCACCGTGGTGACATCACCGCCACTTTTTAGTGGTCGAATGGCGGCTGTTGTGCGTTGTTGCACCAGTGTGTTTGATGGTTTGAGTGTGTGGAGCACGGGCAGTGGTATAGTTGTTTGTGCACGACGCTACAACTTTGACAATCTGGGTGATATTTTTTGTCTCATGCAGATCAATGTGAAGTAGTAACCTTGCCTGGGTCTAACCTAGGTTAACTCAGCCTTCAATTCACACGTGGCACATTTAATATTACCGTGGGGAAAAGTAGTGGTCAGGAACGGGGACTGGATGGCTACACGACATTCTTGTATACCTGTTTACATGCATGCAGATCCGGCCAGAATAGGCGCTCGTTAACAGCATTGGTTCCTCCGTTATACAGGAATAAATTGTGTATTTGTCCTAGGCCATGCCCAGAGAGCAGAACATTTATTTGTCTCCAGGATAAATAAAGATTCTGATTCAGTTGTAAAATTCTCTTCAGTGCGGGCTCTGCGGGAGCTGTTTAAGAGCCTAGCTGTGTACAGTTACAATAATGCCAATACATTTAAATGATAATTTGTTAAGAGTCACTAAAAGTTAATTGATTTTTGATGAGTTGGAGAGAGATAAATGGGCTTATAATTAAATCTAACATTAAAGTTAATTTTGTTCATTTAATCTAACAGCGGTGGCGATTTGTTTGCTCAATCCCATCTACAGGGGAATTGAGCAGCGTGGCGTTGTCGGCTGACGGGGGCGTCTCTTGGTCAATGTTGCTGGGACGAGATGTTTTTTTTTTAGTTTTTAATTTTTACGTAGTTTACAATTATGGGTGCTACCGTGTTAAAACAGAATGGCGTCGGATGCCTCGTTGTTGCATTTTATTTAATATTTACGCGTTATCTTTGCTTTGGAAAATCGAAGAGTGATTAATACTATACAGTGAGGGAAAAAAGTATTTGATCCCCTGATGATTTTGTACGTTTGCCCACTGACAAAGAAATGATCAGTCTATCATTTTAATGGTAGGTTTATTTGAACAGTGAGAGACAGAATAACAACAACAAAAAGCCAGAAAAACGCATGTCAAAAATGTTAGAAATTGATTTGCATTTTAATGAGGGAAATAAGTATTTGACCCCCTCTCAATCAGAAAGATTTCTGGCTCCCAGGTGTCTTTTATACAGGTAACGAGCTGAGATTAAGAGCACACTATTAAAGGGAGTGCTCCTAATCTCAGCTTGTTACCTGTATAAAAGACACCTGTCCACAGAAGCAATCAATCAATCAGATTCCAAACTCTCCACCATGGCCAAGACCAAAGAGCTCTCCAAGGATGTCAGAGACAAGATTGTAGACCTACACAAGGCTAGAATGGGCTACAAGACCATTGCCAAGCAGCTTGGTGAGAAGGTGACAACAGTTGGTGCGATTATTCGCAAATGGAAGAAACACAAAAGAACTGTTAATCTCCCTCGGCCTGGGGCTCCATGCAAGATCTCACCTCGTGGAGTTGCAATGATCATGAGAACGGTGAGGAATCAGCCCAGAACTACACGGGAGGATCTTGTCAATGATCTCAAGGCAGCTGGGATCATAGTCACCAAGAAAAAATTGGTAACGCACTACGCCGTGAAGGACTGAAATCTCGCAGTGCCCACAAGGTCCCCCTGCTCAAGAAAGCACATACACATGCCCGTGTGAAGCTTGCCAATGAACATCTGAATAATTCAGAGGACAACTGGGTGAAAGTGTTGTGGTCAGATGAGACCAAAATGGAGCTCTTTGGCATCAACTCAACTCACCGTGTTTGGAGGAGGAGGAATGCTGCCTATGACCACAAGAACACCATCCCCACCGTCAAACATGGAGGTGGAAACATTATGCTTTGGGGGTGTTTTTCTGCTAAGGGAACAGGACAACTTCACCGCATCAAAGGGATGATGGACGGGGCCATGTACCGTCAAATCTTGGGTGAGAACCTCCTTCCCTCAGCCAGGGCATTGAAAATGGGTCGTGGATGGGTATTCCAGCATGACAATGGCCCAAAACACACGGCCAAGGCAACAAAGGAGTGGCTCAAGAAGAAGCACATTGAGGTCCTGGAGTGGCCTAGCCAGTCTCCAGACCTTAATCCCATAGAAAATCTGTGGAGAGAGCTGAAGGTTCGAGTTGCCAAATGGTCAGCCTCGAAACCTTAATGACTTGGAGAAGATCTGCAAAGAGGAGTGGGACAAAATCCCTCCTGAGATGTGTGCAAACCTGGTGGCCAACTACAAGAAACATCTGACCTCTGTGATTGCCAACAAGGGTTTTGCCACCAAGTACTAAGTCATGTTTTGCAGAGGGGTCAAATACTTGTTTCCCTCATTAAAATGCAAATCAATCTATAACATTTTCGACATGCGTTTTCTGGATTTTGTTGTTGTTATTCTGTCTCTCACTGTTCAAATAAACCTACCATTAACATTATAGACTGATCATTTTGTCAGTGGGCAAACGTACAAAATCAGCAGGGGATCAAATACTTTTTTCCCTCACTGTACGTTATTAATGGCAAAAGTAGAGGCCGTTTTTTGGACAGTTCGATTTAATTTTGGACAGTTCAATTCAATATTGAACTTATTCAGTGTTAATGGTTGAAACACAATGGTGGCCCCTACAGCTTCGCATTCAGCATTAAGTACAGTATAAGTTAATTTGGTATGAGCGGACTTTGTTTTTACTTATTTTGGTCGAGATTAATGTAATGGTTGATTCAGAGAGGAGACACTTACAGTATTTGTTTTATGATTGGTACAGTATTATTTGTCTCATATAATTCGATATTAAATGTTATTCATTTTTACAAGCAAATATTGTTTAATTTATGTACCACTAGCTTTACTACCCGGCTTCGCCCGAGACTTGGATTCTTGTCTTGGATTTATACACGGCCTACGCGGAGGGTTGGAGGGGGGGATGCGTGACGTCAGCAAGAACACACTGCATGACGTCAGCAGGCACACTGCGTGACGCTGCCGCATGCGGGTGACATCACAGATAAGACGTCACCGCTCACTTGCCGTGCAAAATATATCCATTATTGCGCCCCCCCCCCCAAATACAAAAGTCTATTTTTATACTTTTTGCATTATGTACAGTCTGGAAGCTACCCACATGCCAAATATCAAGTTTGTTGCATGTTGGGAAGTATGCTAAACATTTTGAACAGACATACATATTCACAAATTTCCCTTATATATAGATTACAGTGGTTTTTAATAGGACACTTTGGCTGAAATATATATTTTTAGGTCTTTTTGTTAAATATGGTTCATGTGTTATATTGAGTGCCAGCTCAGTGGGCGACCGCGGGATTGAGTAGAGTGGTGTTTTTGTGGCGTGGGCTGATGTGTGTGTCTCTTGGTCACTTGCAGAGATACAAAAGCTACCCAGAAGAGCACTTATGAGTAAAGTGTTGCCATTACAAGACCCACTCGCATTCCCTCTTTGTGAAGTTGTCCAGTCATCTCAACCATCCACGTGATGCGAAAGAGGACAAAAACACAACGCAGAATAACATCTGTAATCGTCCCAGAATGCGTTTTTTAGCCGGCCTGATCTCTTGTCACGATCGCAGTGGGAGACAAACAGTATGGGCTGGCTATACCAGCGTCGAAGAGTAGGCCAAATACCCTCCGGGAGGGACTCACTGGAGCACCTTCTAGTGGAGGCTTTTCCGCCAGCAGTGGCATAAGCAAGCAATCGCAGGTCCGGGCCTGTACACGTACGTGACGGCGTGCGCACTCGCTCACCACAAGGTTGCCGATGACCATGACCATCATGAAGACGATGAGGCACATGGCCTGGCCGGCCACCTCCATGCAGTCCCACATGGTCTCGATCCACTCGCCGCAGAGCACACGGAACACGATGAGGAACGAGTGGAAGAAGTCGTGCATGTGCCAGCGAGGCAGAGTGCAATTCTCGCTGATCTTGCACACGCACTCCTTGTACATCTTGCCAAAGAGCTGCATCCCCACCACGGCAAAGATGAAGACGATGATGGCCAGCACCAGCGTCAGGTTGCCGAGGGCGCCCACCGAGTTGCCGATGATCTTGATGAGCATGTTGAGCGTGGGCCACGACTTGGCCAGCTTGAACACGCGGAGCTGAAAAGCAGATGCACCGCACAACCCGTGAACATCGCGGCAATCAACAACAGCGCCGGGCACTTGAACGGCACAAAAAAACCGTTCGGGATGTATAAAGCGTCTAAATACACCAGTATTTGAAAACACTATGGATGTGCTTGGGGAGGAAAAAGCCCACAATCTGACAGGATGTCAACCACGAAATGTTGGAAAGGATGAATGCAATGGAAGTTGCAGCAACAGACACAAGTGGACAGCCCACTGGAAGGGAATATTGGTGAAGGAAATGGTGCTTCCCCAGTGGCTCAAAAGCCAAAGAACTAGAATAAGCTAAATGAAATAGGACACGTGCATATATATGTTGATATTCTTTGGTTCTTTCGGCAAAGTCACGTAGATAGAAAACAAAAAACCCACGACGTTTTGATCGCAACACAAGTGGTCTTTTTTTTCCTTTCCTTCTCTCTGCCTGATGAAGCCCGCTTGTGTTGCGATCGAAACGTTGTTGGTTTTTTCTTTTATTAAATTTTTATTTTCTATCTACGTGACTTTACCGAAAGAACCAAAGAAGATGAATTCCTGCAGTCACGAAAGTTTTAAGTCAAAATGTATATATGTTCGGTAAAGTCACGTAGAATGGAAATAAAATAATAAAAATAAAACATAATAAAATAAAATTCTCACGACGTTTCGGCAACAACACAAGTAGCCTTCTTCAGGTGAAGGAACATAACTGTTGGGACGACAGCGCTTCAATGAACACTGCTAAGCTTCGCAGCGTCTTTTAAGCTGGGTGGGAGGAGCAGAGTGCCTTGACAAAGGAGTTTACATATCAACAGAAGAATTTAGCATTGAAATAGCTGTGTCAATGTGATGGATTAGCAGGGTGTTAAAGTAAGAAATTAGCATGTAACTGGGAGATTAGCATGATGTTAATGTGAGGGATTAGCATGTAACTGGTCACGGAAGTAGCTATGTTAAAGTCAGAGTTTACATATCAACAGAGGCATTTAGTATATTGACGCTAAAGAACTGCAACTACCCAACTATCATACAATAAGCCGGCTTATTGTATGATAATTGGGTAGTTGCAGCCGGCTTATTGTATGATAGTTGGGTAGTTCCATTCTACGTGACTTTACCGTAAGATGTTGGGTAGTTCCATTCTACATGACCCTACCGTAAGAACCAAGAAGATGAATCCCTGCAGTCACAAAAGCTTTAAATCGAAATGTATATATTTTGATGTTCAGGGAAGCTCATAACTTTTCCACTATTTTTCTGCAGATGTTTCTGTAGATGTATGAGTTTAAGAATCCATTTTATATGACGAATCAATGTTTCGTTACATGCCTGATATAAATATTTGGTGCGATAATTATCAGCGTTAATGTTCAAGAGTAAAAATGTACAGTCTTTTGTCAATCAACTGGTACATGAAGATCTCCCCATGCTGCGTTGGTCATGGGAATTGTCTGACCAAAATTGGCCACACTGGTCAGTGCGGATTGGCGAAAGCGATGGTATTACTCGTCACTTGATGTTAGCCGTGGCGAAGGATTAAATTGCACCTCTCACCCCCCTGCTCACCCGTCCAATCTATAGTCGAGTAATGGCTAATTTCTATGGCTCAGCTGGCCTTTGCTGATTTCCTTTCAACTCTCTCCTCGCACCGTTGTCAATTTCTTCCCCCCACTCGTTTAACCAAAATGAACTGGTGATGATGACAGCCCCCAGGTCATGAGTTATTTTTCGAGAGATTTCCATGACCCGGGTCCCTGTCTGTTGGTGAGATCTCCACATCTAGACACACAAAGGCTATTGTATACGTTTAAGAATTGATATTGCTCACATCGAGTTCGTCTCACTAATTAGCAATCTCTAATTAGCACGGTTGGCTACGAACGGTGAGAAACAAGTTCAATATACATACTATTTTTTTAAATCTCACGACCCGCTTGAATTTCAGAGCCCCGAAAATCTAGTAGATCGCGAGTCTCAACTGGACCCTGCTTTATAATTCGCGCTCACTCAGAGCCCTTCACTCGTGCCAAACACTGCCGCAAAGCCACTGAGGTTTCGTTTTTGTCTTGTAACGTTAGCGTCACGTGGAAGGTAATTGCTGTGGACATCTATGGAGTAGGCGGCTATAAATAAACACCGACCCTTACAATATTGAGCATTCCTTTTGTGAGAAAAAAATATTGTTTCATAGCTAAAGAAAACATAAACAAGATTACGTCCTACAATTGACATATTTATATACGAATACAATGTACAAAAAACTATTGATAGTGGATTGGTTGTGGTGCACAAGCACAAATAACAAAAACAAACTCAACACGTTTCTCAATAACTGCCCTGAAAGGAAAATGTATATATCAGTTTGTGTACACGCGAGGAATTGATGAATGTGTCGAGATTTTGAATTTACACCCTGCAATTAAATTTTCCAATTGGCCAACGCTGACATGTGGTTGGAACCGGTGCCCCAACGTTGGTTCTAACGGTTCCACGTCTGAGTCGGTGGGTCCAACCAGTTCAAACCACGTGTTGTTTTGGAAAATCGACCGGCTCGGCATATTAAGTAATGCTTTTGTTCATTTATGAAAGAAAGGGGGTGTGGAAAGCAGGCGGAGGAGGTTGCCGCACGATGAAACGTTCTGCCCATTCCAGAGGCGCTCGAGGAATGGATGCCCGGTGGGCGAGCCTCGGTGGAAGCCCGGGCGCCTGGGTTCGCAAGCCTCGTTCGTTCGTTCTCGTTAAACGAAAAGATGCAGCGGAGCAAACCGCACGCACAATGCACTGTACACGTCGGGGCATAGCGGAGCCCTGGGGGAGATGGCGGCACAGTGCGCATTGCACATTAAAGGCGGCCGCATTCGAAAACGCTCCATTCCCACCTCTCGCAGTGTCAACACGGCGGCAGCTTTGTGCTCAGTTAAAACTGGGCAGATGCGCCTGGCAATAAAAGCAGCAGCAGCAGCAGCATTGTGGGCGTGTCGGGGGGGGGGTGTGGACGTGCCATGTGCGGGCGTCCCTCTGCGTGTGCGCGCGCGGAGCGGTGGTGCAGTGGTGAGCGCGCTGTGCTGCTGAACCCGGCAACACGAGTTCGCTTCCCACACTCACGATAAAATAACAGTGGTGAATATTTTTTTTAATTTAAAGCTTTCGTGACTGCAGGGATTAATATTCTTGGTTCTTTCGGTAAAGTCACGTAGAAGGGAAACAATAAAATAATGAAAATATTTTGTATTATTATTAATAAAACAATGGAAGGAATTATTATGTTATTTATAAAATAATAAAAACATTTTTATAATAATAAAATAATAAAGTATTAAAGCTTTCGTGACTGCATAAAATTACTCATTGTTTTTTTCGGTAAAGTCACGTCTGTAGAAATACAATAAAATTATATAAATATAAAATTATATATAAAATTATATAAATATTAATGATATAAATTATATAAATATAATTTTATTGTATTTCTACAGACGTGACTTTACCGAAAAAACCAATGAGTAATAATACAATAATAAAAATATTTTTATTATTTTATTGTTTCCATTCTACGTGACTTTACCGAAAGAACCAAGAATATAGTGAATATATTAACCTGTTTTTTGGCTTCCCCTAGGTCGACTCAACCTCAAATGAGTACCCGGTGCGGTGTGTAGTAGACATCGCCACTGGGGAGACAAAGGCGGCCGGGGCGTGGTGCTGGCCACCCACCCCCTCGTGTGCCGTGCCGGCCTTCATAGGTGCTCGCAAACAGCCGCTTGCCGGGGGGGAAAAAAAAGTGTGTTTAGGCTATCCGGGGATCTTTGTATGTGTACATATCCTTCCGGGTGTTTGTGCGAGAGTGTATATTGTACATTTTTCCGTGTTTGTCTTGGGGTTCGTTTTCCATTAAAACGGGGAGGGTTGCTGTGCTAACAGCGGCAGGCTCCACTGCTTCGCCTCCTCCTCCTCCTCCACGTTGTGCGTTCAGCACAGTCATGCGAACCTCACTGCGGACGACCTCTATTAAATTAATTTCCGCAAACGTGACAGGTCTGACAGTTGCCCGCCTCTCTTTGTCTGACAGCAGCTCTCTGTGTGTGTGTGTGCTTGGGCTGAGCAGGTGATTCTTATTTGTATTGTGCTGAATGTGAAGAGCTTTCTAAAACATTTTGTGACTGAAGTCACCTAGATAAAGTGAGTACAGCGGCAATAATAATTACAAAGAATTAGGAAAACAGCGAGACTCTCATTTGGAATTGACAATTAAAATATAAATCTGTTTCTTTTGTTTTTAATCTACATGGGATGGAGCGGTGATGCAGTGGTTAGCGCACTGCACTATGAACTTGGCAACCTGAATTAGATTTGTGAGGAATGGATAACATCATTGGCGAGTGATTCGGAACCGGTCTGGACCCCCCCCCATCACCAACCCACACTAACCAGTGTGGTGAAATATGGTCAAATAACCCCCACGACCGACAGAGCGTGGAGATGCCTTATCTGGCAGTGGATTGACAGGTTTGTAAATGATTCATTATTTTATTTTTTGCCACTTAAACATTAACCTCTCATAAAACATAAAAAAATGCTGGTGTCAGAATGAATATTATTGTATATTGTCCCTGTACAATTCCAATGTTATGATCAACATCGGTTTTTATAATATTTTTCCGTGATATATTTAATATCCATAACCCACATTCTAAGTCTGGAGAGTGGGTCTGTAGGAGTGGGTGGGTGAGTCAAAACAAGAGAGAGAGAGGGAGAGCTGTGAGTGATTGGTTGAGTAATTGAGTGCATGAGTGTGCAAGTGTTTTGGTGTTTGAGGTTGCGTATGTGTGCATACATATGTGAGCATGGATGCGTGTGTGTGTGTGCGTTCTCAGTACTGGGCTTTCCATAGGTCGACTCAGCCTCAAATTAATGCCTGGTGCGGTGTGTAAACATCACCACTGGGGAGACAAAGGTGGCGGGCGTGGTGCAGACCATGCACCCCCTCGTGTGCCGTGCTGGCCTTCATAGGTGCTCGCTAACAGCACTTGCCCCTACAGTCTGTTAAGGCTATACGGGGGATCTTTGTATTTGTTGTGTGAGCATGCAACCAGCACAGGGCACAAGGGGGTGGTATAGCCAGCACAACGCCTTTTGCCTCCCAGTGCTGATGTTTACACAACGCAACCAGGTATTAGTTCCATTTAGTTCCATTTATTTTGGTATAGCCCTGTAAGCCATTCGGCTCTTGAATCGGGTGCAACCGCAACAAACAAAAAAACAAAAACATGAACAAGAAAACATCAGGCTGAGTCAACTGGTTCAGATAATCGTCACTGATGTTGATCGTGGCCGGGAATTGAACTCGCAGCATCTTTGTCTTGGCTACTATAAATTTCCCCGCAATAAGCCACTTCGTTGGGCTGTTATTTGTGGCCAGGGCACTTCTGAAAAAGAGCTATATAGCTCAGTGGCCCTTACCTTGTAACAGTAAAATAGAAATAGTAAATAGTTTAGGGTTCGGGCGGAAAGTTGTGGGGGTGGGACTTACGAGGCGGAAGGAGCGCAGCACAGAGAGACCGTCCACCGAAGACAGGCCCAACTCCATGAGGCTGAGGCTGACAATGATGCTGTCGAAGATGTTCCAGCCCTGCTGGAAGTAGTAGTAAGGATCTTGAGCCGCAATCTTCAGCACCATCTCTGCCGTGAATATTCCCGTGAACACCTGGGGGTTGGGCAGCATGAACGGTTCATGTAACACGTGAGCATAGTGAAGTGTTACCCCCCCCCCCCCCTAACAGTGGGTTGGATGAATTGTCACGATTTGGGGTTGCGATGCAATGTGCAAAATAGGTAAAGCTGCAACCCTCCCACTGCTGGTGGAAGGGCCTCCACGATAGGCAGATCTACACGTGACTTTCCGAGCGAATGTGGTGTCCCCACTTATATTGCTGGGTGGACAGCGGCGAGGGATTTTAGAAACTTACCCAGTGTTTCAACTGGCGTGATTGAACGCATGTTATCGTGAGTAAAAATGTATTCGAAGCGATAAACTGATGCATCGTTACACACATACCGAATATGTACCACACGTATATACCACATGCCCAGCTTAGGTGGTTGAAACCTTTGGCAACCATTTTTTTTATCAGCCACAGTGAGTGGTTTAGTATGCAATCAGCCAATTGGCACACTGCTTGCAGTGAGGCAAGTAAATGGAACCCTAATTCAGTGTGGAAGAGTAGGCCAAAGTCCCCATCGTTTAAATACACGAAACATTCCTTGAGCATTTTGTATTACAGACTACATGTGTGTGTGTGTGCCATGTGCATATCGATATCAATGGAATGCTCGGGTGGTGGAGTCTTGGCACAGCACTTACGATCACTGCACTGTGAACCTGGGAACTTTGTTCGATTCCCAGCCATGGCTAACATCAGAGGAAAGTGATATCTGAACCGGACCTGGGTCCCTTTTCCCTGTCATTGCCTCGCACTGATCAGTATGGTTAAGTACGGTCAAATAACCCTGATGTCATTTTCAAGGTCTTCATCCAGCAGTGGAGGAAAAAAGGGCCATAAATTATCACTATATTTAAATTAACAGGAGAGATACCAATAACATATTGACATTGACATTTAGAGATGTGACTGCATGTATAAGTGCGATATTCATAAATATAGTGATGGAAAGTATGATAATGATGATGCATAATTTACGTAACAAAGATCAATAAACCTTACTGACAGCCCATCACCAATCAAATAAAAACTGAAATAAATCATGCAAGTTTCTACATTTTAAATTCTCTAGAGCTTTATTTAGATAGTAATCTAAATAAGATTAAAGTGGCAGGAATGTCTCCGCCTCGCTTGGTTGGGAGAAGACATAAGTTCTGCAAAGTGTACCATGAAATATGTATTGACCAGACCACAAAGATGACTGTGATGAGGCTTCTCGGTAGTCTGTCATACGTGATGATGACAAAGTAGCAGTAAGGTTAATATAATATCCTGAGCTCATAAATACTGTAATAAAATATGCAGGAGTCTATTCTTTCACAAAGACAAGTTCATAGTTCCAAACGTTTCACCAATAACTTGAAACTCTTGACAGCCATGAAACTCTGATAATCTTAAATTATATTATTTAACACAAATACACCTTTCAGATGCAAAACCCCTTCTGTGCCCATATTTGTAAAGAAAAACATTTTAACTGCAGTGGGTTTACATATGGATTTCAAGGCGATTTTACAAAATGAAGGATCTGTACATTAAATATATATATTTTTAGAGAATGGCATTTCATTTATTTCGTAAACACTGCATCATCATCGTCATCATCGCCATCATAACATTTCGAGTGGAATTATTTTCCCGACTTGGAATCTCGATTGGGAATAAAATATATACCGCAAATAATAAATAACAAAATAAAACGACCTGTGTATCGACTCTGACTTTTTCTTGGCAGCGGCCTAGCCAACAGAGCAAGTTAAATTTCGATTTAAAGCTTTCGTGACTGCAAGGATTCATCTTCTTTGGTTCCTTCGGTAAAGTCACGTAGAATGAGAAATAAAATAATAAATTGATAAAATAAAATAACACAATAAAATTGTCACGACGTTTCGGCCACAACACAAGCGGCCTTCGTCAGGTGAAGGGACGAGACTGTCTGGAGGACAGCGCTGGAGCGAGCAAGTAAGCCGACAGAGCAAGTGAGCCGAAGGACCTCACGCACACGGCCAAACACAAAGACAGCGCCACAGAGCAGGAGGGAGCCCCACTTTAAAGAGGCTCTGGAAAAAAACCGAGACCCAGAATTGAATGGGCATTCAATCTTCCATTTTACAGCCATTTACGTGCGGGCAGAACAGGTGTTTGGATAAGGCAGACACATCCTTTACAACAAACTATTTTTCCCTGCAAACAGACAATGCCTGTCGCTGAAAAGTTAATGAACAATTGGGGACACCCGTGAAGCTATTAATATGTATTCCCTATTTTGCTTTTGACATAAAGCTGTCAGCCATTGCTTGTTGTTCAACTTTTCCAAATCAAACAGTGTGAAGCAATTCATATCGGGTTCCATTTTCGCTGGAGTGTGGTGAAAGTCTTGTTTTTAAGGGCGAGTCAGAGTGGCAGCAAAAGCAGCGGCAGCAACAGCAGCTGTGACAGCAGCAGTAGTGCAGCCTTCTTACTTCTCAGATCAACATATACAAAACTGTGAAGAACGACTCACATCAGTGATACAGTGCTCAGAGCAGGGGAGTCAAAAATATATATGTGCAACTAAATTACTTTGATATAGATACGCTCTTGCTCACACATGGTTGCGCGTGTATTTCGCTTTACGGAGGAGCACAGTGGTTAGCTCACTGCACTATTTACCTGGCGACCTAAATTTAATTCTCGACCTTGACTGATCTCAGTGGCGATGGATATCTGAACTGGTCCTGGGCCACCCCTTCATGAACATGCATTGGATCAGTATGGTGAAGCATGGTCAAAATATCATCCAGCAGTGGATTGGTAAAGGACTGGAAATTCTGTATTCATTATTTTAATTTCACTTTCAGGCATTGCATTGAATACTGCTATGAGAAGCAATACTTGTCAAGTGAATTCAAAAACAAAATTCGTACCTAAAAAATAACATAGTTCTAGGGGTGGCGCTTTACACATCTTATGTGTGTAGATTGACAAACCAAAACATTATGTTATGACATTTTTTGATGTTGATAAATAGCAGTTTTTAAAAAACACAATTAAAAATATATATTATTTATACTTCCCAATAATGACAGTCTTTCATAATATGTAAATGTAGCCACGTCTCAAGACAGAGCAACAAGCATGACATGCCCATCACGTGCGGCCACCTAAAACATGGATTTATTTATTAAGTAGGAGTGGTCGCGCATTGCTTAAGTTCGATTCCCAACCATCGCTAAGGCACGTGCTTAGTGATCTATCCTGGGTCTCCACTTCACCAATGAGTGTGGACTAGCATAGGGAAGTTTGGTCAAACGATCAACATGACCAAGACAGCGGGGGGAGGCCTTCGTCCAACAACAGGGATATAATTACGACTATTATTATTATCATCATCATTATTGGAGAAGTCAGTTATAGGCAGAAGAGGGAGTCAGCAGCACGGATGGCTGGTGGGGATGTTCCAGGTTGCAGGGGGCAACAGCAGAAGAGTTCAAATCCCCTTGTAATTTCCAAACATGTCAGTGTCACCTCCAGTTATGAGATGGGGGTTTAAAATCCACGAAGGGGTGTGAGTGAACTCACCAGGTTTCCCACGAACAGGGCATTATCAAACTCCGGGGTCATGGGGTAGTGCTCCAAGGCCATGAAGAGGGTGTTGAGGATGATGCATATGGTGATGGACAAGTCCACGAAGGGGTCCATGACGATCATCTTGAGGATCTCCTTCACCTTCATCCAGAGTGAGCAGCACTCCCAGATGAGGTATTTGTTGGCAAACTTGTACCAGCACGGGGGGCAATTTTGCCTCGACTCCTCCAGCTCTGCAAATTAGCAGGCAAGCAAAACAGTGAGCGCATCTCGGGAGATGTTCAGTACAAGGTTCAAAGATCCCCCAAGTTCGGCTTTAACAGATCCTTGCTGTTAGTGAGCACCTTTTAAGGGCTGTCACAGGACATGAAGGGGTGGTGTGGCTAGCGCCATACCCGACCACCTTTGTCTCCCCAGTGGCGATATGTACACATCATGCTAAGTGCTCATTTAAGTCTGAGTCTACACCGCAGATGATATTGCCATGGCCCGGCTAGGCCAGATACACGTACGCGAGAATAATATTGCCGACACACGCATACACGTGTGGGCAAGAGTGTGCTCAAACGACAAGGCACTGCACACCTGCTCGACAACGCCTCACACCTGCTCGACAACGCTGCACGTTCACAGGTGGCAGCCGCCTGTTGCCAGGTAGCGCAGGAGCATCTGAGACCCGTGGCAGGACAGACGTGGTAGAGAGGGACGATTACCTTCCATGGTGTTGGTGAGCACGCTGATGGCGCTGTATGCCCTGTTCCGTATTATCACCGGCTCCTCCAGGAGGTCCATGGAGGTGTGCTGGGACCCACGCCTCCTCTTCTTCAGCAGCTCCGTTTCAGTTGTGGCCTGGGTCACAGTGCAACGAAAAATCACCCAGTCTCAAATTCTGTTTTTTTCCCTTACTAAATGCATTCTGTTGTGCTGTTGGCATTGCGTGCCACGATTTAAAATGTTACGCATTTGGAACTGGCAGAGCAGTGCATCATTCCGCGTTGGAATTCCATGCATCATTCCAAGATTGGACTGCGGAATGCCATACGACTGCTTCTGACTTTCGCATACCTGGAAGTTAGTCAAATTAAGTGAACACCTAATTTCACATGATTAATAATTTATGCAGTCATTGGTGACCGGGCTGACACCATCAATTCACGATGCTCAAAAACCGAGTATAATTATGGGTCGCTGAGCCTAGTTGATGAACAAAAAGGAATAGGCTTTCCAGTAATAATACAGGAGGTGTTAAGATGTTCAAACACCAGAGACATATTGCAAAGGCATCAAGTCTGCACTAACCACACATGCTCGTGGTAAAACCTACAAACAAACATACTCGGATAATTTATGCATTGTTTTTTAAACTGGCCTACACCAGAGACAACCTTCTGCATGGCCTTGTCTGAACAGAGTTAGACCAGAGAACACCAAAGGGCGAACAGCACAAAGGCAATGCAAATATCAAAGCACTTATAGCTTGGGTTGAGTTTGCGTGGTTAATGCAGACTAGATGCCTTGCAATAGGTGTCTATTTGGTGTTTGAATATCTAAACACCTCCTGTATTATTTCTGTAAAGGGTAAAGTACATTTTTGTTCCATAACTTTTTTACCGGCAAAAAGGATCCCATAGATATTGAACACATTTTAATTATAAAGAATGTGGCCAAACTACCCTACCCATGACCGAACCGAGCGTTGAGTCTCAGCAAGGCTTTCCTGGAACAAGTAAAGCATGCGATTATGATCAAACGTAAGTAAATATGAGCCTCACATTGTCATCCGTGACGGCTTTGTCGATGACCACCTCAGGCAGCAGCAGCCCCGGAGGCGAGTTGGGAACCGAAGTTCCGGCTGGCCGGTCGACGAGTGACACCACCCCGTTGCAGTCCACCGACACGTTCATCTTGCCGTTGAGCGGTGGCAAGATGGGCGGGTTCGGCCCGGCCCAAGATAACTTGCTGCCCTGGCTGTTGCGCCTCTCGCCGTGGCCTCTCTGCGGCACGAACAGCGAGTTGCGCCGGCTGCCGGCCTCCCCGGCCATGCTCTGCAGCTCCGACTGCTCGTCGTCGGCAAAGTCATTGTCGGAGTTGTGGTCGCGCACCTTCTCTCGGAAGCTGAGCAAGCTCGTGCGGCTGCTCTTCCTCTTCGGCTTGTAGTACATGCTTATCAGGGACTGGCAGAACAATGCAGCAGAGAGAGTGGGGAAGCAACGCGTGCATTCGTGTTATCGCTGTGGCAGCGAGATGTGCAAAGGCGCAGCCCTGAAATTGCTTGCTCACGCCACTACCGGCGGAAAGGACTCCACTAGAGGGACGTCTAGCGAGCCCCTTTAGAGGTTATTTTTGGCCTTACTCATACAGAAACTGCACACGCATTCAACAAAGCTCCACACTCACCAGAAGTAGGCAATATATTTATAAATTATATTTCTTTCTCGTGTAATTAGTGACAGGGCTAAGTCACTGAACTTAAGCACGTCTTAATCTCAGGAGGCTGCTTGGGCTTTTGAAGGAGAATCTCCGCAGCGATGGTTCACTGTGGTGGCATTGGCTGCGAAAGCCTCAGGCAATAAAACCCCACTCGAAACAATGCACGCGATATAACGTGTACACATTATGCTAGAGCATACGCGCGCCAAAGGAAGCTCTTGCCCAGCGCTGAACTCGTGTAACTGCCGATGCAAGGCAGTGACCTCACAAATGTGGACATGGGCGTTAGGACAAGGGCATTCGCCACACTGGTCTAGTATGGGGAAGTATTTGAAATAAAATTGACAAGACAAACAAACAACTTGTTTACATTTAAGATTAACTTTATTTAGTTTAAACCAGGTGATAACTCAAGAGACTAGGATAGTGTCATTTGCAAGCCTGACCTGGGGCATTAGTCTGCCAATAGGGGGCAATTATTGTTATGTATAATCCCAATTTTGTAATCTGTTGGTCATTTTCGAATTTGGCAAATTGGGATCCCGACGCCAGCACACGCCAGTGGGTCTATACTTGTGAATGACGTCAGGGGATCTCTGACGCCCATTGTGAAGCAGCTTTACTACATTATGATCATTACACCCCCAGTTATAATCAGGGTGGCTGCTGGATTTGAACTGTGAATCTCTGCAATAAGCAGTGAATGTACTCCTGTTAGGCCGTGTCACTATCCATAGTTCAAACTACATGGCGCTAAAGTAGTTATAAAGCTGGGAAAAACTTTTGACAACGTTTTGGTTTTTGTTTGAGGAATACATGAGCAAGTTTTTGTTTATAGCAAGCTTTTGTTCGAATAAAAAAAATGTATAACTGTTTAAATATTTAAAAAAATCCCAGATTTATAACTACATTAACGCCGTGCCGAATGTGGTGAACGACTTCAAATGAAAGAACATTGAAGGAATGGCCGTCCACTGTCACCCATTCCCTGGAAACATGAATTTTACTCTCAAAGCTCTTGACTGAATAGCAAAAATTAAACATCAAACTCTAAATTGTTGCTTGTCTGATGTGTGACATCATCATAATTTCACCCAATTTAGCATTGTGAACAATTTTATCAGCATCTTCCTGGTGTTAAATTAACAAATAAGTCACATTTTCATGACATCATCGGCCATTGTCAATCCACCGCTGAATAAAGGCCTCTGCCGAGCCGCTGCCATCTCTGGCAATTCTGCGTTGCAATTTCTCATTTAAAGTTACAGTTAATTTTCCATTCCGGCTCAGATGAGGTCTCCGTACGCCGTGCGCATCACACGAAGGAACCCCCAGGTTCATGTTGGGACAACACCTGCGCAGTGCTGTCCACACAAACGCACTCCACGCTCACCCTGAATGGCACCTCAAAAAGCTTTTTTTTATCGATTTTGACCAATCATAATCTAATGCTGGTAACTCCCAAATGCATGCCCAGGCAATATGAGGATTACATTCCGCTCTGAATAGAAACTTGAGAGGAGGTTGTGTGGGTTCACAATTCACGTAACGTCAACGTGACTAATGTGATGCGTTTTAGTTTCTGGGACACTCAACCACATGATGTTCACGATAACTGCATTGCACCCACTCACTCTTAGAGCTCAGAAGCCAAGGCTATTATTTTTAGCCTCACCTGCACCCATAGACTCACTATCCCTAAGTAACCTTTTGCCGTAATATAAAAATAAAATAGCACTAGGGGGTGCAGCAGTTCCAACAGTGTTCGCTGTTGGAAGATCACGTAGATCAAATTTTAGGCTTCACACCTATGAAGTCAATGGAATAAGTGAACCACTCTGTGGAAGGTTAACGGTCATTGTGATTTGGCAAGTCTCTCTTCATCACAAACATTTCCAACAAGGGCGCAAGGCTGTAAGCAGAAAACCACTTGTACTTTTTCTCTCCACAAAGTCCACAAGGTCTAGGCATAATGCAATTTCATTTTTATTTGTCTTTTCTAGAATCTGATAAGAGTGCTGGAGAGGGGGCTCAGCCCGGTGGTCGAGCCTCAGATTCAGGAGGAACAATGTGGATTCTTTATCATTAGACCTCCTTTGCTAGTACCAAAATGTAATAATAGGGTTTTTCCCCTTTCTTCTGGCAACAAAACTGAAACCTTTTTACAAGGATTCATGTCTGCATTAACCACAATACCTGCAGTCAAAATGCAAACAAAAAACATACTATGATAATATATGCATTGTCCTTGAAACTGATTCAGTTTTGTTGCCAGAAGAAAGGGGAAAAACCCTATTATTACATTTTGGTACTAGCAAAGGAGGTCTAATGATGTAGATGCTCAACCCCAAGCCCTCATTACTTTGATAGTGCATTGTCTTTGAGCTGTACGCCGTCTGGCGTCATCTGGTCGAGCACCAATTGCGTCGAGGCACAAAAGAAAGCCGTCCCTTGGTGTGGACTGCAATGTCTTGTGGGTGGTGCTGTGAGAGTATGATGCACTGTTTCCACTTTTGTGCGCTATCCGGTCCCTCTATTCCCAGAGTGAGAGTTGTGTCCAGATTTTTGTTGTAAAATCAAAGTCGTTTACTTATGTTTGTGATTTTCATGGACATGATATCAAGGTGCAGCCGAAGTATGGACAGTATCCAGTACGGGGGCATGGAGATACCATCGCTGCTTTTTGCAGATGATGTTGTCCTCTTTGCCTCATCAGTCTGTGACCTCCAGCGTGCACATGAACGGTTTGATGGTGGTGTATTGTTTTCTCCAGGTGCGGGGGGAACAGCTGCCCTCAGGGTCTCTTTTGAGAGTGATGGGAAGTGGGAGCGGGAGATCGGCCAGCGGATCGGTGTGGCATCCACAGTGTTGCGGGCACTGTACCGATCCGTGGTAGTGAAGCGGGAGCTGAGTTCTTGAACAAAGCTCGCGGTTTACAAGTAGATCTACATTCCCACCCTCACTTATGGTCAAGAGCTTTGGGTGGTGACCGATAGGATGAGATCGTTGGTATAAGGGGCCGAAATTAGGTTTCTCTGCAGGGTTGCCGGGCTCACTCTCCGTGATTGGGTGAGGAGTTCGGTAATCCAATCCGGTGGAGCCTCAGAGTCGAGCCGCTGCTCCTCCAGTTCGAGAGGAGCCATTTGAGGTGGTTCGGGCACTTGGTAAGGATGCTCCCCAGTAGACTCCCCCTGGAACTCTACCGGGAATGTCCCACTGGGCGAAGACCCCGGGGCCGGCCCAGGACACGCTGGCGGGACTATGCTGCTCAGATAACCTGGGAACGCCTGGGAATTCCCCAGGAAGAGCTAGAGTCCTTGTATCGTAGTGTAGTGTATAGTAGTGTAATAGTGTATAGTTAGTGTACAATGTAGTAGTGTATAGTAGTATATAGTGTCGTAGCGTATAGGAGTGTAGTGTATAGTCGTGTAGTAGTGCATAGTAATGTAGTGCTGGAGTCTGTGGCCAGGGAAAAGGGAGGTCTGGACCACCCTACTCAACACGCTGCCACTGCGACCCTCACCAGGACAAGCGGACTGAGAAACGAACGAACATGCTCAAGAGTCGAACACCAGCGTTTGGCTTTCCCTCTCTCTGACGGACTAATTGACGGTGTTCATCTCTCCAAAGTTGTTGTTATAATTACACTTTCTGTGCCATTTTCTTTTGTCAGAGCACAAGCTTCTGAGTCACGTGTCGTGGCCGGAAATTTCCACCAAGTGAAAACTGTCTTCTTTAGGCACATTGTTACGATGCTTTTCATAACCAGATTTAAATCCCCAAAAGCACTTCATCCTGATATGACTCGTCTCTTAATTTTTATCCTGGTATGCCTTCAATAATCAACCTATATACTCTATGTATGTTTAACTTTTTTTCGCACCGTACGTAGCCAACCATGCTAATGGGAGGTGTGGGAGAAGGACAACAAGCTAAAACTATGTACATGATCTACTGTGTTTTCCAGTTGTATCCCTACAACTTCACACAAACTTGTTGTGTATTCTTTTTGTATGACTCTGGGTTACCTTGAGCCCAACTTTGCAGCCGTCTCTGTTAAGCTCTTAAATCATTTCCCATCGTTAATTTTAATTGGATGGTATAAAGACTGTGTAGTTAGTAAATCGGAGATGGTAAATACTGGACGATTAATTCTTAATGTCATGCATAACACCTTAAATGTTTTAAATAATGTAACGTAGTACGTTATCGTACATTATATTTTATACTGTACTATTATATTATGTATTGTCACAATATGATATGTTATACTGTGTATACATGTACTATAAAATTGTTATGTTGTGTTATATTATAATGTACTGTCATAATATAGTACATTATGTTAGCTGGGTGGATCTGCATGGAGCTGGGTGAATCTGCGTGGAGCTGCTTGATCTGTGTGGAGCTGGGTGGATCTGGGTGAAAGTGGGTAGAGCTGGGTAGTTATGGGTGGATCTATGTGGAGCTGCGTGGATCTGTGTGGAGCTGCGTGGATCTGGGTGGAGCTGGGAGGAGCTGGGTGGATCTGTGTGGATCTGCATGGAGCTGGGTGGATCTGGGTGAAAGTGGATAGAATTGAGTACATCTGTGTGGAGCTGGGTGTAGCTGTGTGTAGCTGGGTGGAGCTGGGTGGAGCTGGGTGAATCTGTGTGGATCTGGGTGGATTTGTGTGGAGCTGGGTAGATCTGCGTGGAGTCGGGTGGATCTGCGTGGAGCTGGGTTGATCTGCGTGGATTTGTGTGGATCTGCATGGAGCTGGGTGGAGCTGGGCGGATCTGGGTGGAGCTGGGTTGATCTGGGTGAAAGTGAGTAGAGCTGGGTGGATATGTGTGGATCTGCATGAAGCTGGGTTGATATTGGTGAAAGTGGGTAGAGCTGGGTGGATATGTGTGGATCTGCGTGAAGCTGAGTGGAGCTGGGTGGAGCTGGGTTGATCTTGCTTTACCTCTCGGTGCGTCGAGTACTTGCGGCTGCCGCGTAGACTGCCCGGCTTGCGGAGCATGCTTTCCTCCGACACCGACTTGGGGATCTTCTCGTCGTCTCTCTTTTCCTCCCCCTCCTCCGAGTCGCTCTTCTGCCTCTGCTTTTTTCTCTGATTCCTGCTCTCATTGGCGCTCTTGGAGCTCAGGCGTGACTCCTCGGATGAGCTCCGGGACAGGGGCTCGCTGTCCGCTGTGCCCCCCTGGCGCGGCAATCCACACCCAAGTGTGCACAACACGAGACACAACACAATGTGTATTTATATAGTGCTACGCAATACACAACACAATGTGAATTTACAATTCGCTATGCAATACACAACACAATTGCATTTTACATAGCGCAATGCAATACACGAGACAATTGGCTTTATATAGCATAACACAATAGACAACACGATGTGGATTTATAAAGCGTAACACAATACACAATACGAAGTGAATATATATTGCGCAATGCAATGCACGTAAAAAGGCAACCACATCTCAAAATATAATACAAGACAGTGGCACATGTGCATCATGGGGAAAAGAGACATTAATATAGTAGAGAACGAGTACAGGATCCTCAAAGAATATTACACAATGAACACATTAGGTATTTAACGGTCGTAAAGAAACACACGCAAATAAAAAAACTGAGCAAACGTAACATCAGAGGAAGAGGCGTCAGAAACGGTTAGGTACGGGTGCAAGTAAGCTGTTTATTTAGCCTAAAAAAGACAAAGACACATGCAAATTGAAAAAAGACATTGCAAACATGTAGCAAGAGGCGCCAGAAGAAGTTAGGTACATGTACTCGGAGAATACATGTACAAGTATTCTCCGTGATTTTGTGTTTAATAGGGGAGTAAAGAGGTGGAGGGAAGGGAGGGGATGGAGCTATACATCTGTGGCAAGGGTATTCCAGAAATGTGGAGCAGCAAGGTGGAAATACTTTTTTTTTTACCAAACATGGTTTTAGCAAATTGATTTTTTTTGTAGGAATAAGGAGGCACTTCTGAGGCTACGGTAGGGAGTTCGAGAAACTAAGTAGTGCTTGAGGTAATTGGCGGATTTGTTTAAGAGGAACTTTAGGATGCAGACAACCCCATGATGATCCTTTCCGGATATCCAGGGGGGAGAGATTTGAGTTAGTGTACAGGTTGCAATGATGAGTTCTATGGGGTAAGGGGCAAAACGGAGAACAGAGCAGTATCATGAAGTGAGATCTTTTCAGGAAGATTAAGAAGCTAGGTGGTAGATGGTGTCACAATAATCAAATATGGGCAGGATGGTGGCACTAACTATATTCAGATGGAGTTGTAGCATGAATCAACATTTGATTTAGCTTGTTGGCTATATTGCCAATGTGGGTCTTGAAAGACAATTTCGAGCACAGAATGACTACATATTTAGGGTGAGTCCAGAGCCACAATTAAAGGATAAATATGGACCAAAGCACATTATTAAAGTAACGATAACAATACAAATCAAGTTGATGTCACAGCCAAACCTCACCAACACTCGCTACCCTCCGCCAGATCCAGCAGCTGCTGCAGTCAACATGCAACCCCCAAGATCTGCCCCGGCAATATCCCTCCACCATCTGTTCTGAGGTCTTCCTCATTGGTCTCCGGATCGGTGGGGACCACAGCAATTATAATGCACTGAAACTGCACACATTTAGCCCTGTAACCCCAATCACCACCTCAGATGTTGGTAACAGGCAGAATCCTCCATAGGATATTTGAGGTCGATGGCCAACACGGGCGCTCATCCTCAGTCAAATTGCTCACCCCATTCCCCAGATCCTCCTGCTGCCTCTTGAGCTGCTCCATCATGGCCTGGAACTCACGGTCCTTCTTGTCGGCCTCCTGCATGGTGGCCTGGTTCTGCTCCTCGTAGGCCATGGCTACTACGGCCAGGATGAGGTTGATGAGGTAAAAGGAGCCCAGGAAGATGACCACCATGAAGAAGATCATGTACGGCTTGCCAGCTGCCCTCAGAGTCTGGGAGGGTACAGAATGCAAGGCGACATTCAGCTGTGCAAGGGGAAGAAGTGGCAAACGTTGAAGATTCACGGCAACGTTTTACCCCTCAGTAGCAATTGCGCATCACCCCAATGGCAAGTATCTCTGATCAATGTCACCGTCATCGTTATCATCATCCCTACTGATGTCATCAATGTAATCAACATCACTGTCAGCACTACCATCATCACTGTTGTTGTTATTATCCTCACCACCACAACCACCACCACAATCATCATCCTTATAATCATCATCACCATTCAACCTCAGATAATATATTATTTTGATCATCGTCACCATCATTATGTTCCAGGCATGGTGGTGGTGTTAGTGTACATCTGTCATCCAGTACAATAGGTCCTTGCTTAACGTGTGTTCACACAACGCGTTTTCACTATAACAGGGTTCTTCCATGAGGGGACACTTTTCGCACAAGAAGGAATGCTCCCGTTATAAAGCGGTTTCTGAGTGGTCGATGACGAACTACTTTCCTGAGCCTCACAGCGGAGAATTTTATTTTGCTTAACGCGGCACTTTGCATGAACGCACCTACCACGTTAAACGAGGAATTACTGTATTTTTTTTGAGGTTCAGTGTCACACCAAATCTGCAATACTCTGAGGTGGCCAGCAGATGGAAGTACAGCAAGTAGGCTCCTGACCAACCTGTACGATTTTTGTCGTGTAATTTCCTCATAATGCATGGGTTTTCTACAAATACTCCCATTTCCTCTCCAATGCAGAATATTAAATGTACAAAAATGGCAATCATTGTAACAGACAGCCTTGCTGATAACGAGTTTTACACTAAGCAAGGCAGTCCTGAACAAATAAATCCACAGCTGCCACAATTTGTTTACTATCTTCACCTCAAACCGTACCATAATCGGAACTAGGTGAACAAAAAAAGGGCAACTGCCTTTACCAGCTGGTAGAGGTTCTCCCAGTAGTCCTGCGTCATGAGGCGGAACAGCGACAGGAAGGCCCAGCTGAAGGTGTCGAAGCTCGTGTAGCCATAGTTGGGGTTGCGTCCTCCCTTGACGCAGACGAACTTCTCTGGACAGGAACTACACACGGGGGTGGGTTATGATGAGCATTGGTGGGTGGGTCGAGGCCTCGACAAACTTTGCTCGACAGCTGTGATGGTAGAAATAGGTTTTACCCTTTTAACTGGCACAAAAACTGACACCTTTATTCAAGGCATCATGTTTGCAAAAAACACAACACAAGCAGTCAAAATGCAAACAAAAGAGACAACTCTGATAATAATATGCACTGTCCTTGAATTTGATTGGTCCACACCCGAGACGGCTTTTCTTAGAGCCTAGTCTCCACTGGTGTTGGACCAGAAGACGCCAAAAGGCGTCTCGGGTGTGGACCAATCAAATTCAAGGACAGTGCATATTATTATCAGAATTGTCTCTTTTGTTTGCATTTTGACTGCTTGTATTGTGGTTATTGCAAACATGATGCCTTGAATAAAGGTGTCAGTTTTTGTGCCAGTTAAAAGGGTAAAACCTATTCCTATATCTTGTTGCTGGCAAAGGAGGTCTCATAATGTAAAAGCTGTGATGGTGTTCTCAACAATGTTGTGACAGAAAAATAATAAAAATATCAATAACAAATTTCTCTAGCTACATGACTTTACTGAAAGACCCAAAGAATATGAATTCCTGCAGTCACGAAAGCTTTAAGTCAATGTTGTAACATTTACTTGTACGGTTTATTTCCATCGACAGTGCCGTACAATTCTGCGGATGGCGTTTATGCCCGGGCGTAACCAACTCCATCTTTCCAGTGCTCTCACACCAGTCTACCCTATAGCTTCACAATAGCCACCTCTCCACATACTCTCTTACACCGAGATCTCTGGGACAACGGTCTCTTTAAGATATCTCAAATATATCCCTCATGCATACCCATTCAAGTCCTACAAATGGGTATGCATTAAAATCCCACATTTTGCCCTCTGTCCATATTTTTCAACTTAGCCATTCATTCTTAATTAAGAAACCTCTCTACATGAAATCCCATAGGCATGCCATAACAACCCACTTTAAGCATTTCTCCAGTAATATGACAGACTCCAACAACATTGCTTCTCTTAAAACTGCTTTCCTCCGCGGTGATGACGACCGCTTTTGTGCTGCGATCGAAACGTCGTGAGTTTTTTCCTTTCATTATTTAAAAAAAAATTATTTTATTTTTCTATCGACGTGACTTTACCGAAAGAACCAAGAATATGCTTTACCTCCAAATTGAGTTTCCTCAATTGAATTTAAAGCTTCCCTTGATTGGTGGGTCGGCAATCAGAGCTGAGAGCAACTGGCATCCGGCTGAGAAACTGGAGAAGTGGACTTACACAGCTGCACAAATATGACTTCACCGAATGGATCCTACACTCATTGGAATCAGACAAGAAAAATATGAAAAGCCACCCTAATTGAAGTACCCCAAGGTATTGGCTTCAAAAAGAGGAGTTTGAGACATTGGTAAGATGCATATGAGTTATTGATCAAAGATGGCTCTCAACCTCACTGACATTTTTTTTAATCCAACGGTCCTCGTCCCTCCTCACTCCAGCCTGGCTGAACGACTCTTCTCATGGTCTGATCAAAAATCTCCCCAGAAGCACAGCCCTTACCTGTCCTGGGGTTTACTCCCAGGCAGCCACGAGCAGCTAGTAGGGTTCCAAGCATTAGGATCTCCCACATTTGATCAAGGTTTTCAAGATAAACAAGCTACTCAAACCATATCTAGACTCCCTGAAAACTCGCTGGAGACACGTTCACCATGCAGCTTCTCAAGATCCAGTCTGGGAGAACCAGATATCACAATCCCCTTGGACTTCAAATGAAGCCTGAGAGAGGCCCTTTCAAAATGTTGTCTATGTCGAATGACTTAGGCTGTCTACAAGCATGTGGTCGATTTCCTTCACTGCCTTTCCAGCAGTGGACATCCAGGTCAAGCAGTAGAGGTCAGAACTCTTCAACCAGGAGCCAGTGATTCTCACATCGCAAGCCATCTAGAAGTGGTATTTCAGACGCCAGACCCATGGGGACCAATACTGATAGCCAACATTATCCGCACCATTAGAACCGTTGAAGTCACTGGGTGTCGCATTGCCCACATATCAGTGGAAATTCTAGACTCAGTGGCGCCCGTCTCCTCTCTGGGCTGCCGTACAGACGCCATTCTATGACTTGATCAAGTACCAGCCCTGTGTATTGCAGTATAACGCCATTGGTTTCTATGGTACTCCCCTGCCATTTCTTGCCGTATATAACTGTGGATCTGTGTGGTGATTCATCTGCCTGACTAGGCGCCATTCTAGCTAGCCATGCAGGAACACTTGCAGGTGATAATCCTCTGGTTCAGAGGGGACCTAAAGCTCACGAAAGGGAAGGTCCACTTTATAACTTGAGTAGGCCCACTATAACCACTAACTGGTCATGTTTAATGATAGTTAACCCATTTATATCGATCATGTTCTCATTCCTGGTCCCCCCTTGTTTCACCAGACTTCTCAAGACAGCCGTGGGCCAGCGTTTGCTATGTCCACACAATTCTTATCTCGGGTTACACCAGTGTTGTTAGTAGCTGCCCCCCCCCCAACCCCAAAGGCTGACGACCGTTCCAATTAAACATATTCTTCTGTGCGTGTTGTAAAATGTGTAACTGCGTTTCTGTAAACGTGCACGAATGCACGATTGGACACATCAAGGTCAGCTTGCTGCATGGGCGTGGGCAACGTGCCACCGGGTGCCGATAAATTGCGTTAAATGCCTAGCCACTGCGAGGCTGTGCAGAGTTAGGATTTCAGTTATGAGAGGGTTCACTTGAGGCCAGAGTAAATAATTAGATTATTATCGATCGTTGAAGGATAGCATGTGCGTTTATACTCACCCGGCATCAGATCCATTTCCACACAGGAGAGCATCCTTACTCCCTTCCAGTTTGTACTGATTATCTGCAAGGAACAGTTTAACGGGAACAAGTCGGCACGATTAAGCTCATCCACGCCCACGAATGTCTCCGCCTGCCCTTCACATTCAAATATTTATCCTGTGGTGTCACATAGCTTAGATCCACGTCACAGCTTAATCCCGTATCCTGTATCCGAGAAAACAAATGTTACGGATTCAAGGGGCAAATTCATTGAAAACGATATACGTAAATGAATACTGGCCCACATACTGCCATAGGTGAGGGTGGCCAAACATCCTAATGCAGGGACCTTCCTGCAAACGTGTGGCTTGCCAAGGGTAAATATCTGGCAATATTGTTTATTATGAATATTATGTAACAGCACTGCACCAACGTCATTGCACTCAGTCGACCATTGTCTCTGGGTTGTGAGTCAAACACGAATGACACAATGCATGATTTAAGAGCACCTGTCAAAAGTACTACAGCACCGATTAGCACAATACACAACAATTGAGTGGATTTCAGAATTTCGTGCCAAGCCGAGGGGGAGGGAGTGCTTTTCAAGCGACATGCGTGCGCCCGTGACTGAAGCTCCAGGCAGCATCCTTGCCCAGAGGATTTCATGTGAGGATACAGCCACGGAAGCTTCTCTTTGCTAAGTCAGAGTGGGGCCCAGCCTCTCTCTCTGGGTACAGTAGAGACATATACAAAGATCCCCCATGTAGTCTTTAACAGAGTGTTGGGGCAAGTGGTGTTAGCAAGCACCTATGAAGGCCGGCATGGCACACGAGGGGGTGGGTGGCCAACACCATCACGTGGAATACCCAGATTCTCAGTGAGCAATGCACGATAGAGCTGGGGAACAGAGGGGCAGCCACATTTTTAAAGTTCTGGTTGTACGAGCAGCTAATGGTTCCTGGTGGTTAATGGTTAGATTACAGATATGATCCACAGAAGTTTGCTCTCCACTTCTTCCCAAACAAGAGAAGTTGTATGCTTTAATGACATTAAATCTACTCAACTGCTGACTACATGACTCGGTACTGGGCCTACTGTTCATGCGTTACTGTGTATTGGAAAGTACCGTCATCGGCATGATCACCAATCATGTCACCTCACTAAAATTACAAACATGCGGATTCAAATATGCAATTATTCACTGTGTAACAAAAAAATTTGTTCCTGAGTAGTAAGTGTTATTTTCCAATTGCTTATGCCTCAAAAGTACAGAAAATGGCTCTTGAACACGACTAGAGACCCACAACGCCCACAGTCACGGCGCCCCTGCAGCGTTGATGGAGGATAGCGGGGGGGGGCAGCACTTGCTGTCCTTCCTGGCCCCCTGGCACTTAGCGATCCCAACAGTCTGTGTTGCAACGGCCGCATCGACGATGTGGGATCGCGGAACCTAGAGCCCATGGCTACGACAAGGGCCTTGCCTTCGTTGTTGACGTAGTTTTCCCAGTTGAAGGGCTCGGCGGTCTCGTTGAACTCCGTGACATTGGTCTGGTTGGCAATCGGCCAGAGGATGCACTTGTGCCGCAGGTTCCCCATGAAGAGCTGCAGGCCGATGAGCGCGAACACGCTCAGGCAGAATACGGTGAGGATCATCACGTCCGACAACTGCTTCACCGCCTGGATGAGGGCACCTACGATCGTCTTTAGGCCTGAGGATGGTGGGGGAGGGGGGCCAGGGCGGTGATGTGGGAGAGCGGGGAGATGATGGGAGCCGTCGAGGAAATGGGAGAGTTGGGACGTAGGGGATACATTAGGAGTGCCATGGCTGGCGTGTACCCTCATTGCCTCTGCACAGCCCCCGCTCGGCTCCCATGACCGGGCGTTGCCGGCGGTGGTCATGCCTGCTTGCATTGCAGTGAAAATGGGAGATGGGCGTTGGTGCTTTTGCGATCGAATCGTATATCGCGGTGCATTTCCCCCAGGTTCAGCTACGTGGTGGAGATGGAGCCGCGTGATCGCGAGTGTGCAGTCCACAGCTCCCACATTCCAATTGGTGAAATCTGCTGCTGAAAACTTTCGTTGATCAGGGGGTGCACGATTATCCCAGTGGAGGGCTGCACACAGCATGCCTCGCGTTGGTGACCCGCTTCATGCTAATGGGCCGGCGGAGAGCGCAAGGCGCGCCCCGCACAGTTGCGCACCAGTGAAAGGCAGCATTTGCTTCGTGTGAGCACAATGGCATGATACAGACAAGGCTCCGAACCTTAACACGTCAGACTTACAGCGTATTACCCACCACGTTTACCAAAGGCAGATACAGCGTTGCATCTGCAGGGATTCAAGCTCTCTGTGCTGCAGTTTAACATGCTTCTCAGCCATGACGTCATGCGGCTCCGTACAAGTTTTAACGTACATTGTACACACCTGTATAAGCATACGCGCTATACGAGGCTTAAGAGGCTTAATGACTGAGTGGAGATGCTTCGACCGGGTGCCCGCGTTGCCACCCGGCGTAGGCACTGAACTGCGCGTGGCGCGAGGGGGCTCGAACAAACAGAAGTGCTCGGTGAATTACGATAAACAAATAAAATCCTGCCGTCGTATGGGTAAAAAACGAGGCTCATCACATACAGTATTCGCAAGGTGTCAGATAACATTTGGGATCACGGTCCGAGGTTTAGATCGGCTATTGTCGGCTCTGCTTGAGAATAAACAATTGGTGACCGGGGTAAGGGGAGCTACAGATCAATCAAGTGCGTGTGCCAGAATCACTGAAGATTTCTAAAACCAATCGAAAACATGGGAAATATCATCGCGTGTGCGTGTGTTAGGCATGAGCTGTTGCTGGGTTTTTTTTTAAAGCAGGAAAGAGAAAATAAATAAACGATCAGCTTATTTGCATAAAAATGTATTCAAGTAACTTACCGTTTTCCAAAATGGAATTGCTTCTTTTTAATGGCCTCTACTGACGTTGTGTGCTGTGACTTAAGTGTCGTTTTAAAAGTAGTGTCCTCATGATAAATGATTGGGTAGAATTGATCATACGTAGCTTTATTCACCTGAAAACTTCTTTACTGCACCTTAAATGACAAAATCGTTATTCTGTCCTTAAAAAAACTTCTCGTCAAATACGCAACACTTATTTGAATAACAAAGTGAATTGCCGGTGCGCTGTATTTGGAAGTGCAATGATTGACTGGTTTAGAATGCTCATGTGATTTAGGCACTCACTTCTGATTGGTCAAAAGACCTCCTAAGTTGATCAAGGTCCATAAGTCATCACTCGACGGCCATTGGTTATTTGCCAGGGTGATACGAACTGCCCCACCTGACACGTGCCCTGTTCTCCGCGTTAGCCGCCGACACCAACACAGCACAATAATGGGGGCATTCTCCTTTTTCAAAACATAATTTCTGCAGACCCGGCCAAAACACGAATCATCAATCGCATTGCCTCTCAGCCACTCGGTTTCACCGTGCCCACCCACAAAAGCGACACGTTTTGCAAATATGTAATCACGGCCGATGAAACAAAAAAAGAAACGGGCAAGTGGCGGCGGGTGGGTGGGGGGTTAAGGTTTAAGGAGGGTTCTGTTTGGCATCAGCTGCGCAGCGTACTCGTGAGTTCAGTTTGCTTGTGAATGGGGATGGTGTGGGGGAAACATTCATCCCGGCCATGGGGAGGGGATGGGGGGGGCGGGAGGGGAGACCACCAAGCCTCCACCACCACCACCACTCCACTGCCATCGCCCATTCCCAAGAGCTCCGTGTGCCGCATGAAGTTCATAAAAAAAATGGAAGCAGTCTATGAACGTCTGCATGCTCTGTCATGCCTGAGAATGGGTCCCTCCGTTTCAGGCAGAGCCGTTACAGAAATAAAAAAAAACAGTGCCTAATTTGATAAATGAACCAAATGAGGGCCGGCACCTCCCAATTCAATCAAAGTGGGGTTTCTCTCCCCTCCCCCCTCAAATCTTAGCACTGTGATTGAGCTCGAAATGGCCCGTTTTGTAAGTGGAGATCTCTGTTGTTCCAAATTCAGTTGTTACCCACGTAGTGGCGTGTGATACGCACTGATCACGTGACCGACGCATTCATCCTATGTTCGTACCACGGAAAATTACGTGCTCATTTTGACCACTGCATGCGCACGTATTTTGTGTCGCAGTAACCACGGTAGTGGTGACATGGGTATCTATATAGATTGGAATAACTCGTGTAAATTGAACATTGAATTGTACGCTAGTGTGCGCGTAATATAGTTGTTCGCTCACTCATTCGTTAAGTTTACTTTACTTTTACCGGGTAGGTTTTCAGGTTGTACCGTGTGCTATTCTGCGCGACGTCCAATAACAACCGCCGGCGAAGAACACCGCAGTACGACCTGACAACTCATCGAAGAGCTACTTATTTTGAAGCTTTCTCTTCTTGGGTGCGATTCATTGTTTGTGCGGTTATGTTCGCAACAGGTTATCATCTTGCACGTGCTCACACCAGTCCCGTGCTGCTTGGCTTGACGCCAGGGAGCATCACACGCCACTACCTCGCTTTTTTTGGCAGTCAGTACCAGCGATTGCCGATGCCCCTTAGTTTCTGCAAGGCCCCTGAGCATTCTCTCTCCACACGCGCACTGTCAATGTCCCATGCACAGTATACATACGTTAAACTCCAAGGCTGAATAAAAAGTACTAAACCTGTCCATTATTTGCCCTGATACACTTCTCATCCGGTCGCCTGATGCAGGGTGTAAACAAATAATGTCAGCTTTAGTAACAAGACGAGAACGACGAGGACAACAACAACAACGGCGACAATAGCTCCAGCACAGCAGCAACACCGTCTGGGCCTTTTCTCAAGATAACTCTTCTTGGTCACATTTCCTTTCAGTCTGAGCAGCCGTGGGCATTTAACCCGACGCTCACCTGGAATAACGGAGATGGTTTTGAGGGCTCGGAGAACCCTGAACGTTCTCAAGGCCGAGACATTGCCCAAGTCGATAAATTCCGTGACGTACCTGCACCGGTCGGAAAGCGAACAACCACGCACACGGTGTCAGCAAAACATTGCGATACGAATTTACAAAGTGTCCCAAACGCCACGGTAGCTCGAAACCTGCAACGTGGCAGGAGAGAGGCATGTAATGGGAAGGTGGACAGAAGAAACTTAACTGCATCTCATGTATGTTGAACTCCTTTCGCACCGTACGTAGCGAACCGTGCTAATCGAAGGTGCGGGGGAAAGACAACAAACTAAACACAAAAAAGCAGTTCTAAAGAAATGAGTTTTAAAGCAATTGTGGCAATGAATTACGGGAATTAGAGATGTTTCAGTCACAGCCGAAGCTGCAGACATCGTGCCGAAAAACAAGAGACGGTACGAGCCGAAAACATTGGAGGGCCACACGGCACAACGGTTCAAACTTATGCAGTGGTATCACATCTTGTTGCCAGATACTTGTGCCCCATGGACGTTGGTTATTCTGCTTCGCACTTATGCTGCTGTTTGTGCATTACGCTTTAGACGGGGCTTGTGGAATGCCATGAGGAGTACCGCACAACCATTATTAACACAGCAGCCCACAGGCAATGCTTCCAATGAATAGACATTGGCGTCATTTGCGATGATTCGTGTACAAAAATGTTACCCTCACTAATGTAGACATTTTTACATCAGCAGACTGGTCTGGCTCACGAATTCCACTTGTTTGTTGCGACTCAAGACTTTTGTTAATTTTCTGCGACATTTGTCTTGGATCGATAGTTCACAAGTGAGCTATTTAGTTGACCATCAACAATATTTACTCACCATTTCATAATTAACGCACAATGTGAAATCAGATTAAATCGTTCTCGTAATTAATATGTCCATTGGTGGTACCACAAGCAACCTAACATTTCACATGAACGATTTCTAATATATTTTGGCATATCAATATTTAATCACAAGCAGAATTTGTTTCTGGGCAGCGTTGGACCAAGTATACGCGGTCACACGGTGGGGGTGCGATTACGGGATTCCTGTTTGCAGAGCACCCAAACTAGACGACTGCATGAGCCGCCATTTCACATCGCACTACGCCACCAAGATAGATGGAGGCACAGTTAGTTTCACGGCCCACCAAAATACAAAGTGATCTCTTAAGGCGGTAGCCACAGTCGTTCATTTCACTTCAATAAAGTTGCAATGCAAAATAATTGGTTAATTGGTGCACCTGTGCCATGAGTTTGGGAGACACGTCAAACTTATTGTTTCACAATTAAGGTGCAACGACCCCGGTTTGATCAATGTACACAACTTCATGTCAGCATATTTCTCATCAGTTACGCTGATAATAACACCTAAGCATTGGAGCAGTTAACAGTTTTCACATTTACCAATCATCTTACGCGCACACACCCACTGTATCAATTTTGCCAAGGTTGTGAAAGAATAAAAAAATTAAAAAGGTGTCAGTGGAAAAAAAAGTAAACGCCTCAATATAATTAATGCCAACCAATTAAATCTCGCCACCTTACTCTCCCCGCCCGTACATAACACAGCAAAGGTAGGCTCCCTGGGCTAAACTGCAGTAAATACCTCACTGGCTGGCACCGTTGTAGGGCACCTATCTCAGGTTACGGGTTCAACTCATAGTCAAGCCATTTCATCATCCCTCTGCGGTCTCTTACCACTTAGGAAGTAAAATATTGTTTTCTTTAATATTCAAGAATATCCTCACCGAGTCTCAAGACAAATTTTCAGGATACTGCAGTGGGATATTAGGTCAATTCCATTCAGGATCATTTGGCTGTATGTGGGAGGAAACTGGAATACCTGGAGAGAGGCCACAGATATGAATGTATAACCAAAGATCCATACGGATGGATTCAATCCCTCGCTGTATTTCCGTTTCCAGGCCACCTTGGGAAGTCGATCTGTCGATAGACTGCTTCATGCCATGTGAATGTGGAATTTTTAGCACTCGCTCAAAACTGCGCATTTGGGCGAGAGGACCAAGCGGTCGCAGCTGAGTCACGCGGTATTCCCCTTTAGCCTGGGAGGGAGACGCCCCCAGTGTGGAACGACGAGCGACTTGAGCCCAACTTACGCCATGACGATGACGCAGAAGTCGAGCCAGTTCCAAGGGTCGCGCAGGAATGTAAAAGGGTGAAGGCAAAACCCACGAGCCAGGATTTTCACCATGGATTCGAAGGTATAGATTCCTGTGAATGTGTATCTGGAACATCGCACCACCGGTTAAAACAGCTTGTGCACACTTATTCGTAATCCACGGCGAAGTGAACATTTAGTGTGCGCAACGTAAAAGTGAGTTGGCGTGTTCGGTTCAAAATCGATGTTGCGTCAAATTTTAAAATGAACAATAAACTTTTACTTCTTAAAGTAATACTAAAATTAATAGATTTTATACAGTGTCTAAAAATACGTTTCTTTGTTATGAAATTCATTCTTGAGTCGTGGTTTTGGCCAATATGTTAAACATTAAACTGCCAGGTGAATGTTGAAATCAATCCCTTATTCATTGCAATAATGTGCCATGTTTTATACAGGTTTAACCAAACAAATTACAATTATCCACAAAGCTCAGCTTGCCTGTGAAAATGTAACAGGCATGCACACATGGTCACTCGTGTCAATATAAAATACTTAATTGTATTAATAACGTGCAGGGAGCAGGTTACAGACCGAGTAGAATCCGATCACTTACTCCACGTTCTTGGTCCAAGTGGGTGGCTCGCTCATGGTCATGAAGACACAGTTGGTTAGAATGGTGAACATTATGAATATACTGAAAAGCGTACGTTGCCGTTAAAGAAAAACCCGTGCCGTCTGTCCAAATGCCAACCGTCAGCCAGCAAATTACCAGTGGCGAGGAAAAATGATGCAGCTTAATTCCCGTTTAATGGTGATCTTTAGCAAAATTCATAACCAAGTCTGACCTCAGCGGAGAGTTCTAGAATAAATCAAGGCCCGGGCTACATGAATGAGTCGCACTGCTATCGTTACCGTCTGCAACTTAACTCATAATGTGTTTATTATTGATGGCGTTAGAAGAATTGCAGATTATGAATACTCTTGCAGGACCGGCATCGAGCATCGCTTCCTCAGAATGTCCAGATGAAATTTAGAAACAATAAAATGTTCTCTCAATGACTTGATTTTCTCATGAGGTCACAACTACAAAGTGCACCGTGGCATGTTTTTACAACTCCGAGGCTGAATGAGCAGCTGACCACATCCTCAAACAATGAGCCTCAGCTCCTCAAGATGTGAGAAGCACTACTTTTTCTCCCGAGTCTCCCTTGAAATAGATGGCCTCAGTGGATTCTCACTTGCTCTTAAATATAAACACGATCATGATCATCTTTTTAAATGTGTTTTTTTAAGTGTCTAATTAGTTCACTTCCTCAAAACTTTTGCCTTGAGAATGAATATATTTTCATAATTACACCACCCATTGGCATTCATGCATACATACCCAAGTCTCACTATGCAAATACTGTATGTGAAACGACGTCTTAACTGGACTTACATTTTATTTTATTTAATATTTTATGAGTATTAGCTAAGTGAAGTCCGTGACAGGAGACCTATCTTGCCTACTCGAGGGTGGCTTTAAACTAATAGCAGGACTCAAAACAGCGCCTCTCTGTACACACTACGTGAACTGTAAGTGCACCCCTCTCATTCTTAGGACATGCAATTTTGTTCGCATGAAAAGGATATGAATGTGTTAAAATCTTGATAGCGTATCTTCTGACGGGGTTGAACGGAGTTAAAATATACAATGCAGGTGTGGCGCTGAATCGGAAGATGGCCTTCCCTGAATTCAGGACTATAAATGTCTGAAAAGGAAACAAACACACGAGCATTATCAAGACATGTATTTGACCAAAAGATTGCCATTTCTGCAGTACTGCAGTATCTTAAAGCACATTTAAACAGCATTGGCAGTAATTACACATCAAGGGGCAAAGCATCAGTTAAGCTGACTTGACACAAGCATTACCCAACTGTGCCAATTAAACAGCAAAAGTTGCGTGTAAGAAAACAAAGTTAAAACTTTGGGCACAATATTTTCTTTGAAGAGTGCCCAAGCCAAGTTAAAATAAGGTGTGAGATTTTAGGTTTTCTGATTCCTTGAAATACTGCAAATAAAAAAGAGGCAGAGTGCAATATTTGTACCGCAGGCAGAGGTTTTTAAAACCAGGCAGAGGCTGCCTGGTGTGCACATTACCAGAGCGCATCAGTTTTGTAAATGCCACCGCTTTTCTCCTGCCTGTCACAAATAGATATAAACAGATCATCCGCATAATATTGCCATAGCCAATCCACTGTTGGATGAAGACGCCCTCACGCCATTGCCACCGCACAGGTCCCGCGATGCCACAATGGCAGCTCACTCTAGTGCATGAGCTGATCTTATCGCCCTCTCCCCATGGCGGTCGTCCTTTGGCTACCATTCCGTCACGGGTCCCATCCATCAGCCATCCTCCCCTCCTAGCCATGATGTGTCATGTCCAAGCCCACTAATGTTTCTTAACCGTAGGATGTCCATAACTTTCATATGTTCTCTATGCTGCGTGTTCCGCTTCTTGTCTGAAAGTGTTATTTCAAGTCGAAGCTTTTCATCTTTTTCTTTGTCAATGTCCATATTCTGCGTCACATGTAATAGCGCGTAATATACAACGCTTAAAATGTTTCTGCCTTTTTGAACATTAAGGTTTTGTTCCATAGTCTTTGTCAAAAAATCGTGTTTTTTTAGGATGGTCCTATATTGGGACATCTGGTCAATTCCATTTAATGGGTGCGAGAGAAAACCGGAGAAAGTGCAGAAAACCAACGCTCCCATACTCCCTGGCCACTTTGCATACTCATGCCTCTAACACCTGGCACGCCTTGCTGTTCACGCATTTAAGCACTATCCATGTTCAACCCAACTAAGCCTCCAAGTTGCGATGAGATTGTATGTATTCAGGGTGACTTTCTCGTAACCTTGCAGTTTAAGCTGGAGTACGTGTCCCCTGATTTTGTTTCCTACAGCATCGTCCAGCACTCAGGGCTGCACCGCCAAATTGCCATGAAAGAAATGCACTTGGGTCCACATTACTGCTCAACCTTCCGCTCAGGAATTGATCGACGTGCCTTTGCGTTTGTTGTACACATTGTACAGGTCACCACCAGGATGGGCTGGTGATCACTGAACAAAGAGTACTGCCTCGCGTTATGCAATAAAGGTCATTAAAGTCTTGCGACAAAACATCCTTCACACGTGCAGCTTTTCAGGGAGATTAGACGTGACCAGCCGCAGCACCCTTCCATAACCACCCCGTCAATGAGGCATTTGACCGGGTGGAAAGCTCGTTGGTGAATGTGGCCATGCTCGCTGCCAACGAGAATGGAAGCTGCCAGAACGTCACGAGTCTCATGACTCGATCGACCGATGATATCGGAAACGCTGACACTCGGCGAGCTCCAACAGCGAAATGCCCTCATATTGAATGCACAAGCCACCGTGGGGAACCACTATAAAGAGCAACTAGAAATACCCCCATAAAGGACTAGTAGCCTCCAAAGCCTGGTTCACGTGCAGCGATTTGTAGGGCGCGACACTGAGCAAAGCAAAGCGATTTGCTATGTGTGTGTATCTCAGTGTGTATCTCAGTGTGTATCTCAGTGTGTATCTCAGTGTGTATCTCAGTGTATATCTCAGTGTATATTTTCAACTGGGTAATTCCACACTGGTCATAATTTCACACTGGTCATGGGTAATTTCACACTGGTTATTTCGCGAAACATATTGGCGAACCAAGAAGAGCATCGAGTGAGAACAGAGCGATGTAATCTAACTTTCTGTGATGTCACCCTCTGATTAAATGGGTTTATGGAGGGGGGCGGGGAAAGGACATCTTTCAGGAGATGCATCGCAGATTTAACTTTTCCTGGCCATCAACAAAGTCACACCGGTCGCGTATGGCACGACACAGAATGACGGCAGGGAGGCGGTCTCCACGACAATCACTCTCTTGTCACTCGGTCAAATATGAAACATGTCAGCATCGAGGGCCAAGAGCAGGGCGGAGTTGACGCGATATCATTCGCGAGCATGTCCACTACACTCGCCTGACAGCAAGAAGCGCAATCCAACACTGGCGGTCCGAAAGCAGACGTGCTAATGCAGACCCTTTGCCATCGAGGCCATAATGATGACAAACAACTGGCGCGGTATACCTAAATTAGGCATGAAAGCCACTTCCATTGGTGGGAGCCCACTCGGCACCTTCAGATATAAGTGTCGCTGATAGGGACTCCAAAGGGAGGCGTGACTTTTGGATCTTGATTTGCGCCGCCATCAGACTGCGAGGGTTGTGGAGAGGTGCACTCATAGAGGGAGGCGATCGCAGGGTCTCGCTTCAGGTCCGAGTGTCTGCGTCGCAAGAAAAATCTGAAGCTGCAAGCTGTCTCAGTGCCAGACGCTGCCACTGCCTCTTGCATTCGATTGGATAATTTTATTTACCGGAGAGTCATAACTCAGGTCGCATCCAGCCTCTATTAATCCCACATTCTGCCATCACACCCTCTCAAGGGCCCCCTTGCAGTGGCTCACCACCCACTCCAAATTTCCCCAGCCAGTAGTGCCATTAGTCATGTCTTGTGCATTTCAGCTTGTGTATGCATGTTTATGAATGAGTGTGTTCATGTGTGTGTAGGTGGAGTTGGTTAGCGCACTGCGCTACGAACCCGGTGACCCGAGTTCAATCACCGCTCACAACCGATAACAGCGGCAAATGTTTGAACCTGTCACGGGCATCCCCGAGGTCGACTCAGCCTCAAATAAGTACCTGGGGAGACAGCATCTCGGGTGTGGTGCTGGAGACCCACCCCCTTCTGTGACGTGCCAGCCTTCATAGGTGCTTGCTAACAGCACTTGCCCAAACAGTATGCTAAAGGCTATACGGAGGGTTTTTGTTGTAGGTGGAACTTGAGCCTGGTGGCGACTGCAATGCGCGATGAATGATGTGATGTGGGTTCAATTCCCAGCTATGGCTAACATCAGTGGTGAATTTCAGAACTGGTTTTGTACCTTAAATGAGTACCTCATGTTGTAAGCATCAGCACTGGGGAGACAAAGGTGGCCAGGCGTGATGCTGGTCACATCACCACCCCCTTGTGTGCAAGTTGTCCTTCATAAGTACTGACTAATAGCACTTTAGCCTGTGTCTTTTAGGGATGTACATATTTTATTTTGCGTATATATATAGCCAAGTCTATGCTTATAAGTAGACGAAACAGAATACCTAAATTATTGATATTGAGCTCACAAAATTCCGGTGGGTGGTTAATTGGTTTCTCTCATAGCACAGGATCGACCGAAAGTTCTAAATCGCTTTAAGTCTCCCATTTAACATTTACAAAATATATGATCCCCATCATCAGTAAACCAAGCAATTTCCCTGCCCTGTTGAGTTGAAGTGTTACGATGAAATCTGCAAAGTGTGTGATGGTTGTCACGGGTTCACTGGCATCGATTGCAGCGAGGAGGGAACACAGACGAAGTGTTCCCACCAAACCCCCCTTCATATTACACATTACGGGGGGGGGGGGGGGGGAGGAGGGGGGGGTGCAAGGGGAAGAATGCGTACACCGTAAGCATGACTTAACCTTGTGCACAGGCGCGTGACGGTGAAGTCTTGCTTACTAGGGGGGCAGCAACATCCCTGCCGCACTCTCCCATCTTGGCGCCCTCCTGTCCAGAAGCTCACCGTGTGTTATGAACGCCCACCTTAATCGCCCGGTTGCTGTGTATACGGACGCTGCCGGCGGCGTGCGTGAAGGTTCGCAACCGCCGGACTTGCAATCTCCCAGCGCGGCAGTCGAAACAACGATTGCACCCCCCCCCACCACCGTCCACCAAGCGATGTAAATAGGAACACCACAGTTAGTGGAACTGCCGGTCGTGTGTGGTGGGATAAAGTATGGCTAATCCCACCTCTTCCGAGAAGTCAGGCCAATTTGTAAAACTAGACTAAATACCCTCTAGAAGGGCTCTCTGAAGCTCCATCTCGTGGAAGGCCTTCCAACAGCAGTGGCGTAAGCGACACATTGCAGGGCCGCACATTCACCTTATTCGGGGTACATACGGTCCTGTTCACTGTTATTTGCTTACTAAAGCAATTCTGTATTTAGAATTAAAATAAAAGTGATTTACTTACGAATCCATCTTTGAATGTCCCTCCCCTGGCAAATCACAACGATGTCGGATGCCCCTTGCTATGAACAAGTGCCAGTCGCTGTCCAAACCTGGCCTGTGTCTGCTGTAGGATGGACTCAACCTTAAATCAATACTGGACATTGTGTGGGAACATCGGCGCTGTAGAGACAACAGCGATCGGACGTTATGCTGGCTCTAACACGCTCTCGTGCGTCACAAGGGCCTTGAAAGGAATTTGCTCGCAGCACTTACCTCTACGATTAATGTTACAGCCCTATGTCAATCCGCTGCTGCGTGAAGGCATCCCAACGTCATCTCAGTCATGGGGGTTGTTTGACTCGACTTCACCATGCTGGTCAATGCGGATTTGGTGAAGAACTGGCCAGGGTACCGGGCCGGTTCAGATATCCCTCGTCGCTGATGTCAGCCGTGGCCGGGAATAATGGAACTCAGGTTTCCAGATTCGAACCGCAGTGCGCTGACCCACTGGGCCACTGCTCCACCCCCTCTAGAGCTTATATGATTAATTGTGGAAATGTGTGTTGTTTGTGTAGTGTGCGTGCATGTTTGTTTGTGAATGCATGTGGGTAATGTGTACTGCAATACGAAGCCGGTGACCCAAGTTCAATCCTCCACTCACGGCCAACACCGGTGACAAATATCTGAACTAGTCCTGGGCCTCACCCTAAAATTACTACCCGGTGCAGTGTGTAAACAGCAGCATTGGTGAGACAAAGGCGGCTGCGAATGTTTAATAGCCATTCCACCTCCTCATGTGCTGTGCCGGCCTCAATCGGTTCTTGGTAACAGAACTTGCTCCAAAAGTCTGTTGAAGGCTACAAGGGGGGAGCTTTGTCTTTGTGCGCATGTACTGGCGCAACGTTATAAGAGCAGGACTGAGAGTAAGCGTCTGCAAAATGGCTTGCCACCTTACAGCACAATTTCCTGAAATAGCCCCTTCTGCAGGGACATTTATTCACATCGGTGTCCTCCGATGCACTTCACGAGGCACACATCATTACCAGCGACGCGTTGAGAACACTGGTGCGGAATGGGGATGGGTCGGTGAGGTGTGCGGCAGAAACGCTTCCTCTGAAAGTCAACGACATGGGCAAGCGAGCGGGCAATGGTAGTTCGACTGTCACCGTGCACATCAGGTGATGCCTGGGTGACCCGATTCACTCTGTTGGTTGTACTACGTGCCCCAGTATCTCTCTCCAAGTACAATAGTTGAATTTACTTAACCAGGAAAGTCTCAACGAGTCTCAAATTGCTTTTTAGGAGGGCCATGCACTTGGATGTTTGGATAATTTTCTCCAAATGAAACGTCTTCCACGTGAGAGAGAACTGGAGTACCGGGAGAGTCCCACACATGGCAAACCTGTTCACAAACCCACTCCGTTGTGCTACCAACCACCTCTCAGTGGCAGTTTCACAAAGCGGCGTGAGCCACAAACCAATTTCCCCAAGTCACAGGATACGCCATCATCGCCCTCACCTGTATTTCACTATGCCATAACGAGCACGCGCAGCTGGTGCTGTTGGTGGTGATGTAAGTGGTGGTGTTAGTGGTGGTGTTAGTAGTGGTGTTGTTGATGGTGCTCTTGGCAGTGACATTGGTGGCGCTGTTGGTGGTGGTGACGTTATTAGAGGTGCAATAGGTGGTGCCAGTGGCGCTGTTAGTCGAGGTGCTGTTCGCGGTGCCGTTGGCGGTGGTGCTGTTCGCGGTGCTCGTGGTGCTGTGGTCGGCATGAAGGTGGCGTCTTCCCACCTTCTGCGTGCTGTAGAAGGGATCCAGGTCTTCCAGCGGCTCGGCCACGCACTCGGGCGGCATGTCGCCGTACATGAACGGCAGCGACTTGCCGACCTCCAGGTCGCTGCTGGGCTTGGGCTGGTCGTCCTCGCTCTCGAAGCCCTTGGCTTTCTTTGCCTGCTCGTGGGCCGCGCGCTGCTCGATGGCGGCCAGGGACTCGGGCGTGAAGCGGCGCAGACTGTGCGGTCCAGGCGGTAACAGCACTGGGGCTGCCATCTTTTCATCCTGCGCGGATTCTCGGGCGCGCTCGCTTCCTCCGCCTGGAAATTCTGAGAACGGCGCAACCGCGAGGCGGCCACTTTAGTTTTTAAGCGCCGCGTCCACTTTGCGACGCCGGCCCAGCTACGGTCATGCACGGAGTGTGACGCCTATCTATAGGCTCAGAACTGTCGGGGAGTTTCCACGCGCCTGGAAGTGTCGCGCTGGCGTGAACTTAGCGGCGGCACCACGGCGATAGTAGCCGGTCACGTTTTTCGAGATAATGTTTTATTCCGCTTGCACAAAGCGTTTTTTTTTATGGGTCGGAAAAAAAGTACACGTGTTGCAGCGTTTCCACCATTTACCATTGGGTCGGTAGTATCAACTGCCAACAGCCTGTGTGGAATTAGGCCAAGCATTAGAAAAGACAAATAACTATGCCTCCAAAAGCACGTGCAGTTGATGTCACATAAAAAAATAGTAATAAAACAATTTATAATGCGTGTTTATTTCGCAATGTTCGATCGAGAACTCACAGAGCCAGAGCTCGAAGTCCATCATAAGCCAACCTGAACCAGGTGAGAGCCTGGATGGATCAGGGTCTCAACGGGTGAGAGCCTGAACAGGTAAGAGACTTGAAGGATGAGAGCCTGGAAGGGTGAGAGCCTGGACAGGCAAGAGCCTGAACGAGCAAGAGCCTGAACGAGTAACGCCGCTTGAAGGTGCTTGGATGCGGATTCGGCAGTGGGAAAGAGTTCCAGACCGCTGGTAGCTATGCATCAGCCATTAGTGCACAATTACAGGGAATCAATAATAACAGTTACACCTTTGATTTAACCTATTTTGTTTATATTTAAAGTGTGTAATAGATCTGCAAGTGAACTAAAATATGAAGACGACATAATATTGATACTGTTGAGTATGGGGTTAATATAAACATCTAACTGCATTCAGCACTATATGAGTGAGATTTATGCCATTACCAATGGTCCCATACAAATGACTTCCCAAAGATATATTTGGCTATATAATTAATCACATTTAGCTCAACATATGGGCACTGCATACATCACATTGCTCATTTATATTAATTCCTAACCAAAAATCTAGAGATGTGTTTTGATATTTGTAAAATGTTCTAATTGTTCACATCTGCCGCTTAACTCTGAAATCGAAAATCATCCAAAAACACTTATTACAATTAATATCACATCGATAATTAAATTACAATTAATATTACATGGATAATTTCAGTATCTAAAAATGTCGTGCCACTTAAATGCCTAAAAAAGCTGTTTACCATACCCTAAATGTTCTGAGCATTTCATGCCAAATGCATAGCCATCACTCAGCGTCTGCTCTCAAACATCAGTCACATGCAGGTGATGGGGCTCATATCCCCTGCACCACTATTAATAAAAATTAACGTGTGACGCTGCCAATTTCTTCATGCCCTCAAAGTAACAAATGGGTGTCACTTGGCCCTCCTGAGCCTGCATATGCATCTTAGCGGTTATCAGAGTGCAATCTAAATTCTTATTGATCACTGACTGGGCTACAGGGGTTGGGTGGTGGTGGTTGTTGGCGATGATGGAGGCGGTGATGGTAGTGGTGGAGGCGGTGATGGTAGTGGTGGAGGCGGTGATGGTAGTGGTGGAGGCGGTGATGGTAGTGGTGGAGGCGGTGATGGTAGTGGTGGAGGCGGTGATGGTAGTGGTGATGGTGGCGATGGTGGTGGCGGTGATGCTGGCGCTAATGGTGGTGGTGGCAGTGATGGTGATAGTAGCGGTGGTGGTGGTGATGGTGGTGCAGTTGCAGGAACAATTCGAAGGTCAAACCATATTCATCAGTCTCCTAATTTACGTGTCCCAGGACATTTCAGGGACCCGAGGCCACACGGAGCTGGGAACAGCTGGGTGGCTGTTTGCAAATTACAGCATAGCCTCCATAAACCCTAAGAGCCAGCTGTGTTTCACTTAATAGTATTTGTAGATATGGCACGTGGTTTCACACAATAACAATGGCAGGTGCCCGCTTTGCTACGCTATACAACTACAGTGGGCATATTTATTTAATATATACAGAGGCAGTCAGTCATAGACATAGGAGAGGAGGAAGTTATTGAGCTTGGAACTTAAAACAGGGGACAGCACAGATTGGCTGGAGGAACGGAGTTCCACACAATGGGAGCAGCAGCCTCCAAGCCGCCTGCGTCTGCCCGCTGCCGTTGCGGCTGGTCGCTTGCCTCGCCGACCCGCCGTTCCAGCCTGGCGTGTGCTTTAGCTGCTCTGGCTGGGGCCTCGGCCGTCTCGTCGAGGCCAAATCGTGTCTGCGATCGCGCTCTGCGGTCTCCACCCGCTCACGCCTGCCCACTGCAATGCCCCGCTGCTGGCGGTTGACGGCATTAGGCCTGCTGCTTCGGTTCTAATGGCCCTGTCGGTGCCTCTGTCGGCTCTGGATGCCCGCGCCTGCACGCAGTCGCGCCCCCGTGGTCGCCTGTGTCCGCCCGCTACTGCGTCTTTGATACGTGCTTCTTCTTACCCCAATCTTTCCTTGCCATCATTGCTTCACCCAAACAAAAAAGTTGTCTGCTTCTCTCAGAACTATAAACTGGACTGCAGAGGTGGCAGGAGATGTCCAGCAACTCCTTCTCACTGCTTCCCCCGCCACCGTTCCACAAAGCCACCATCTTTCTTCTTCGCAAACGATTGCCACAACCCTGACAAAGGCATTACTTTTGGCCGACGAAACACTCGCTCTGCCGTATGCAAGTGCAGCCCTCATTCACGACAGCGTTAAGGACCGTTCCCCTTTACCTCCTCTGCATCCTCACAGAAACGTGGTTCACACCGAGCATCCTGCCGCCATGCCGAGGGACATTGCCCCACCTGGCTTCAACGTCCTGCGAGATCTCCCGTGGTGGTGGGTTTGCCATCATCTAAAAACGTGCCTCTAGACAGTAAGAGTCGTCCACTGTCGATTAGACACACCTCCTATGAGCTCCAGTCTGCCAGCCTAGTCCCTGGCATCGACTCACTTTCACGGTTCGTTCTCTGCCGCCCTCCACACGATGATGATAACCTTTTCCTCAACGAGTTATCATTCCTTCTTTCACCTCACACTCTATACTCTCGCATCTCTCATCTGTTACACCCCAACAGGTTCTTAATCTAATCCTACACTCTACAATTACAATGTCTTCCCTTGATCTCCTACCAGCCAGTGCTTCAAACATTATGCTCATACATTTGCAACTATGGTTTCTGATGTTTTACCTCCATCACTTAAATTGGGCCAAGTAACCTCTACTTATGAAACCCGGCTCTGACCCTGATGACCCTTCTAACTACCACCCCATCACGAACGTATCAACTATCTCCAAACTTCTTGAGCGTCTCGCACTTGTCAGATTCAAAGATCACATTACTTCATACCCCAATTTGTGTCTTCATCAGCCTGAGTACCTCCTAGCATACTCAAGATTACCAACAACATGTTAGCTTTCATTGACTCTGGTTCCATCGATGCTGTGGTCAGACTCAAAATACAGATGTCCTTCTGGACATCTGTGTGTTGAGGCTGGACATCTGTGGACATCCTTATGAACATCTGTGAAAAAGGGCTTCATAGCTAATTGATTCTTGCGGTCTAACTAAATATTCTGATTGTGACATATCTACCACCTTTGGCACTTTCAATCACAAGGTTTTGATGAAATGCCTCGAGTGTTACTTCACCATCAGCGGCACAGCTCTTCAGTGGCTCGCATTGTATCTCTCCGACAAAAGGTCCGACATCAAGGTTGGCAAGTCCTCAACCGCAGTTGTCACATCCACTGCAGGTGTCTCCCAGGGATCCCTCCCTAAGTCTTAAACTTGTACCAGTCTATAATCTCAAGAATTGGTCGCCTCATTAACAGTCACGGGATGAAGAATCACACTCTGACCTCTGACCATTGCCCACTCTATCTTGCACTGGTTTTGGTCTAATCGCCAATTAAACCCTCATAAATCCGTAGCTCTTTTCCTCGGCACCAGGCAGCGTTATACCACTGGGTCACAGTGAGTCACTCTACTCAAGTCACACTGAGTCACTCCCTCACCTCATCGCTGGCTCACATCATTGGTCTCTCAAATCATCTAAAAATTATCCGTATCACCCGACAACCACACGCTCAACACACAAAGGACACGTAATCACTACCGCAGGGCCTCATGGCACATCCACCCAATGTCGACTACAGCCACAGCAAACACTCTGGCTTGTGGCATTGTCGGCTCTCACCATGATTATTGCAACATCATCCTCACCTCGAACTTGAGGAAAACACCTCGACAAACTATAGTTGCTTCAAAACAACGTGTCTCGCGCTGTCCTCGGTATTAGGTGTGGCCACATGGCTTCGATAAACACCTTGCACTGGCTCCACTATCAAATCAAGGAAAGGATACAACATCGCTGCACTGTTCCATAGAGATATTTTTCAAAGTCTCGCACCATGCCTCTCTACCCTTGCCACTCAGCTGACCGCAGCAAAACAGTCATGTCCTACGGAGTTCATCTCACAAACAATCCCACCGTACTCAAAACTAGCACTGTCTTGCCTGTGCAGCGTTTCGCCCCTTAGCTGCACCGGCCATCATCTGGAGCTCTCTCCCACTGCACACAATGCACCATCCAAGCACCAGGCAGCAGCTCAATGCTCACTGGTTTAGGTTGGCATAATTTATGGAGGATTTTGAGCTCGGGCGCCTCCAAGGATTTTGATTGAACATTGTGTCCGTGTGTTTGAGACTGAGCGACCTCCCACTGAGCGGAGGTTGATTGGGGGCTCTCGGAAAACGTGTTGGTTCTTGCGCGCGTTATAGGAGTGGAAAGTGTATTGGAAATTGTCCTGTGCCTCCCCTTGGTCAACTAGGTGGTAAATGAGTACCTGGTGTGTAAACATCAGCACGGTGAAGACAAAGGCGGCCACGCGTGGTTGCAGATCAACACCACCCACAGGGGATGTTTGCCTTTTGATGCATGATTAAAGAACATCTTTGCCCATGTGTGATGGGTGATTTTTAAACCTATTTGCTCTTACAATTCATGCGTGTGTGTGTGTGCGTAGGAGATAAGGGAATGTGCAATTAATCCCCCCGCTTCCCATGTTCGATTCCCGGTTAACGTGAGCAACACGAGTGGCAATACGAAAACGAACCTACCCGAGGCACACCCCACGCTTGGCTTATGGGCTGATGTAGACACGCGTGTGTGTGTGCGTGGGTGTGTGTGACTGTGCGGAGCGGTAGTACAAACCTGGCGACCCGGGTTCGATTCCCCTTGACGGCCAACACCAGTGACTGAACAGGTCCTGGGCCTCCCCTAGGTCGACTCGGCCTCAAATGAGTACCGTGTGAGATGTGTAAACATCGTCACTAGGGAGACAAAGGCGGCCGGGCGTGGTGTTGGCCACCCACCCCCTCGTGTGCCGTGCCGGCCTTTATAGGTGCTCGCTAACAGCACTTGCCCCTACAGTCTGTGAAGGCTACACGGGGGATCTTTGTCTTTGTGTGACGATGTGGTAAGTGTTAACAGAATTTGCCCTTAAGACTGAAACGTGCAGCTGCTGCGCCGGTGTGGTCACGAGCATCAGGACATCAGCATTATGGAGACAGCCAGTTGGTCGGGCTCGCGTGACAACCAGCGGGTCACGCCACTCCTTTGTGATCAAGCGGCAGCCTTAGCATGAGGCTCGCTAACGGAGGTCGTCGCACCCAACAATCCATACCGCTCGAGGGTGCACGGTGCTTTGTCTTTGTGTGAGATAAGGCACGCACGCGCACGGCCGCGCACGCACGCGCCCTGGTAGAGCGGACAGGCGAGTGCAAGGCAAACGCACGGGGGGGGGGCTATAATTTATAGCCGAATTGACTGTGAGTGGGTCGGCCCTGCGTAAGGTACGATAGTCTCGCGGCCAGAACGTTTGACTCTTCATCAGGTTTTGGGTTCCAATCCCCATTCGGTGCCTATTCTGGCTGTTATCCATACGGGGGGTGGGGGGTTGATTTTGTATTAATTTTGTAATGATTACCAATTCGTGTTACGTCTAACGGTGGCAGGTGCCATGATTGACGCTTTGTGTTTTTGTTTATTTTGGTCTCGGTTCGCGAGCTCGTGGCGCGCGAAATGCGCACAGAATGAAGATTGTCTGACGGGGGATTTCTTATTATCCTTAAAAAAACCAACCCCGCCATGAGCTCACGGGAAGCGTCTTCGCCTTAAACGCAACAACGGATCAATGTGCACATCAGGAAATTAATGAATCGACTGCGAAGTGACAATTAAGAGAGGATGAATATTTGATGAATGTGGTTGCGTGTGTGTGTGTGTTTTTTTTTTCCATGGTAGCCACGGCAGCGCCGCTGTAAAATATAGCCGGGGCAGATTCATTGAGAGGAGCATTGAGAGCCGCGTGGAAATAATTTGAAAATCGGAAAATGGTTGAGGGGGGGGCGAGCCCTGTGCAAGGAAGGTGTTGTTATTAGCATAATCATTTCTATTTAATTTAGGGTGTTTTTTTTCGTCCAAAATTGCGATTTGGCGCACGGCGACCGTTTAATGGCAACGGGCTCGCTGTACGTCCGCCTTATCCAGAACACACACAAGAAAATGTGCCGGTGCTATATATGGATGGTGCCCATATTTCAACCTTCGACCCCAGAAGACGAGCGCAGGAAAAACATGTTTTATAGAAACATTTTTTCAAAAGCTGTATATTTTTTTCTCTCGCAAGCAAACAACACGAGACGGAGCGATTTGCGTTGGCGTAGCCGGCGTGTCGGGCGGGCTTAGCAGAGGGCGTTTTGCATCGTAATGCGGGGATATAGGTACACGACCCAAACGCGTTTTATTGTGCTTCGAAAACACATCATTACAGGACTGCATAATAATTAATTGCGAGTTGGCAGCAACAGCGGTTGAGGCCCCGGAACCGCCCATTCACCACCCCCCCTCCCCGTCTCTATCTCCCCGCGCCCACCACGCCCTCTCGGAAACATGCTCCCTCTGCTGTCTGAAGCAGGGCCGTCACCCGAAACGTCGCACACACACACACGCGCGCACACATCATCGTAACAGCTCGGTGTTAATGATTAACGCGGTGGTGGCGGTGGTGGGTGGCACCTTTTCAAAGACGAACAATGAGACAAATTTGCGCGCCCGGCGTCCCGAGGTCAACCGTAGAGTGTTCGCTCCGTGCGCGCGCGCGCGCCCTTACGCCCATTCATTAATTCTCTCGCCAAAGGAACGTGGAGTGCGCGCTGGGTTCACGAGCGCAAAACCGCGCGTTTCGTGCGTTACGCACGCGCTCGTCGTCAATGCACGTTCCACAAAGCTGGGGGGCCGGGGGGGGGGAAGCGCCTCATTCCTCTCGCCTGCTACACCCGGTCACAGACGAACAACCAACATCACACAACACGCGCTCGCCCACACACCCTTGCCTGCGTGTGCGTGGGCAGCGGTAGCGGTTAACGCGCTACGGCATGAACCCGGCGACCCGAATTCAACTCCCGCCATCATTGGCCAATATCGGTTGAATGCTCTAAATCGGTCCTGGGCCTCCCCTAGGTCGACTCAGCCCCAAACGAGTACCTGGTTCCGTGTTGTAAACATCGCGACTGGGCACAGCAAAGGCGGCCGGGCGTGGTGCTGCCCCCCCCCCTCGTGTGCCGTGCCGCTTTCATAGGCGCTACTTGCCAACGGCACTTGCCCCAACAGTCCATTGAGGCTATACGGGGGCTCTTTGTCTTGTGCATCCTTGTGTATTCGCGTGCGCACGGAGAAATGCACTAAATAAAATCGCACCGGCGAATTGCGCGAATGAATACATTCACAGTGATCGAGGGCGAATTAACCGCGTCGTTGTCAAAGCAGTGGCGATGATGCGACTCCGAAGGCGATGAATGATCACGCTCTGTACCAAATCAAGCGTACGTACAGTAGTGCAACACTGTGGGTGTGATGGGAATGATTTTCGTGATGGTGGTGATGGGCGTTGTACTCACAATCGGCGCCTCGCTGGGTTATTTGCAGCAGTCCTGTGCGCACAGTCTCCCGTTTGCGACAGAGGGGACACCGCGTCGGTGGTGGAGGGGATCTTCGTAGATAGACCACCCCTGGCCCGTTCTCTCAGCTCCTCGTCTCTCCGGGAGAGGTGTGGGGGTGCTGGTGGTGGTGGTGACACGGGAAGACGCGACGGAGCCTCTTACACAGCTGGATATCTGGGATTTATTGGGGGTTGCTGGATCGCCGAACGGATGCTTTTGGGCAAATTGTTCGCGTCAGAGTCCACGTATCCAGATCTTGTTAAGCGGCCGCTGTCCTTGCTGCTGATTGCCCACGATTAGCTGCTGCTCGAGGCGAGTGCAGCTGAACGCAACGCTGCTGCTGCTTTTGATGCTGCTGCTGTGGTTGCTGTGGTTGCTGTTGTCGCCATGTTCTCTCGCCGACAGAACCTTAGTGGAGCTCATTGCTCAGATGCTGCTGCCATCCTCGCGTCCCGTCTGCCCCGAGACGTTGTTACATCGACGACGACAAAAAGAGAAAACCAGAAGAAAAACAATAACAATACCGCCCACGTTTCCCCTCCGTTTCGCGAGCTCGTTTTCATGGTTTCCACCCACCGACCCCCCCCCCCTTTCCCCACACGTAGTCCGGAGGACGCGCTCGGATGCCCCCTCCACCCCCCCGTGTTGTGATCCGCTCCCCGACGCCGCTCGTGATATTTCCCCCAGCGTATTCGTTTTTTTATTTTAATTTGCAAGGAATGCAAACAAATATCACGAACGCGCGCCCGGCGTTTCGTCGCATAAAACGCGCAAACAAACAAAAAAAAGACCGCCGATGGAACATGAGCATTCGAAGCCGAAATCTAAATATCCGTAGACAGTCACGGACACGTCGGCGAAATAAAAAAAAAACCCGATAGCAAAATCCACCGCTCACCTCACGGGGCGGGTGTAAAAGCTGTCTAATTTAGGGCTTAATGTAAACACCAACGATGGTAAAGCGCACTCACTCCACGTACACGCGGGCACCGGGTCTAGGGGATGCGCTTGGCGGCGTTTTCCAGAGGCGCGGGGGGCAGCTGGAATAGCGGGCGAGGAGGGCGGTGGGGATCCGTGCGGGCGATGCTCGCTCGGCGATAGCAACGCGCAAGGGCGATGACTAAAACGAGCACAGACCCACCTCTGGCAATGGGACGCAGCCGGGGCAGCTCTGGCGGAGGTCCGGCGTTTCCAGTGGCAAATTGTCGCGGTTCCTCCTGCCTGCCCCTACAGCTCTCAGCAGCAGGCGCGGCGCATCACCGGGCCACCGCCGTGTCCATTTGTAGCAAAATTCTTCTTTTCCTGTCGCGTCTCCTCCTCCTCCTCCTCTTCCCCCCCACCACCACCAACACCACCACCACACACAGACAGCCGCCCCCCCCACACAAAAAAAGAGACCCTCGGCACAAAGCAGCCCACGGACAGCGCCACGTTCACAAATCCTTGACGAGCGGAGGAGGAGGAGAAGGGGTGGAAGCTCCGAGCGGGCGAGAGCGGCAAGACCACACGATGCCTCTCCCCAGAAAATAAACGAAAGGTTAAAAAGAGGAAAATGTTGTACGGGAGAAAGCGCGGCTGCGTGAACGGACGTTGCTTTCCGAGAAGCGCTCCAGCAGCCCCCCCTTCGTCAAGCCGACACTGACTGCGCCTTGAGCCAATGGACGTCGCCAAAGGAACCCAGGCGCACGGGGGGGCTAACGCATGCGGGTGGCAGGGTGCGTCACGACGCACGCGATCCTTCTCGAAATTTCAGGCGCCAAATCAGACGCCGCTCGAGCGTTTTGCCGGAGCGAGAGACGACACCAACAACAACCTCACTGCCAACCCCCCCGCCCCTACCCAACACGTTTCGGGGACGCAAAACCCTGCGTCGCCGCCGCCGCCGCCGCTCTATGCGTCTTGGCCGCGACACCGCGAGACACCTGCAGCGAGACGCGAACCTGAGACGCCTCCGGCGGTAACGGGGAGCAGCAGCAGCAGCAGCGGCGTCGTCAATTCAGGTGCGAGCCGGAGAAGGGTTAAACGCAGGGGAGGGTGCTGACACGTCCGGCCGCTTAAAATGGTTTCGTTCTATCGGAAGACCTTGGTTGCAGGTACGCGCGCCGAGTCGACGCATCGTTGAGCCGCTCGATCGCACGGAGTCATCATCATCATCGGCAGTGTGTTAGCAGGTGGCTTGGAGGGGGGCAGGAGGGGGGGTGGATCTGCAGTGGTGGTGACGGACTCACGGTTTATGCTCGAGCCAGGCTTGGCACGGCCCTTCACGGGTGAATCACCTGTTGTTGGTGGTGGTGCCTCGCTTGGCAGAAAGTGTCGCTTTGACGTGGATGGCAACTCACTGCAAAACCTCCTCACCCGCCCCCTTTACTCGCGTGCGCTTCGACGGCAGGGCAACGCGATATCGCGGACTGAAACAGCAAGCCCCAACCAAGGTCACAGCGGATAAATATGTATTATTTTTTTCCCTTGTCAGTCGAGGGCATTTGTTGATTTTAATCGGGACACGCGAGCGAGATCGCGCCGCGACATCCGAGCCGCGGACATCTCGGCGAGATTAACTTACAGGTGTGCGTGCGTGCGCGCTCAGGCACTCACTCGTCGTGTCTGAGCGTTGGGCTAGCGTTGCACCGACTTGTTTGCCCTGCCGAGGATCACCGCTAATTTGATTTCCGTGCAGGTGATTAAAGATTTCGAATTAAACCAGTGCAAACGGGCCGCCGGCTTTGCGCAGGCAAACCCGACAGTGCCTCCCCTCTTTCTCTGTGAGCGATCGTGTATTTGCTAAATCATCAAGTCCTGCTCGTCAGAAATAACAGCGTGACACAGTGACTCACCACGTATTTTGCTGTACGTCAGCCCCTGCAACTTCGCGCACGGCCACCTTACGCGTAGCTGCCTCGCTGAAATCCCAATTACTGGGATGTACCGCAGCATGTAGGTGACAAATCGTGATCAAGAACATTAATTTTGGTGAAACTCCCGAACTCGCCGGCCTGCGAGGTGGCCAAAAGATGGAAGCACAGCGAAGCGTATCGGAGCTTCGAATGTTAACTTATCGTATGCGTTACGGGATATCTCAGGATTCCTCCGGGTTATTTCCGTATATATAAAAAAACAACTGTCATGAATGGAATTGACCAAATGTTCCAATTAATGACTGAGCCTTTTGTGCGCAAAGGCCATCACTTGTCGAGTCTGTAACCATGGGTCATTGAGACACACAACGATGTGCAATGTGGTAGGTACCAACCACGGAGTGCTCAGCGAGATAAGATGTCCGCGAAGGCAAAGTCATTTTCTCTGGGTAGTAGAACAATAACAACAACAAACACCCCGCCTGCACGAGGCTGTGGCTGAGATTATAGATGAAGGGCACCGAACGCGCAGAGTCCACGCGTGCATGGCCCTAGCGCCCCCAAGCGGTGCAGAGATGAGACTACGATGGACGATACGCGAGGTACAGCATCAGAAACTGTATTCACGCTAACCAAGGCTACAAAATAAATAATCAATGTCTCCTTCATATACCTGTCTCTTCACGTAAAAAAAAATTAAGGTATTATATTCACGATCCGTCGGCCCCTCGGCCGTCTGGGAGTGTATAATTTTAGCAGCGTTGATTTAATACAAAGCAAAAACATCTTGCCTGGTTTCGACATATAGTGTCGCATCAGCAGTCAGGCTTGCTTGAATCAATGGTGATGAACTGCCAGATGTAAATAATCAACGACCACCTCTTTAAGATATGCGTCCCTAGTTCTACTAAAAATTGTATAATGCATTACACGCAACATTCATTAGCGTGGTTGTGGAGAATACCAGACTACAGCTCGGTACAGTACCACACATTTATTTTCATGTAGCCATGCATCGCTACTGCTTGCAACCCCAGTGGAGCTGTCCGATCTCTGTAAGCGATTATCATTTTGTCCAAATGTTGATTTGTTTTAGGCCTTGGTTGATGAGATCTTGGGATGACTGTATCAATTTTAATTCAGTCAAATATCTCTTCGTAGTTTACAACGGCCAGAGGATCATGGTGGTAGATATTAATTGTTCTTTTCCAAAACCCGATTGTGTTTGTGTTTAAAATGGTTGAGACATATGTTCTAAATCAGGACTTTTCAGGTGGTTGTCAGGTCTCTTACATTTTCAATGATTCTGTTCCCAATGTCCTTGGTGAACACTTGCTATGGGTGTGATAGGGAGCTAATGACTCTGTAAATATTCAAATCAATTGTCTCTATTTAAAAAAAATACAAATTAGTATGAGGTGTTTAATTTCTGATGTCCAGTAATACCATCAGGTCCAAGAGCTGTCCCTTGTCCTTATTTGGATAGATAAAGAAGGATGCACACTCTTGCCAATATTTCTTTTCACAGCCACATCCGAAGGTGTTTTCCAACAATTGGGTGAGAGCAATAATTACTGTACGAAAGCATAAATGGAGAAAATGTTAACCACATATTTCACGATGACGGTCATTATTAAAAAAACAATGAAAATGAAACTCAAAGAAATTACTGGATAATAAGGGCTCACGATATGTGAGCAAAAATAAACTCCGAGAAAAATAATCGCGCTAAGCAATTGAAGATATATATTGGTGGTCCAGCAGTTCCACTACTGGATTATTTCTTCTGCTTGAGGACGACCGCTTGTGTTGCGATCGAAACGTCGTGATATATTATTTTTTGTTGTATTTTATTTTTCTACCTACGTGACTTTACCGAAAGAACCAAAGAGTATATATATTGGAGTTACACACCTGGAAATAAAAAGTATTGTACATATACCTGATGATGATTGCTTGTGTTGCAGTCGAAACGTCGTGAGAATTTTATTGTTTTATATATTTTTTTATTTTATTGTTTCCCTTCTACGTGACTTTACCGAAAGAACCAAGAATATACCTGGAGCAGTTAAATTCAAGGCAGCCTGAGGTCAATATAATGAAGTAACGAGGCCGATGAGCGCAGCTAGGTTGCAGTGCTTTTGGAAATGTACGAATAGTGGATGGAAACATGGCAATTTGACGAAAGCGGAAAGTTTTATAACCATTGTATATACGGTACATATATATGACCTGCTGTGACGTGAACTAGAAACAAGGACACTGGCAGAAAATAGAACAATAGCTGAGAAAAGCGTGCAAAGAATTGCGGAGGTAAACGCATGACATTAGACTGAAAAACAGAACACATGACTTGAAGAACAAGTTAGAGACACGGTATATCTAGGGGACCCTTATCTGTGTCAATATTGTATCAAAATGATGGAAAAAGAATCGGCTTTACCCTAACCGGCAATTATTTTTTTTTAAATAATAGAGACAACGGTGTTGAGAACGATCAGAAGGGCGAGTGCCCTTTGGCCGGACGCGTGCGCAAGAATGAACGGGAAGGGGCAAAGGTCAGGGGTCAAAGACTAACGGAGGAGTGGCAACCAAAGTGGTGAAAACGTCCAAGAGGGCACCTACCGTGGAAGAGCGATTAAATCAGCTCACATGCCCGTGCTCAATGGGTGAGCGAACAAAACTTTAAAACGAGACAGAGACGATACACGATTTAAACGAGTCGGGCCACGTAAGACAAACAATCCATCACAAGTCTATGTATCTTTGTACTGTACGTTGAACTTATTTCCCACCGTACGAAGCCAACCGTGCTAATCGGAGGTTGCGGAATCACGGACGCAGTGTGCGTACGACTCTGATTAGTCAGTGCGCGGCAGCAAACCTAAGGCACCAGCGGCAGGTCTCATTCACCGGCTGGTACATTTACCCTCGTCTCATCTTATAATTAAGGGGGGGTAATGTAGACCCCGGAATCGCTTGCTCACGCCATTTCTGACCAAAGGGCGTCCACTTGCGGGAGCTCGAGAGAGGCTGTTGCCGCATTGGAACAACTCTCGCTCGCTGACCGGACGTGTTTGGGGAAGAAGTGGACTCTGTCCAGACGCCACCGGTCGATCGACAATTACTGTGCACTGTATAACATCAAAGCAGCAGTCTGCTGAATGCGAGAGTTCAATTAAATCAAGTGTGGGGGGGGGGGGGAGTACGGCCAACTGCTTCGTGAAACCCAAGTTGAGGGTGAGAAATTATACACTCGTGGCGAAGTGCACGGGCAGGTGAGAAGCAAACCCAATGATTGTCATCCCCATGACCCAAACGACACCACTCTCATGAAGATGATTACCATTATTATCACCCATGGTCATTAATCCATTGCGAGATGTAAGCCTCCCCAAGACATATCTTACGATCACACTGAACAACACGTGATGTAACCATGATGATGATGATGATTTATAAATAAACCAACAGCCACGGGTCAACGTCAGCTATTCTTAATCGGGTAAATGTAAACCTTTAAGAGATAAATACGGATACGGAACAGTGGAGTAGTGTTGTTGTCATGGGCTTTCATACAAGGAATTTTAACTAAACTATTTTTTTTATTTTACTTGGTAAGGCCCACTGAGATATATAGCTATTTTTCAGAAGCGACCTGGTCACAAATGATAGCTTAACGAAGTGGCTTATAATGTGAACATTTATAACAGCCAAATACTCTAAACGCACGTTTCTAAATGTGGAGGGAAAAGCCGCAGGACCCGGAGAAAAATCCACGCGCCCACGGGGAGAGAGACACCGCAAACTCCAAATATACAGCAGCAGCAGGCGTCAGGGTCGGGATCGAACCCCCGACCTCCTGGGCACCAAGCGAGGTAGTTAACATCTCCTAGCCACCGTGGCGCCCCTGTCGTGCATTTTAAATTAAGTAGCCACCCAGCTGTTCAATCCTCCACCTCCAGCCCACCTGGGACTGGAGGGGCTAATTGCACCACCCCCCCCCCCGTACTCTCTGCATCCGCAGAAGAAGAAGAAGAGTGAACGAGCCGCATGCTGGCACGGTGGGGCCGGGGGGGAGTGGAGGGGAGAGGAGGACGCGAATGATGGAGCGTTGACGAGGTTGTGAACTTCGTGTGAATGCG